ATAGTGGAATGTTCATAAAGAATGGATAGAATGTGGCTAGTATTAGAATGGAGGACGTGCATTTCGTCTGGTTTTGAACTAATTGGCTGGATGTACCTGAATCCCAGAGTTGATCCTCATAAAAGAACTCGATTAGAGTATCCCTCACTTGGAACACTAACGAGTCCATATAGCCACTCACTTGTGCAACTGGCTTGAATTGTAATTGAATTTGTAATCTTTTGAATTATCACATCGTTGATACTTTGACTAAAATTTGATCAGGCATTCCGCACAGGAAGCACATATCCCCACCAAGACTGATCAGAAATCAGTAAAATATGAATAACGGTATAATCCAGACCATTACAAATCGGAGTAAAATCTTTGGTTTTTGAAACAGTAAATCAGTATAAGTTATAAATTTATCGGTACGGATTTCACTTGTCAACCGAAAAGTTTCCTAGTGTTGGTTATGTTAAACTGACATAACTTATCCTAGTTTCTGGACAGGGCAATTTATTCATTCTTCTTGAGTCACGTCTTGACCTTGTTAATTATTCGCTTATCAACCTTGACTGTTTTTTATACGAGCGTATGTGTGTGCACTTCTTATACTATTCATCACATGTCTGTAACTTATTTTTGTGTGATTATAAATATTGATTCACGCTTAATCAAATTAAATCGGCTCACTTGCCTTCTGCAGTCTGCTTCGTTTTTCCCTCTTTGTTTCGTCTCCCTGATTGCCTGTTCAAATAATTGAGTGCATGAAATATACATATTCAAAATCAATTCTCGTATTCGGCTTATTTAATTCCGTTATAGTCACTTAGGCGGATTAAGTCGATAATCATATATGATGATTGACGACATGTATATTTTACTAACATTCATACGATATAACTGGAGTCAAATATCGGGCCACTAAAGTTTCACCATTTATTGAAATATGTCAAGCTAACAGATATCCATCCATATTCAAAAGTTGGAGATTACGTAATTTATGCCACATCATCGTCAAACCTCTTCTAGGTTGTATTATGGACAGGTTAGAGTTATGATGGGAATAACTTTTCTTTTCAAAAACTCAGTAGATCATTTTTGTTCTAGTGCAAAATCCTCATGCTTATTAAATCATACACAACAGAAACTTTTGTTTTTAATAACAAACTGTTAAGGATGTATGAAATAGCCTTTCATGTACTTATATTTTTTTATTGCTTAACGTCTATGATAATATTATAGACATCTAAAAGAATTACTATTGATCGTTTGTTTTGTTATTGCGATTGTCTATTCTGAAAAATGAGATAAATTCTGTGGTATATCGAATATGTACACTTTCTACTTCTGGATAAAATGGATAATTTATAGTAATCATTAGACTGATTAATTACTCTTGTGCCTTCATTTCATTACAGGTAGTTTTGTTTACCACAAGTGTAAAAAGGGTAATAAGTCTATTTTACTAATATGTTCAACAGTTGTCTTTATTTAATTGACCATTTTACCCCGAAGGAAGGAAGTTATACAAGGTACACAAATCCTCAAGGTAGAATGGTAAATCAGTTATAAGCGTTTTCAAGATATAATAATGGACAAGTGGATTTTACATCTAGCTGCCAAAGCCATGACCCACATACTCAATTTCAAACCGCTTGGTCTATCGACAAATGAATATGAACTGTTAATATTTTCATATAGCAGCACGGCTTCTGAAGTAATTTCACCTCAGTCATCCGTTAAATTTTATTGGGTAACCTGGCATTTAAAGTTTCACTGTATTTATATACCAGTGTTTTATCACATTTATTCATTCATGTTAGTTTATTGAACATAGCTGAAGAGAAACAATTAAAGCCAGTGTTTTAAACTATTTCTAAATGGTTTCTATGACATACTGTGAGAGTACTATATGCATATATGGCATCCTATTCTCTCAGTGAGCCGTTGAGTCACCATTTTAAAATTCAGTTACTTGCCATTATAATGAATAATTAGAAAGTGCATCCACTGTCTAACCCATTCAATCTGGATATATACAACATTTGTAAATTATTCAAATGTTATTTTATAAATATCTAAAATGTTATAACCAATGAAAATAGAATGATAATAATTTAGATGTCATCATATATGATATCGATCGAAGAACGTTTACGTTTACTGAGAAATTAGTGGAGAATCAGAGATATATTATTAAAATTGGTTAGATGCATATCATGTTGGTTAAAAGATCTTTTAAGGATGTGTAAACCTTTACTGGATAAGACATACTTCAGACGTATCATACAATAACTCATCAATATATATATATATACCAATAGTAATCAGTTTTCTTGAATATATTTCCTAATTCGAGAGAAAATAATTCCATATCACAGCATAGGAATCATTCAGAATGTGTTTCAAATGTTAAAAGTTGAAATGTATGTCATTCTTAATAGTCACAGTCTAGGTAGATTACATAATGCATATTGATTGAATATGAAAAGGTAGTGTATGATATAGTAGTAGAGAATAAGATCGAGATCCAGTTATTTAGTCAGCTAAAAGCAACATACAACTAGGTACATATATGCATCGGTTTAAGTTATTACATCATGTCAACAGGACGAGATTAAACTAATAACAAGATATACAACTGTATATTAGTTAACTATTCACAATGTTGATCGGAGCATCAATGTATGAAATTAAAGTCAATGCATAAAGTATCATGTGATAGTTTTTTTATGATAATCTATCACAATAATTAAATGAATTCAATGTTGAACATGCGGAAAAAACATATGCCAAATTATTTTTTCTGTTAAATGTTTCTCTCTCTGTTTTCACTATAAATTCAAATGAATTTTACCAATTTCAGATAGATATTAGACAACTGTTCAACTTAATTCCATCTTAAATAAGTTTATTCACATAAAATTAACATGTTGATTAGATTGATAAATAAATGGTAACTTATTGAATGAATCCCAGTATTTATTTATTCTGATACTAATCAACATTCGCTCACTAGTGACTGACTTCAAGAGGTATTTCCTGGAGTTCTAGTGAGAAGCAGTGACCAATGGAGTTCAACCGGATCTGTTGGGATATAGTAACTCAATAAAGACAATAATGGATGTGTCGCTCAATTTTGTGGATTAGTTGAAGTTAGACAATAACACCATTGGATGCTGGCCAGTTCAGTGGTCTAGAGGTTATGCGTTCGCGCACGAGACCGATAGGTCCTGGGTTCGAATCTCGTGAGGTGGGATCGTAAATGCGCACTGCTGAGGAGTCCCACACTGAGACGAAATGGCCGTCCAGTGCTTCCAGGTGTTTCCATGGTGGTCTAGCTTCAATTGACTCATGATCTGAGCTATTTAAATGATAACAAAATGTTTGGGCTCAATGAAAACCACCGTTGATCCATTTAATTTGAATATCATAATTATAATAGTATATAATTCATTTGGTATAGAATGTATCCACAATTAATCAATATATTTGAGTTTCATTTATATCTTATATAACTATTGTTAAGTCATAAAAAATTATATAAGTACAGTAGAAAATCATTTGGAACCATCTGAAAGGTTATGGTAAATCGAATCGAAAATTGTTTATAAAAATTAGATTTAAGGTTAGTAGAATATAACATTTTTTAAAAAATGTTTGGAACCTTTTTCATTGTTAATTTCTAGGTCATATGTTTCTTGATGAGAATGTAATAAATTGAAGATCATGAGATTTTAAAATCCATATTGATTCACACCATAGTAACATTATGATAGAAATCCTTAATTACATTTTGTTGAATAAAGGTAAGTGATTCGATAAGTTTACTAAAACGATAGCTATTGCAAAAAAACCATTTGAAGTACTGAGCAAACACATATCTACTGAAAGTTCAGAATGAATGAACAAAAGGTAGAGATAATGAAAAAAGTTTACAAATATTGTTAAAACAGTTCGTTCATGATTTTGTTATGCCCTGATACGGTCCACGATGGGGAGAGTCTGCTCTCCCACTCGAAATACTCTCACATGGCCACGCGTATACAGCCACTGACAGGGAAGTTCTACTCACTGCCTTCTCGCAGCAGGGGTATTGTTTACGAAATTGTGAGGACGTAAAGCAAATGTCCTGCGCTTTAACCAGGTTGGTGGGTACAGAGGATTTACTTAGGTGATTTGGAATCATTGCTGCACATGAGCTCCAGGATCCTCAGCAAACAAATGATATATGAACCTATTGTTGGACCCGGTTACCATGGGACTGCATCTCCTAACGTTACTCCACTGCCTTGTGGATTATACCTGTAGGTCAAAGACTCGGGTTGTGGCCGCCCAAAAAGCCACCTGTTTCGGTTCGGGCACTCAGGCAGTATTCCAGCGCGCACAAAAATCAAGTGACGAAGTGTGGCGCATACATATTTGGTGCCTGCTTATACCAATGCTTATGTGTTTAAATAAATAAATATTGTTTCACTGGGTACATGTAGACATTTACGCAGTATTTTTACAAGGAATACTTAAGACATCAGTAATTATTCTCTACTAATCACCAGTCAAATATTTTCTGTTCAGTTGTAGACAATATGTATATAAAATTGTATTCCAATTTATGTCTATAATATAGTTTAAGTATTACTTTAATCCAAATCATGGTTTATGATATTGTCAAATGTTTGTATTGAAATTGAAAAATACTAATAATAATCCTTGAGAGCACATTCTTAATAGAAAATAACATAATTTCTCAAAAATTAAGTTTCCTTGATGAAATTGTGATTAGTTGATAGGGAAAAATATTGCAACGCAATAGACATAAAACATTGGTGATGTTTACAGACATAATTTGTGTCTATTGACTACCAGGAACTTAATACTTGAGGTTGTATAACTGTGCGTTCTAATCTCGACAAAAGTTCACACAAATCATTCTGTTATTTCATTAGTTAGCAGTTTTGGTAATAAAATAATGGTTTTATTTTTTATATAAATTTAATCAAATGAGATCTACTTACCAGTTATAGTAACTTTATGTTCTCCATGTGAAGGATGACGAAAGAGATCAACATGAATTGATAGCTCTCCAACACTATCTTCAATCGCAGGTTTATCTAGTGAAAAAATAACAGTATTATAATAAGAAAATAAATTTAGAATAATAATTGAAATCAATAAAATATGATGATAATTCTTCAGTTTATTGATTGTGTAGTTTATCATTGAAAATTGGCTTATTGTTTTTTGTAATAGCTGTATTATGTAATTGTACACTTATACCACTCATCTGGTAATCATGTCATTAACAAACTTTAAATGCACTTTACGCTAGATAATCTATACTTGATGTAATTAACTACCTACCTCACCGCAACGCTACTCTAGACACATTATATAACAATTGTTATAATAAAAACATATTAAGTTTGTTAGAGATGTTGAGAAATAATCATGATAATAAAGTGTATGGAAATCAATTTTACGCTTACTATGATTACTTTTCTTGAGCTTTGCTATTTAATAAAGGTTGTTTTCACATGATGTCAACAAATTTATCAGCATCTACATACTAAGCAAGTTGACGGCCTTCATGAAAAAATGATCACAACAGGATGTAAGTCATACTTAAGTAATATCTGATTTTAAAAAACCAGTTACTGCTAAAGTCAACATAAAATGCGGAATAAATGAGACGGTAACGCTAAATAACTAATGGTTTTTATAATGATTACCTGGGTCAATGGGGAAACACCAGAAAAGTGCTAGGTTTATTCTGGAGATTGACCCTAAAATGGTGATCTTTAATAAAACTACTCAATAGAAAGGTATATGAAGGGATTTTCGTGGATATTATAGTAATTTCATTAGTTGAGATCATGAGTCAATTGAAGCTAGACCACCATGGAAACCTGGAAGCACTGGATGGCCGTTTCGTCCTAATGTGGGACGAAACTAAAGGTATATCACCAGTAAAATTCCATTGTGGGAGAATAAAAACAAAGAACATAATTCAAACAGTTTCTAGCTGTTTTTCAGATGTCCATTTCAACCCTGCATCGATTATTGAAGTCAGATTGTGAAATCCGAGAATTAAAGAAGAATAGGAAATGAAAAAAACATACTGTCAGAAGCTATCATCACTCTATCTTAAGAAGTTCACATGAATATTGACTCGGATCTACTAGTCAAATTAGCTTAGCAGTATCAACTGTGGTATAGTAGCCTAAGATTACTCATTAAAGTTTATCTAGGACAGAAATTCATTCAAGGAAGTTGTAGAGAAATTTGTTCGAGCAAGTAGTTTGTAACGTCCCATAGCTTACAACTATTAAAGGCCTAACTAGAGTGCAAGATATTTAGGTTTGATGAAAGCTACTTTATTTAAATATTGACCTTTCATGAGACACTGAAACAGAAAAGTACTAGTTACTGTGTTGACCTGAATGTGATATTCGACTCTAGAGAAAAAGAAAGCTTATGATAATGTCTTCCAATGATAAGGGTATTAAGTAACTCTATTGATGAGTTTTTTTTACAAAAATTGTTCGTTCATATGAAATTTCTGTGGAGTGTGTCGTCTGAAAGTGAAAAGTGGCGCTCGCTAAAAATTCATATTTTAGATATTTATGTTGAATCTTACTGAAATCCTCAAAACGAATGAGTCACTTTCTACTTCTTCAACAAATTAATAATTTATTTTCAGATTAACTAATCGATTTCCATTTCACAGGAAAAATAAATGTGCCATTAGAAAGAATGGTTGTTTTCTAGAGTTTATTCAAGCATTAGCTTGAATGATAAAGATAGATCCATTTATGCTTTACATATTTTCGATAAGTACACTTGCTACTATTCTACACCTAGTGGTTCATTCTAATTATTTTAACAAATATTTTTCTCAAGAATTATTTAAATTAGTACTCATACCGTGTAGTAACTGTGTGGTGTATGCTACCTATGTCGACAGATATAAGTAGTATGTAACACCCATCGGAAGTGGTAAACCTGGCAGTAGAAGGCTAAGAAAACCAAGTTGAAGAGAATAGATGGGTAAATAGAAAGAAATTGCGAACTTGAAGAATCATACAGAATAAAAAGGACAAATGATGAAAAATTGCAGATGAAGTATTCAGTGTATGGTTCTTATGTTTTACGAAGATACTTTGTAATTTTGTGTAAAGATACATTGGTTGTCCCTACATGTATTCTCGTTTATCACAACTGTACATCCATCATTTCAACTTATCAAACAGTCAGTTAAGTATTAGACAACATATTGGGTTTACAAAAATAAAAAATTTTGACTTTTAATTTAGCACAAAGTAGAATACAGAAAATAAGCAAACCTTGTGATGTCTGAGTAGCCACAAAGTTTTTAATAAGTGCATCCGTTGTTTGTGTGTATAATGATAGTGCATAGCGTAATGATTGTAATTCCGGTGATTTGTCCAAGTAAGCTTTCTTAAGTCCACTACCACCAGCATGAAAATAGTTTTTAATCGCATCCAATGCTATATCCAATATTTGACAATGACGTGGTGTTAAATTTCGCTCTGAGATTCCTGCATCTTTAGACATATCCTACAGAAAAACGAGTTTACAGTATGAATAGATGAGAATTAGTTTGTTAGGAGTATGTGACCGAAGTTCAAAATATGAACCATTGAATTTTAACTGACTAACTCAAAGATGTTTTGGTCGATTGGAAATTAAATATTTTAGATTCAATCCAAAATAGAATCACAGTTGCCATTTGCTGAAGTGTAATAAACTAAAATAAAACAGATATCTAATCCTATTTGAGCTATCACTCATCTTCTATAAAATATCAGTTCATGACGACAGGTAATTTCATAATGAATAATCCCCATAAATTTCTAGCTTACAAATATATGTTACTTTAAATTTATAGTATCGATCTCCTTAATTTTAGAACTCAATCGGATTCGCATAATAAAGCATTCCTTTCAAAGACTGGGTAAATAATTTGTATAAAATAGTTACTATTTGTTAATGTAAGTAAATAGTTTACCCTACGAACTAATAATGTCTGGGTAATAATGAGATTGTGAAAATGATCCGATGTAATTGAACGAGTAACCAGAGAACAGTCATGAACTGTTTTCCAGTTAGTAATGAAAATAGGAGTGAAAAAAATAGGCAGAAACATTTATGTGAATTGTCATTCATATTAAATGATTAACTGACTTACTTGTAGTAATCGACTTGCTGGTAGCTGACTGCTTACATTTGTCAGTAAACTCTGAGATACACTTGTTAATTTAGCTTGTGCAGTTGACGGAATCGACAAATTAAGAAACATCTGTAAATAGATTATAAAATTAAGATTAATCATATAATGATATCAAACATTCATTCAAAACCTACCATTGATTACTAAAAATTAATCTCCGAAAGTGTAAAATGTTTGTGTGACTGTGTCAAGTTGAATTTGTACTAGAAAACTGTAGTGGATAAAATATGAAACTTGTCTTTGTATAAAACAAATGGTATCATTAATCATGTTATGTTATTTAGTCATTTAATCTAGTTTCTGGATTAATAGGTTCATGAACAAAGTGAAGGGCATAAATATTATGTTTATTTGACACGCTATAAGGTAAGTTAATGCTAACGGAAAAGATCACTGATTGAAAAATGACTAGGAAAATGAAATGTGAATCAAAACGGTACTGTTCATCCGTCTCCATATCAAATGTGTATTACGCTATCTGTTTTTATTGTAAATTTAAACAATGTTCAAGGTCAGTATACTCCGCGAGTGGAAAGAATGGTCTGCTCAGGATTTCGGATCATGTTCTAAAGAGTCCATTACTTAAAAAAACTAAAGTTTCTCCTCAGCGTGATTGCTTGAAATTTTATAAGTCCATGATATTTCTGTGGATAGGGGCCCGGCCAAATCACTAATCCACATTCCTAAACTCTCGATCTTCTCGAAGGCTTCATAAAGAATGATTCGAAAAGAAATAGATTTACGGAAGATGCAATAAGGTATTTTAAAACGTGTAATATAAGGAATGATAAGAAGTAAGCACATCTGCGTCACTGTGATTAATTCTCAGTCGTGGTTCCCAACGTATCGAACCACTGTTTGCTGTAACCGCTCGGACTTCAGCTAGATTGCCTGCACTTAACAATACGACTTAGATCAACAACTAGAGACTTCATGGACTGATTTCATGTCTCAGTTTGGCCACTCTCTGAATTTATTTCAATTTATTTCATCTAGGTAGACGGTAGAAATATATTCGATCATTGAGTCAACTGTTCTTTCACTTCTTAAATTAGTTAGATATTAGTTCTATAAGCAAATGATTGATTCAACCGCCTCAATCATTCAAGTATTTTTATTAGTTTCAACTAAATTTATTTTTCTAGAAATTTCTAGTTACCTGAAACAATTATTGATGAGCAACTAGATAATGAATAAATTAAAAATTCTGATAAATCCAAGATCTGCTATTTAAATGGTGAGTTATTTTTATGGTAGAAAATACTACCAAAAACGTTCAAAAGCCAAAATGTATATTTAATGTCATTATTTCAAAAAACGTTAGTCAGACATCTCATTTCTTTCAGTGATTAATAATGAATAAATTTACTACTTTCTATAGATCTGAATTAAAAATACCAAAACATTGAAACTCACAGCTCTTGGATCAGCAACAGTGGGTAGCACAACTTGTTTCTCCAAATTATGCATTGTAACTTTCCATAGTTCCTAATTTCATTATTTTACAGAACATTAAAAGAAATTTAGTATAATCAAGAAACCTAGTTGGTTATAAAAGTTTCAACTACTTTCGAAACTCGAAAAAATATTCCAAGCCAAATGATATGATCCAGCGTTGATTTTATACGGTAGTCAGAAGGCATTTACACAGTGAATGCATAAATCAACAACAAGTATGATAATTACTCTCGCTCCAGAACCTTAATTCTCATCGAACCATGGAATATCAGAGGACAAAGCTTGCTCTGAGATTGCGAAGAGTTAATATTCAGAAAAAAATTTCACTGCATATTTACATTATATTGTAATGTAAAATTACAATACAAAAGTCGTTACATCCTTTGTACTGATTCCTTCAATAAGTGCATAGATTACCCAATAAAGTTATTTCGAATGTGTGGCAGTATAAATTAAAATATAAAGTTTAAAAAATTGTGCTTCTCTAACCAATGATTCTATATGTTGATTTCTACTTTACATGATTTTTGTCACACGAATATAGAGACTAGATTATATGAGAATGCTTTAAGCATTAAATAAATCTACTAATTTCATCGGTAGATGATATTTATTGGTACTGTGGTTTAGTGTATGACACAACCTTCTTGCAACTCCATAATTAAATCCACAATAAGTCAAATAGGGAGTTTCTAAACTAGTTACAGGTTGTACGGTTTATGTTTGAATTATTTGCAACTGATTATGTTTTCAAACTCCACCTGGAGTCTCTCCAGGGGCTACTCCCGGTCCCAAGCCTGGATAAAGGAGTAGAGTTGGGCTAAAATTATTCAAACCTTTTAAACTCTGTCCTGAAAGTCGAAAGGTCTTCATTTAGAAGAGTTATGACGCCTCATGGTGAAAGCCGAGTTCCTTCGGAAGTCACGAGACCGATGACCCTTCTGACAACCAGAGTAACCATTTATTTAGGTACATGGAATGCTCGTACAATGCAGGAGACCGGGAGTCTTTCAAATTGCTGTTGATTATGTTTTCAACTGCCTGTGTTTGTAACGGGACTTAGGCGACAGTTTGAAAATAATCAAATATTTGTTGGCTGATGAGCATGGTATCAATCCTTTCACATCAGGGAGTTTCGAATGTTTATCTTTCTAATTGGAAATGATGTATGTATACTACTTATTACTAGCTAATATTTTTATCTGCTTATTTTCAAAGTTCGTGTTTAGCTACTGCTTATTTTACTTCAGTAGTATACATGTCAGAAGTAAATAAATAATAACTTCCCCCCTTAATAGACTTGAAAAAGTCATTGAGCTATATGCAGCCATGCTAATAATCAGAAGTTCATGCCTAGTATTGAAGTCAGTGAACTAGTTAAAACACTGAAAAGTCATTTTTATGATTTACGATTAAAATAACTGATTTTTACAAAAGTAATAACTCTCAACAATCCGAAGCACTATGGAAACTGAGTAGAAATATTTTCACTACCCTGATAAGGTGACTGTTATAAAAAAGTCTGTCATCCATTTTAATTAATGAAAGCATCTTTATAACTGATATTGATATTGAGAAAAATCGTAGATTGGAGGGTAGAGCAACCCTCAGTAGACGTTACCAGTGAAAAGGAATCTGATGTCTTAAAACCTAAGCGTTGAAAATGCCTTTACCAATATGGGTAAGGTAAAATTGATAAAAATCAGTACAGGGTTTTGAAGATTGTTGATTTTCATTGAAATGGTGAACCGATCAACGTTACCCTACTATTGAAAACCTAGAATCACCAGACACCCGTTCCATCCTAGTATGAAACTCCTCAGCAATGCATATCCACGACCCTGAACACAGCAATCGAATCCATGGTTTCCGGTCTCTAGTGTGAACACTTAACATCAAGACCACCTAGCCAGCATCCAACGATGTTAGTATCTAACTTTAATCAACCCACGATATTGCGCAACCGCCTTCTGCTCTGAAGAAGTGGCTTACAGAAAGTCACGAAACGTAAGAAATACAACTTTTCTACACATTAAGACATAACAAAAATATATTTATTGTTAACCTTCTACCCAATACGCAGTTTATTTGAAGCTATCTAGTTCAACCTTGGCATTGATACTTATAAACTCATTGATAATAGATAACTTGTTAGCTTAATGTAAATGCTTTATTTTTAAATGTACCTCACTGAGTAAAGTTATTAAGTAGTTTTAGCAAATAAAATGCAACGGATTATAAAGAAATTTTAAAGTGATAATATTACCTTTAACAATCGTTTCAATACAGTCTTTTCGCATAGATCTGCTAAAGCTGACAATGTTGACTCATAGTGATCCATAAGTGGATGTAATATGTGTTCAGCTTCAGTTTCCACATTGGCTTTGGAATTAGGTGGACACTATTGATAGAAAATAATAACCATTAGAAAACCAATCAAATGCTTCATTTAGCAATTTAGATTCCGAAAAATTTATTCAAAAAACGTCTTGCTTATTATGAGACATCATCAGATATTTATGATTTACTTCGAACGAGTGAATAAGATGTCATCTTCTATAGACTTTTTGAGCCCTGCAATACTATTGTGTTTATTTTGACATTCCACTGTACTAAATTCCATACCACAGTCACATGAAAAGGTTTTATGAAGTTACTTCTCTTGTAATTAATTCACTGTAACGTTTTCGTCATGATTACAAAGCATACAACCGGTAGTTAACACTTTTATTTGAACTATATGATGAAGTCTTGAAAGAGCATTTTGAAACCCTAGCAGTTCGTCAACGTAATTCAATTATACTTATAAGTTAAATATTAATGTTTAAAACCAACTACAATATCACTGACCTGATGAAGCAATTTACTTAATTCTTTAATTTTTTGTACAATTTGTACTTGTAATGCTTCAGCATATTGTGAAGCTAAATCATCAATAACAACTTGAAGCATCTGTTGTAAATCATTCATTGCATTCAATGTATCTTCACATAGTATACTACCACCCATTGCTTCAAATACTTTTTCTAACTGTACACGTAATTGTTGTATATTATTCATAATGATACATGCGGTTTCTTGTTGATGCACCCAACATTTGAAATCAGCTTTTACTATTTCTGCATAGGTTAGTAGTACTTTACTAACAGTCTAAATTGATAATAAGAAAAAAAAGATAATAATTTTTGAATGGAAGAAATCAATAAAGTGGTTATCATATATTTTGGTGACTGTATCTATTGGACGTATAACTGTTATTGATGAAAGAACGAAATCCCTCAAGAATGTGTAAACAATTGCAGTCACATTACAATATACTCTAGGCTTGTTACTGATCGATTAACTCGGATTTCTAAGTCATATTTCCCACCATAGATTGGATAAATAATTGATACAATTGGTGGAAAATCATATATTGAGTTGATAATCATTTATTCTTTATGTTTTGATGAAAATGGGGGTTTTCTAGAGATTGTAGTAATTTTAATAGTTGAATTCATGAGTCAATGTAAGCTAGACCACCATTGAAAACCTGGAAGCACTGGATAGCCGTTTCGTCCTAGTATGGGACTCCTTAGCAGTCCATATCTACGATCCTGCATGCATGTGTGGCTCACTATCATGGATCGATTGAAGTTGGATATTAACATCGTTAGATACCGGCCCGATGGTCTAGAGGTTAAGCGTCCGCGCGCGAGACGAAGGTCCTGGGCTCGAGTCCTGCATGCGAGATTGTGACTTCGCATTGCTGAGGAGTTCAGTGCTATGACGAAACGGGCATTTAGTGCGTCCGGGTTTTCAATGGTGATTTAGCTTTCATTGACTCAACTACTAATATTCTTTATATCATATATTAATGAGTTGAAGATTAAAAACCAAACAATTCAAACCTTTACTGTTAAGGGTATTAACATAATGCACGTTGAACAAGTTAGTGGTTACTAGAACTCAGTGGCTCAATGGATTACGCATTGACGTCAGAAGCAGGTGTTGGATTCCAGTCTTAATGTGTAAATCAATATTGAGATGTAGATACGTCTATATGACAACTTTCAAATAAAACGAAACGTGTGTCTTGAACTCATCTACTAATCATGTCCATCTGTTTATTCCTTTTCGTTTTTCAGTCTACTTTAGTCTATGAGTAGTTTCCTGTAGAAAGTTCTGAATACTATGCATCGCTAATGTTTTCCACGTCTAAAAGTTGAACGGTTAAGCTGGTGATACTTATTTGAACATATCTGTAGGAAAAAAAATAGTTGCCTTTTTTACTTTAACATTATTTGTTAAGAAGGTTTCGCGAATTCGTACAGTTAACGGGAGTTGGTACAACAGAGGAACTTTTAAGTGCTTCAGTGATTCACTAAGTTATACAGGCGTGCTGACGGAATACTTACATTGAGGAGTGACATCGAAATTTTATTGATACTCATCTGATTACAGTATTGAATGGAGATTAATATGAAGATGTATGAAAATAGGTCCGATATACAGAGCTTAAAATTTTTATTGAATGTGAACAGAAATTTAATTACAGATGTATTTAGTCATCCATACTGTCCTTTGATATTAACGTACTCAAGATCTGTGAATTTTTAAAATTCGAGTAAACTACACAAACCGAATAGATTCCATGAGTATTGTCGATTGGACTTTATCAGTCTAATCTAAACAGAAGTTGTTTAAGTACTTTCTATACGTGGGTCCTGACAATTTTGATGAAAATAGCTCATAGTGCCCTCCATTTTGTGAGAGAAGTTAATTAACATAGATATAGGTAAATGTATTTAAAACTAGTTAAAGTAACAAATGTACAAAATAATTTATAATCACATCTAGATATGCTATTCAAATAGTCAGTTGTTAGGTTAATAAAGTCAGAAGATGAGTATGGTAATATACTTATGCCTGAATCCAAACAGTAAGCCTCTATATATTATAAATAATACAGTAACCATACTTTACTCATCACATTTTTTATGACTTCGGTTATTATACTCATTTATTCATCAGTGTGTTAACAGTTAAATCACTGGTTTATCAAATATAATATTATCAATACTTAGCCTTCATTGAAATCTTTATAATACGTAGTTCAATTCTACTTATGAAAGTTCTGTAAATAGAATGTTTCAAAGGATCTTTTTTCATAATTACGAATAATCACTTATGTAATATACTATACTTACACGAGCAAAACGATTTAAGAAACGTTCTTGTACACTTGGTTCAGGACATTCAAGTTTTTTAATTACATCAAAACATTGATTAAGTTGAGTGAAAACATCAACAACAGAATTAGAAAATAATGCATGTTCACTAGATCGTTGAAATCCATCTTTTTTATCACGTTCATAAGCATTTCGTAAAAAGTCCATTGATACTTCATCATTTTCATTTAACCATTGCATAACAAATACTTCAAACCAACTAAATGGAGGGTGAAGAAAAAAGAATATTTTATTGTTTTTGTGAAAAAAATATAAATAAATGTGTGGATAACTGAAGAATAAAACAAAGATTTATTTTATGATAGAAAAGTTAGTTTTTGTAAGTGGGAACAACTCATTGACAGTTCAATTGTATGTATGTGTTTAGTTAAAATTAGGAAAATTCATCAGTCAGTCAGTCAGCTACAACGTATGACCAGATATATATATGCATCGGTCCAAGTTGCCATACCTCATTAGCACAACAAGATGGACACCGGATTCATAAAAGTAGTTAATTCAGAGGTGGTAATATATAAAAGATTGCATATAAGGATATAGTACAGGAAGAAAGATATCGTACGTAGAAAGAAAGATATAAAGCGATTTTAATTTCTTAGTTTAATGGAAGACAGAGAGTGTATACACCTACCGGAAATTCATAACTTAAGTTGTTTATTTAAAGAAACTGATAAGACTGAAATAATGTTTCAATGTATTTCTTATATAACCGATAATAAAAATCAATATTTTTACAACTTGATCATTTGTATAAATGATTAATTCAAAAAAAATTAATATGAGAGTTTGCTGTTTCAAAACTTTTTATTACTACACAAATTGTATATTCACTGAATAATCAAAATTGTAACTAAGTCACCAGTAAACGGTGGATCATTTTAAGATGTATGGATATATGGGTGTATTTTAGATATAACATAGGTAAAGTGATTTCAAGGAATTTATGTATTTTGTGTAAGCTTTAGGTCAGTTTATTTCTTCGGCAATATTGTTTAACCTATAGTACTTTTGAAACCTAGTTCAGTTCATTAAAGTTTAAGGTTTTCTTAATTTTACTTAATACCACTCAGTAATTAAGTACTACTTTACGTACTTTAATTCATATGTTATGTGTGAAGAGTAGTAATGCATCTCGGAGTTGATAGAATAAAGTTTAATTCAATCTGTTACCTAACAGTTTAAAGTTAAACGTCTTAACTCTTAAACTATATCAGAATCGGTTTTGTAAGGAATTTTTAGAAATTTCACTGGTTGAAATCATGAGTCAGTTGAAGCTATACCACTATGGAAACACCTGGAAACACTGGACGGCCGTTTCGTCCTTATATGGGAATCCTCACCAGTGCGCATCCACGATCCCGCCCCTCGAAATTCGAACTCAGGACCTATCAGTCTCGCGCCAGGCGCTTAACCAACTAGACCACTGAGTTGGTCGGCATTCAAAGGTGTAAATATCTAACTTCAATCAATCCACGAAGTTGCGCCACCGTACACCATTGTCTTCAGTGAGTTGATATCTCACAACAGACCTGGTTGAACTCCACTGGTAACTTCTCACTAGAACTTATTTATCCTTTTTTTCGTATAATTTATTTTAGTCAAGACTCTAATTAATGTACATCATTCACAGCAATCAAATGAAGTTCTATAATAACGGTATTAGTATTCACTTCAAAGGTTCAAGGAAAAACAAATGTTATTCACAAGACAGACAAACTCAAAGCTTTGAATGAATTACTATTGTCAACTTTTAAATTTGACAAAGACTAATTTCACATTGATTTCTAACTAAATAATGATACAATTTGTATGGTGTAATTAAGAACTGAATCCATGGTTTAGATTGACTTTTTATTTGAAAGAAATCCTACTGAACTAGCTTAATAGTTAGATTATTGACTGTGACTCAAGGGGTTAGAGGGATTCAAATACTATCAGGAATATCAGCTTTCTAAAGACTACGGATATTTTTTGTGACAACTGATAGCTTGTATGAAATGAAAGCAAGAAGTTCCAATGATCCATTCGTTAAATAATAACAAAACAAGCCACACTGTAATATTGGATTATATTGAATGATAAAATTGCATGACATCATTGATAACCAGTGATACATACTATCCAAGATGACTGATTATGATTGTTATTATTATTAAATTCAATAAAATACTAACCGTAGATTTCAATAGGAATGGTTGATTAATTGATATTGTTTATTGATTATCATCTTATCTCTAATACATGCTAATTCATGTAGATATAAATGATTGTCTTATAGTATAATATCTTTGTCCTTTCGTATTAAACAAAATTTACTTTCAATCTTAGTAATCTCTTACTTATCTATCGTAATATAAAGTAAAGAAAGCAGGAAAAACATTTAAAAAACGGTAAAAGATTTACAAAAGTGCACACTGTCTTGGTGTATGTTGATTTCAGCAAGTTTAAATTGATTTGGTAAACACTAGCTTAACTAATCATATAATGGGTTGTTCTAAATTCTATGCATTTGTTTTTAGATTAAGAGTAGAATTCTTTTCTGAATAATTGCTGCGATTGTCTTTATAAGCTTACAGATAAATACTTATAGGTTGTATTTGACACAGATAAGTCTCAATTAAAGCAACAATACAAATCAAGGGGCAATGAGGATCTGTTTTGTCGAATAATGGGACTCATTAGTGGTGCAGGTATCACTAGTGATTAATTTCAAGATGTACCCAAATTTCCAGTGATAGTTCATGATTCGTTAAGTTCGAATAGGTCTAATGGACAATAGTTTTCACCAATCATATTGGATAATCGTTGCATTATATTATAAATTGATAGAAGTTGAATTTGTATAATCAGAAACCGACCAAGTGAGTCTAATGATTAAACGTTATCCAGGACACCTGAAGTTCCTAGATTCGATCCCAGGTGAAGTTCTGTGTGAGTACTTATGAAGAGTCTCATACTAGGATGAAACAGCTGCCTTATGTTCCCTAACTCTCAACAGTAACATAAACGTGATCAACCTTTGACAAATGCAATCAACTTATGAAACCGGTTTTTAATAAACCCCTTCAACTAGAAGAGAAGAAACTTTTTTTTCTACTATATATATAAATTACCTGCCCGTCTAACTCTTGAATTCACTAGTCATTTTATAATCATCAATGCAAGTAAAATCTATTGATTAATTTCTATACTAATGTAATAAGCATGACATATTTGTAACAAAATAAGTTTTTAACAATTTTGACAAGTTACACAATAACGTTCTCTTTTGGTTTTACTACACATATCTCATAAAAATCAATATAGAGTCATTAAAAATGATCGAATAACTTTCTTTTTCTTTTTCCGTCTTCTAAAATATGAGAAATCAAAAATGTTAATTGAGATGGAAAATAGTAAACATTTACGCTACACTTATTATATTTTTCTCTTTTACATGATGATAAATAATGTTAGTTTAAGATGATAGAAATGTGCTCATATTGGTGAGATGTATTAGACAAATTCAATATGATAGATAAAAGGAATTTGGTTGAAAGATAATATTTAGGATAGTAAGTGGATACGTATGTGGAAATTTATCAAAAGTAAATAAATCTATAAAGTTAGAAGGGGTTTTGTGGAGATTTTGGCAATTTCGATTGTTGAAATTATCAGTCGATTGAAGCTAAACCATCATAGAAACACCTGTGGAACTCCTCACCAGTGCGCATCCATGATCCCACCGCCCGCGAGATTCGGACTCAGGACCTATCGGTCTCGCGTGCAAGCGCTTAACCACTAGATCATTGAGCTGACTGGCATCCAACGGTGTTATTGTCTAACTTCAACCAATCCGCGAAATTGTGCCACCTTACACTATTGTCTTCAGTGAGTTGATATCTCACAACAGACCCGGTTGAACTCCACTGGTCACGGCTCCTCACCAGAACTCCAGGAAATGCCTGAGGAGTCCCATATTAGGACGAAACGGCCGTCCAGTGCTTCCAGGTTTTTCATGATGGTCTAGCTTCAATTGGCTCATGATTTCAACCACTGAAAATCTACAAAGGTTAAATAAATCTATAATAAAAATCTGTGACTGATTTACTTATTTTTTACGTATGAGTTTTTCCCTGTTTGATGGGCGGGAATCAGTATTTGGTGGGTTAGAATATCAGTATGAACTTCATCACAGAGATTAAAGTAAATCCAACTGAAGATTCATAAATGTGACAAAACGTGCATCATAAATTCCAATGCTAACCACAATCTCTCTATTGTAAAAATCCTCATACTATTAAACTTGGTAAGAAGTAACATAAATGGACGAATATTGGTTTAATAATAATAAGGGTAGTGATAATAATTAAAATGATTGGTTTTTTAGACTAACCGTGGATATTCAGGTATAATATCTTTTTGCGAAGGGATCATAGCAACGTGTTTATTATAGAACCATTTTAATTTGAAAAATAAGTTCATGTAATCCGACGATTTACAATATCGTGTATCAGTACGTGCATGAACTTCTAAGGCAATTTGTATGTCTTCAGATAATCTTTCCCACATACACAATGCACTTATATGGCCCATATTAACTTCTTGTGGAAATCTAAATAGAATTTTAAAAAAGAGAGTCAAAAAAAATTCATTGTTCACTTTTATGGAAATTAGATCAGTTTACAACACTAACGGATATTAACAATGGGGAACTATTCAAATTTGGAAAGGAATGGACATCTGTCTTATATTGGTATTGCACGTTGTGGTAACTTGATTATAACTGCTACATGATTGTATTCTAGCTTCGAGACAGAGGAGTCATTCTAATCTGATTGATTATTCCGTATAATTTTATGCACATGACTTTGTTAATTAATCGTTTGTAACTTTGATCGTTTTTATGGATAATTTGATTGGCAGTAAATATATGTCTATCCATTTACTTACATTTCAAACATCGCTTATGAAAATGGAGTCATGCATAACATTCTCAGAGTCCGTGCTACCAGCTCCAACGCTTTATCTACTCATTGCATCTCATTATTTCCCTGTTGCTTAGTTCTCGAATAATTGAAATGTACATATCCTGAACACATTTTATATTCCAATTCTTGTTTTTACGTAGTTAGAAGCATATAAACGTAGTTAAATGGGTGCTATATTTCACATATTTCCGTCATCCTTGTAGTCACTTAAGGGCTACAAAAAATTCTTAGTAAAACGTACCATTAACCGATACGAGATCATAACAGGAACATCTGAATATCTTGTTAATTAAGACATTTTTCAGTTCTTCAATGATATAATCTGGCTTTATTAACCATTAAAACCTGATCATCGGTATTATGTGAATCAAACTAAAAAAAGTTTACTCACGAATTCAGTAATCATGTAATTGAGGCTGTTTAATACATCTTTTTTTTCATATACTTCAAGGTTAAAATCTCATATAAATTTGGTAGTACATATAAGTCAAATATTTATTCTGTCTAAACGGGAAGCATTTCAGTTATCATACTAACACTAAGTATAGAACAAATAAAGTTGTTCAAATGTGTTCGTAAACGTTCCTAAATATGGCAAGAAGCATCAAAATGCTCCAAATTACATTAAGGCTAACAACATCGGTAGAAATTTCCAGTGGGAACTAAAAGTCAACGTGTTTATTTTTCGTTTTAATCTTATACTGATCAAGTGACAAAATTAACACTAAGTTTTACGTTTTTTTCTAAAAGCTTCTGATACTTCATGACTAATAGTAACAACGTAGTTATTCCCTTAATTTTTATAACCCAACTAACCTTGGAAATAAACCTTCCGTTACAGGTTTTCTTCATCTAGTCTTCATGTTAAAGTATCAGTATAGTCTTCGAACCTTACTCCACTTAGCATGATTTTTGCTACCTTCATACTTGAAAATTAGCTAAAAGCTCAATACACGAACATGAGGAGGGTTATTAGGTTACAACTTTTAATTTGAATTTTAAGACTCAATCAAAATAAACAAATCATTTGCATGATATTGATTCTCTATAAATTCTTAAAAAAACATAGATACAATTACAAAAATAATAAATATCATTTAAGTTATGAAAAAAATTAAAATTAAAAACCTACTGATTAATGACAGCAGCATATGTAGTATTGTCTTCATCGATTACAGAAACTAGTAAAGTAATTAAACGATGCCAAAATACTAAAGATTTCAACGAAGGTGAACCTTCATCTTGTGAAACAGATTCCTAAAAGTGATGATGAAAAGAATGAGAATAGAAACATTAAAGAAAATCAATAAGAAAAATAAGAAAATTATGTTTATATGAAAATATTAGTTTCGTCGAATTTAAACCTACAACAAATTTATTTTCCTTTAATTTATACAATGATTTATTTTGAGAGGAATGATAATTAATTAGCTTAGCTTGAATTTCAAGTATTTCCATTCTGAGCTTAATCAGTTCAAGTGTGATATTACTGGAAAACGAAAGGGACTATATATTAGCTTTTAAATCTCTTTTATCTACTCATCATCAAAATGAGTAGTCTTCAATTGTTTTATCTTTTAAAAGTATGTAGTCGTAAAACTTTTTAATTTATCGTGGTTAATGATTATTAAAAAATGTATTTCAACACAAACATAATGGTTTCTAGTAGAAACCGACCAAGCAGTTTATATTCTAGGTTTATGTGAGTTCTTAAAAGTTAAGTACAACTGACAAAGGTATAACAAATCATGGACAACAGAGTAAAATTTCACGACCTAGATGATTAACATAATCATTACCTTTACCGTCTACATATCTTTTTTCTATGTTCATTTTTAAAATAAAACTTTATGACTATATTCTGGTTTTAATAACAAGAAATTGTTTTGAGAAATTCATTTTGTCAAAGATTAATTCATAGTTAACTCAAAGTAATACAAAGAATATGTTCAGCGAAAAGTGAAATTGTTGTGTCCTGTTTGTTTATTAACGGTATCTCGATTGTAACAAGAACTACCTAGATTGTCTATCGACTCAATTGTTCCTAGAAAGTAAGTTACAATAAACAATTTTCTGAGAATTTACTGTTTCGCATTCATAGACACTCTCTAGGATATGTAGTTAGAAGTGTGCAAATTCTTTCTGAGTACACCTGCTCCATATATATATATATATATATATATATATATGACAAGTTAATACCATTAAAGGTGTGTTTATGACGTATGAGGAAAACCGAAGCAACATCAGCCTTTTTACCGTTAATTTGACAATTTTGTACATACACATAAATACTGATAAATTATAATCATTCAATGATAAAATATCCCGTATAATTAGCTTATTTTATTTTGATCAGCCAGATATTTGATATTATCCGTAAAAGGCTAGTTTACATTGAGGCACTTTCATCTCGATGTTAGGAAATATAAAAAAATGAACATTGTTGAGAAATTATAAAATGGAATGGGGCAGTTAGTCAATTTAGCAAAAACGTATAAGTAAAACAGATGTATATGTTTTTTTCACAGATTGAACTCATGAGTCAGTTGAAGCTAGACCACCATTGAAAACCTGGAAGCACTGGACGGCCGTTTCGTCCTAGTATGGGACTCCTCAGCAGTGCGCATCCACGACCCCGCACCACCCGGGGCTACAACAATATATCCACATTGTTCATTTTCTCATTTAATCACTTATGTAATGAATTTATGATCCAGTTCCTTATTAACACCAATTTTTACATAATGTAATAAAACAGCTCGTTTGATGGATGCCGACTTTTTTTATTTTACATTTATCACAACAATTCTATTTATTTGACCTTTGAATTATGTAAATTTTGATTAAAATAAAATAAATAAACATATTTATCACCATTAAAAATAATAACAATAAATCAGGTGTCATAACGCATGAAACAATAAAACAGTAAAACAATACCATAAATAAGCAAAGGTGGATGGTGGTTAACAGTGGAATCCACGACGTGCGTTTCATCCTATTCGGGATTCGTCAGTTGAATCTACCTGAATCTCAGAGTTATCCCGGGTTGAACATCAACTCTGAGATACAGTTACATCCAACTGATGAGTCTCAAATAGGACAAAACGCACGTCTTGGATTTCACTGTTAGCCAGCATACATCTTTGATTATAGTGCTTGTAACTTAAGGCGATATCAAGGCAATCTGCACAGGATACACATCCGTCAATAGCGGACTGATCAATTGAAGTCCTAAACATTAATGGGAAGATTCAAATAACCAATACAAAATTAATACTATAAATAATTTCAACACAAAATAGATAATACGAAATAATGATCGGATCAATAAATAATAAACAATTACTTGAAATTGTTTCGAGTATACTTCATTGACATTTTCATAAATAAATTGATAGGTAGATTGCATACAAGCACGTGCACATTCTTTCACTACTTGACTAGCTCTAGGTGGACTGGTCAATTCTTGAACCTAAGAATAGAAATATTGTATAAATACATATGAGTGAAAATTCTAACTGATATGTACCAACAGATCATGATTCTTTATACAATTCAATGCATTTATTTTCAAATGAATGAATTTAAAGATGGAAAGAGATGGTTTAGCCAAACTACCGAATAAAATGATAAAGTTAAATGTAAAAGGAAAAATATAGAAAGTAAGATTTAGGCTTATGAAACAAGACAAAAGCAACTAAATGAAGGTGATTCTGAAAAAAAAAACAATAAGAAAAATAAGTTGACAAAAAAAGACGTCAACATAAATAATGTCGATTCTAGACAATTCTGCTTGGTTAATGTTAAATTACTAGTGGAAATTACTCCTTAATGTAAATAGAATATTAACATAACAATCATATGCTCAATGAATATTTATTTTGAAATGCATTCTCTTAAAAATCTAATTCTAAACTTATAATTTATGCAATTGACAAAATTATGGTTAATTTAATAATTCACTAAACAGGTTAAATCATAATCACTCCATATCGTTGACAATCATTTGACATTGAAAATATAAGTAATCGATATTCTATTCATCTCAATTCATAGAGATCTGTCGTTCAACTCTGTATATAAGCGTAAATGAGAACTAATAAATACTTTGAAAAAGATGTATAAAATTATTTTTTCAAGTATTCCATGGTTTTTTGGTTACCGTTGGGAGAGAACAAAACAGCTTCCAGCTGAAGAGGAGATTAGGAAAATAAAATGGAAGTGGATAGGACATACATTACGCAAATCATCGAACTGCATCACGAGGCAAGCCCTAACTTGGAATCCTGGAGGGAAGCGGAAAAGAGGAAGGCCAAAGAACACATTACGTCGGTAAATAGAAGCAAATATGAAAGGGTTGAGTAACAATTGGAAGGAGCTGGAAAGGATTTCCCAGGACAGGGTTGGATAGAGAATGCTGATGAGCGGCCTATGCTCCTTCACGAGGAGTAACAGGCGTAAGTAAGTAAGTAAGTGAGTATTCCATGGTTTTAAGTTGGTTTTATCTTCATAAATATAGTAAACAAATATCACAATGAATTGTTTAAATTCATTGTATATTATCGTTTGATCCTTGATTAATAGATATTACACGTCAAACTATATATATGCTGTACTGCAAGTCATTGTCATAATTTGAAATAGTAATGACTAGTTTATTCAGAAGACAATTAATATAACTAGACTGTTAACAAAAAAGTAAACTTTCAACTCTGATTTCGCTTATATTTTAATAACGATAAGGTATGTACCAAACTGTATATCTAAATGTTAATTGGTTGGTCAAATATGATTTTATTGTATGACCTCAATGTAAACCTTGGATGGACATACTTTTATGACTTGCATAAAATTGTCTAATTGTACGACTCTCATTACCATTCTGAAGATTTTACCAATAAAGTTTCTATCAACCACTATTTGGTCTGAATAACCCGGATCAATAAGAGTATTTCTGATCACATAATCAACCACATTACAACGATAAGCTAAATGTGGTGTAAAGCGTGGACCCTATGACAGCGGAAGAATTTAATCTGAATAGGGTTTAAGAGGCGCTATATGGAAAATACTCACACTATTAGTGATAATTCCACTTATGGAGAGTAGACAATCCCAAGAATCTCTGTAAAGAAAATCATGTGAATGAGTACGTGAATACATTTGTCATTTTAAGGAAATGTTGTCAAATAGTAGTTTGAGTCGGATGCAAGCGCAGGTTACCAATAGTAGAAACTATGTTGAACTTTAAGAAAACCAGTAAATATACACAGTATCCTCTCTATTGCATTTTAACTACGCAGTTGCTATAATAAAGAACAGGATTAACTGAAGAGAAAACAATACAGTAATAGCGACATCAATCAAAATAAAACTTTTTGAGAAGGAATAGCTCGAAATATTTGTGTCAAAAAAACAACGTGAATAATAAGTATAAAGAAAACAAAGAAACCTTTCCATTTGCTTGTGAAAACTTACTTTCATTCGGAAGAATGTAATACTTGTTAAAAGATCGACAGTAGATTTCAAATCTTGTAACTTATCCGGTTGTGAAGCAGGAAATGAATTCTGTTAAATAAACATTTAGCAAGAAAAAGTTATTACTCAAATATACATATATGCATGTAATACTTTCAAAACTAGATTAAATAATATTCTAATTCTAATGAAGTAAATCTTCATTGGTAAAATCGTTATAGTTCATATTTGATGTAAGTAACATTTCATCCTTTTTTTCAATCACAATTGATTGATCACTGGGTGGTGATCAATGTCATGTATGTCAAGTCCTTATTTAATGCAGATCGAATGCTATCGACCATGTTGCCTCAAGATTACAGGTACACCTTGCTGACGAGTACCAAGTAGCACGAAACCCGAGTCCAGGGTTTCCTGTCGACTACTTCCAATCACCATCTAATTTTTTACAATATACTAACTGTAAATGAAATAAGGTAATTCAAATATTATATGATTGAATGTATGCGGATGGAGAATTAGTCACAATACTGCATTTATGGAATAAGTACTGCATTTTTTGAAACAAAATATTCATAAAAAGGAAATAAATAAAGATTTTTCTAAACGTGTATATTCAAAACTTTAAAAATTTACATACCTTATACAGTTGGTAAAAAAGTCATACAGATACATTTTTCCAATCTATCTACCCATTAGTCATATGTATAGTATTAGCTTTCCTTAATTTTTGAACTTAAGCACAGGCTACGAATTCTATAGTTTGCATGTATGAAACAGTATTTTGTAAGGCGAAACTAAAATTTATGAATGACTTCTGAACGATATCAAAATCACCTTAGGAAAATTCAACTACATAGTAGAGTAAAGACAGGGTTAAGAATTAGAGTGAGTAATTAGGATTAAGAGTTAGAAGTGACGGTTAGAAATCAGAGTAAAAATCTTTACAAGAATTGATATTAACTATAATGTCGGAATGTTATTTAACTATATTGATTAATGATTTTCTCGCAAAAATCAGAGTCGCTATCTTAAATCTAAATGGTCTGTCCATCAATTATAGTCCCACCATTATAAATATGTTTATGATAAAAATTCTAAAATCTTTTAGCATGTTCAACTGTTGATCACAAAGACTATATATTTCATCAAGAATATACAAATGTTTGCATGATACTATTTTATACCATTTAGAGTTTGCGGTAAAGAAGTTATCGAAGGTTAATCTAACTGAACTTAAACTACTATAGATGAAGGAAATTTAAACACTGATTCTGTCTTAAGTATGTTATATCCCGGTGAAGATTAAATTACAGGTAACTTCCAAGGACTATTAATGAACTAACATTCTATAAATATTCTTATTGTATAACTATTCAACAATTACATTATGTATATTTATATTCCTCTTATTATAAGCTTTATTTTGACCTATAATTTATTATTGTACGATTTACGGTTCTTAAGCTATGCTCAGTCTATTAATTACCGTCCCCCTCGTTCACAGCCACTTTTTGGCTTATTTGTGAACACATTTTATTTTCTATTTTATGGTACGTTGTGGTCTGTCTGATTGATATATAAACCGAGTATGTCTGAAATAAACGATTTGATCCGATTCGATTCATATTACGGAAGCTGGTATTGTGTTCTGAACTCAAGTGGAAGGGCTAGGAGGACATAGGACCAATAAGGACGCTAAACTGCCCACACCGCTTGAACGTCATTGGTTGGCCTAGTGTGAAGATTCGTATAAGTCGTATTCGGATTGGTAGATAATTCGTGTGATAGAAAAGCCAGACGTTAAGGTCATAACAAAGTACTTGATTAGTAATCGCACCCTTGAATACCTTGTAAAAAAGGAGTTTTTATTTGATAAATAAATATTTCTGAATTGTTTTTGTTCTCATAAAAAAATGATCATAATTATCTCTGTATAATTCTATCAATTTTCACTAATCTATACTGTTACGAAACATATTATTCATAAACATAGGGAATTAGTGAGAATATGAGCATAAGAAAACGAAATAACAATGATAGAAGCGAATCAAAGTGATAATCATTTTAATAAAACTTTGATGTATAATAGGTTGATACTCTCCCGAAAGTAGTATGTGGTGTAGATCGCTTCAACTGATATAGTTTTACCGTTATTAATCTATGAACTGAAATAAATAAATAGATGGATTTCTTAAACAGTTATTTTAGACAATAAGTAGTTGTAAATCATCTCAAAAAGAAATTAATAATAAAGCTATAAATTAGACCGTCTAAAACAGACCACAATAGGATCTAAAAAATTAAAAATGAAAATGAGTAAAACGAAGACCACTTCATCAAAACTATAAGGTTGAGGATAATCATTTGTCTTTTAATGTTCAATAAGCATGAGGCATCCAGCATTTTTGGTCGTTTTTTCATTCATTTGGTGAATGAGTTCTGCGAATAACAGTGTACTTGAAACGTCTTAAGCTATCCTTATCTATCTATCTGTCGTGAACACGTACGCATACGCGTTTCAATAAGTCGGATGAAAAATATGAATACATTGAAGGAGTAGGAACTGAAATGAAATTTTCAGTGAACAGTACTCTTTGACATGAAGCACTTACGCATCAACTGAACAAAAATATAATTAAAATGCTGAATGCTTCACTTTTATTGTAAACTAAAAAACTGATGAATATCTTTAATCAACTAGAAAAGAAAAGGAAGTCATATCAACAACATACGATAAAAAGAGGAAATTCATCAAACACAAAATGATAAGGATGAATAAAATTTGAAAATAAAGTCGACATTTACACAATAAGGAGCAGAATAATTCAGTCTGAAATACCATTGATCATCATCAATTCAGTCTATCAAATAACGTAAAAAGTATCAAGAATAAATACATGAACTAAAAGTGGGATTTTTATAAAAACGATGACAAAATAACAACAACTGTTGCTATTATTAGTGAATTAAATGACGTCTAGGCAGAAATACCAATCAGACATTCATTCCATCAAAATAATATCCCGGACAGCTACTATTTCTTCACGGAACAGATTAAGAAAACTGTTCTACTTCACCTCTGCCGTCAATGAAAATTAATAATAAAGAGTAAATGCTTTCATTTTTTCACAGCCAAGATAAAAGACAAAATAGAGCAATAATTTAAAACTCTTGTATTAGAATGCCATATTGTTTAGTTTTTTTATATTTCTTCAGTTAGAAGAATTATGACGCCTTATGGTGAAGGTCAACATTATCCGAAAGTCACAAACAGAGGAACAGCTAATATATGTACATGTAGTGTCCGGACAATGTGGGAGACCGGGAGGACCAATCAAATAGCCATGGAAACGAGGAGATACAACTTGATGGTGCTCTCAACCAGTGAAGCCTATTGGACCCAAGCTGGGCAAAGATCATTAACTAAAGGAAAGATGCTGACGTACTACGGTCACGAAGACTAAAGTGCTCCGCATATTCAGGGAGTTGTACTGTTGTTATTCATGGATCCATGATCATCAAAGCATCCTTCAAAACAAAAAAGGATCGGATCACAGTGAATGTTATCCAGTGCTATGCACCCAACAATGGTAACAATCAAGACGATGAAGATCAGTTTCATGGGGGTCTGCAATCGATCGTAGAGAAGTGACCAGGAAAGAATCTGACCATCCTGATCGGATATCTAAACGCCCGAGTCGGAATGGACATTAACGGATATGAAAATATCATGGGACGACATCGACTGACTGGGAGAAACGAACAAGAATGGTGAGAGGTTTACAAATTGATGAGTATCCGATAAAATGTTTACAGGCGGTACATTATTCTCAAACAAACTTATACATAGAGTTACATGGGTCGCACCAGATCACACTACACAGAACCAGACCAATCACGTTGGCATCACCAAACAATTCAGAAGGAGCTGACATAGCTCCAGATTACCACCTAGAAGTTACCAAGTGGAATTGAAGCTAAAAAAGCACTGAATAACTGGAGAAACAGAATTACAAAGGTTCAATATAGCCTCCCATCGATTTACTGACAGTTTCAATGAATGTAAGAGAGTTCAAAGCTGTTGGTTCAAAGCTTTACAAGATCTTTTCAAAGAAGAAAAAACTTTCGTAAAGAATATTTGTGAATGGACTTAAGAAGCATCCGATAGCGTGGATAAGAGAACATTATGGAAACTTCCTTGACACTATGGAGTTAGTAGCTGAGAACATCGTCAACATCATATAGAGTTCATACGACAGAATACAGTGCAAAGTTGTGCATGGAGAACAGCTGACAGACGCATTCCAAGTGAGGACCAGTGTCAGGCAAGCTTGCTTGCTCTACCTCTTTCTCTTTATTGTGATGGCCGACTGGATTATATGGAGCTCCACATCTGAGAGAAAGCACAGAATACAATGAACAGTTTGCATGCAACTAGACGATTCGGTCTCCACAGGTAACCTGGCTCCCCTATCTCATACACACCAACAAATGCAGATCATGACAGTCAGTGTAGCAGTAGCCTCTGCATCAATACGTCTCAACATACACGAAGAAAAATGCAAGAAATTCAAATACAACACACAAAACACCAACACAATCACACTTCACGGATTAAAAACTCTGGAAGATTTCAAGACTTCCACAGATCTGGCAAGCACCATCCACGAATAAAGAGAATCTGATGCAAATGTGAAGATATGGATTGACAAAACATGGATAGCATTTCTACAACTGAAGAACACATGCAACTCGAGACAACTGTCTTAAAACCAAAATCAAAGTCGGAATATTCAATACGAACGTCCAAACAATTAGTTCTACTGTACAGAGCTGAAACTTGGAAAACTATCACAACCATAATCGAAAAGGTACAAGTATTTACAAACATTTTTCTACTCAAGATACTGAATATGCGTTGGCCGGATACCATCAGCAACAGTCTACTGTGGGAGAGAACAAAGCAGGTTCTAGCCAAAGCGGAAATTAGATAAGCACATTCGGAATGGATAAAATACACATTGAGGAAATAATTAAACTGCATCAGGAAGCAAACGCTAACTTGGAATCCTGGAACGAAACAGAAAAGTTGAAGACTAAAGAACACACTGCGTCGAGAATTGAAAACAGGCATGGAAAGGATGAGTGGCTACTGGAAACAACTAGAAAGGATTGTTCAAGATGGAGTCGGATGGCGAATGCTGGTTGTCAGCCTATGCTCGTCAACCAGGGTTAATAGACATAAGTTAATAAGGTGATTATTGATAAAGAGTACGTGCTTCTTTTTTCTCACAGCCCAAATAAACGATAAAAGCGAGCAACAACTTGAAACTTCTACATTTGGGGTGGATTAATGACATATTTTTTTACTTTTCTATAATTCCATTTCTGTTAAGCAGATAAATCAAGTAAACAGTGAAGTTTAACATGTCCAGCTCTACATACACACCCATACTAACATATGTAGATGACCACCTACAGTGAGGATAACAAACACAAGAAACACATTATAACAGTGTAATAATTATCTATACTCTTCAAGTACCGGGCAACTTGACAACATTTAAAAAAATGGCTTTCGATTAAAATAAATATTAATCTTATAATTTAATAGTCATAGAATATCATCAAATACCCAGTTTATTTTAAAAGTAAATTTGATCAGTAGAAGATGAGGTGAGCTTCATTAATAAGACGATTGGCGAGTGATCAGAAATGAAGTGAAATTAATCTGCTTTCTAATCCATAACTTTATAATTATGGAATCAAATCTGATCAGAATATAATTATATACACAACTTTCATACATTGGTTGGTAAGGTTTGAATAGGAAAACCACAATTATGGTAATGACTATTTAACTTACACGATACACAGACAAACTGATACGTAGAGAGTTGTGTAACTGGTCCAATAATTTAACGAATTTTTCTTTCTGTAAAACACAAAATACAATATAAAATAACATATATCATGTAGAAATTTCAATTCAATAATAATGTAAATAAAATAAATAGTCTAGGTACATCTAGCTGACGAATACCAAATAGGACGAAACGCTCGTCATAGATTCCAAGGCTAACTACCATCCAACTTTGCCCGTAAATAGTGAATGTGTTCTTTTTACAATGTATTTTATACAATCATTGGTTTAACTGTATGTTTAATAATCCATTATAAGTATTTGTATTTGCTGAACAAATTCAGTTAGTAAAAAACACGATAAATCCAATGATACTCAAGTTGAAATAAATTTCAACGAGCATCAAAATCTGAGTCAAACTATCCACTTGCTTTGGTTACAAAATCTAAAATACTTAGCACTAGCAGAAGATAATAAATCAACGTGAAATCATTCTAATTAAAATGTTAGAAAAGGGAGAATAATTAAGAAATCAATACAAAAAACTTTATCGATCTTCTTAGTAAAACTTTGGTGAATGCTTAAAGATTAGCAGAATTTCAACTAAAATGTTTATGGGATGAATTTGATATAACCTAATTTTCATTTGACCATTATTTTTCTGTTATATATAGTTTGCACACACAACACTGAAGAGAAGACTCAATTTATGACTTTTAAACAGCTTTGCAACTGCGATGATTTTAGACCTGTAAGTTAGAATTCAAGGATTTAAATATCTTAATAAGTAAAATATGTTCCAAAGCGTAAATATTTACATTCACTTGGTATTGTTTGCTTGAATCTTCCCATTAATGTTTAGGACTTCAATTGATCAGTCAGCTTTTGCATATGTGCATCCTATGCGGATTACCTCGATATTTCCTTAAGTCACAAGCATTATAAACAAAGATGTATGGTGGCTAACAGCGAAATCCAAGACGTGCGTTTTGTCCTATTTGAGACTCATCAGTTGGATGTAACTGTATCTCAGATTTGATGTTCACTCCGGGATAACTCTGAGATTCAGGTAGATTCAGCTAACCAGTCACGAATAGGATGAAACGCACGTCGTGGATTCCACTGTTAACCACCGTCCATCTTTGTTTGTAAATATTTACGTATACTAGCCTTGATATTTAATTGGAAATGTATGCAAACCTTACTGTTCAACTGGTTCAAATGAAATTCAAAAAAGCAATCATAAATAATATATTGTTTGCTTATAATAAATGTACAGTCTGTTTGTGAACGATCACTTCTAACTAATGATATATATTACTTATATGTAGATACTGTGAGTAAAATAGAAAAAAATTGAATAAAATAATGTAATTACAGTCGCAGTAAATCATTCTCTTTCTCATTTTAAATAAGATAACTTTTAAAAAATGCTCTTATTATTATCTTAGATTTTCTGTTGTGTACATAAATCTGTTCTCTTTAAATTAAGGCAATATATCTAAAGGGTATTGTGTCAAATAAGTTCAAGGAAAGAAATTTTTTTCCAAAAAAGGCAGTTGAACGAAAAGCGCAAGATTTCCGTGAAAACAAACAACTAACACCTAAAACGGTACACATACTAATAAACAACCAATGACAATATAATACTGTAATATTTAAATGCTATTTATGTTGCTACCTAATAGTTATAGAAAAAATAGATGAGAAATGATTAGAATGGAAGAAATTTTAAGAAGAAACAATCCAAACATAATATCAATCGATCAATAATTTAATCAATCCGGTAAAATTAAGCTCAATTCTTCAGATGATATTATTTTATTCTATTTTTTTTGGTTATCTTCAGTGGGTACACAATATAAACAGAACTAGAAAGTAAGTAGTTTATAAGAGATACGCTTAAATGATTATAAACTTCTCGATATTATCATTGCTTTTTTTCCTTTAGTTAGAAATTTACAGTTCTTGTTGTTAATGATCTGTCAATATTGATTTTTTATAAAGTAGAAGTCCAAAACTGACGTACATTGCCAAAATCAATCAGTTAATTTGTACTTCATGAAATTTCCAACTCAATCTAATTGGATGACATAATAACATTTCAGTTACAAAATGGATTATACTATCATATATAATGTTAATAGACTTAACACAATGAGTATCAGCAACTGATTATTATTCAATATCATGTTGTCTAGGACATATTACTGATAGGAGTAATAGTAGTTTTAGTAGTAATAGTAGTAACCTGTTAAGAAGATCTCAAATTATTTCGTTTTTTTTCTTTTGTTAATAAATTGTAGTTCTGATATATGATCAAGTCCTCGATAACTTTTAATTCATATTATCAGGCCAACTGATGATATCATCTAATTGGTTACTTTCTCTCATATTTTACTAGTTTTTCAAAGTTCGTTATTCTTACTAAGTAAACAGAATTCTTAGATCATATTTTGACTTCTGAGAATAAAAAGCTTCGCTATTAAAAAACCACATTCTCTCTTCTCTTCGTGTGACGCTGTGTAATAATAAATTGCTATCGTTACATAACAGAAACATGTAAATGGGAATAAAAATAAGAAATTTGGTCCCACTTTTCAATCGGTCATGATCGATACTTAATATTAGCCTCTTTCGATGAATGACTGAATGACCTACGTTTAGATTTCTAGTTCAGCAACAGTCCCATTAAAAATTCAGGTATGCATTGCTGAAGGGTGTCAATCAACATAAAACATAGAACAAGGGCTATATTTGAATTGACTTCATTCATTTAAAATATGTCATAGCACCATTGAAATTCACCCAATTCACATAATAGTCTAAATTTTTCAACATGCCTGTTTTATATCTATATCGATGCTTCTATTAGAAACTTTATTAAATTTACGTGGCCTAATTTATCTAACACAGATTCCTGTCTCGATCTGATATTTATATTTACAAATTGCATTCATCACCTAGTCAAAATGAATTGAAATAATTACAATGTCTTTTTTAAATGTTTACTTGTCAAAAATGAATAGTAAATATAACACGTAAAGAATATGTTAATGGACAGAAATAACTTTTAGGCAAAGAGCAAGCAATAAATCGTAATATAATCGTAACACTTATGATAGAGTATTGTGATACAAATTGATATTTATTTTGAAACTGTAATTATCTATTTTTCTAATAATAACGTTGTTTTTGTGTACTGCATAGATGTTTCTGTTTCAGGAAATAAAGAGTTTTTATGAAATTTGGAACTGTAAGTTTACCCACTGAAAAAGACAACAAAATATCATGTTGTTGTTGAGATGTTTTGTCGATATGAGTTTAAACTGTAGATAATACTCGTCACGGGTTGACATCAGTTAGACAACTACAGCCACATCTTAAAATGAGACTTGTTAATAGTGCATACACAAGACTACTGTGTTCTAAAAATGATATCTACAAGTATCATCCTCGCCATAGACGTTCAGGTTCGAACTTATGTAAAGACAAGTGTGAATACGGGCTATTATTTTCTAACCAAGATGAAAGTGTTTCCTTGCTCTATGTTGCTTTTATATGATCCTCTAGATGACGTTATTCAGTGTTAGAAATAGCTATCGTTACATAATATGCTAAGATTCTCTGACTTAATTACTGTTAAGCGTATCTACGATCCACCTGCTTTTACTTCCTTTTCATAAGAAAAATATTTCAAATTATCTGATTTCAAACAACTTCCAAATATATAAAGTAGAAGTATGCATTCTTTAGACTCAGAATCAGAGACTATAAACACATGAAAGACCAAACTTAATGGTAAAATTCGGTGAAGAACTCTTTAATTAGCCGAACTGTTACGATCATAATGTGTCATCTATCTAATATCAGTAACAACGTCAAGATTCAAAGTGATGAGACTTATTTTTAGGTCAATGAAAATTAGATAATGATAGCTAATGGAATAAATCCTATGACAGAATACAGGAAATAAATAATATATTGACTTACACCAAAGTTACTAGCACTGAAACGTTCCGAAGCTGACTGACTACTAGAAGATGATGTATGCGCATAAAATGCATTAATATTAGCTAGAAGATTAGACATAGTAGCCGGTACACCAGTGCACATATATTTTGTGGTTAAGCATGAAAAATGCCTGTGAAAATAAAAGAAAATCAGTTAGATATGATAAACTTTTGAATTTGAAACAAACACTAAATGATTTATATAAAAATATGTATACATAAAGCGGAATTCAAACGTACAACGTATAAGAGTTCACCATATGTCTTTCGAGATAAGGCTTTTTTAACTTTACTGGATTCTGTTCAGTAAGTTACAATTCGGTTCCCATTAGAACACTATTAAACTGTGCTTGTGGAATAAAACTGAGACGAAATTAATTAAATATAGTTGAATATCAATTGTGTGATAATAGTTGCCTATACATATTCATGAATAAATATAGGAGGACTAAAACGAAGGAAGTGGAGTAATCTCCTATAAAAGCATCGTCGTCTTGAGACTTGACTTAAGCAATAGTTAAACAACTGCAACGGTCAATTTGAAGTTAAAGGTTATATTTAAAAGGATGTCTTCAACTCTCAAGCATCCAATTACTTATCTAAAATATTATTTGTCGACAAAGTCAACTGTGGATAAATTCTCGTCTTAGATTTACCTACAGTTGTATCCACCAGTTTACGTTCATGTGTTAAAGTATATGAACAGTTCCAGTATTGCCGTTGCTTGTTGTTCGCTTAATTGTTGAAAAACAGCTGCTGTTTGAAAATATATCATGATAATAAGTGATTCATCACATACACACCAACTAATGCAGATCATGACAGTCAGTGTAGCAGTAGCCTCTGCATCAATACGTCTCAACATACACGAAGAAAAATGCAAGAAATTCAAATACAACACACAAAACACCAACACAATCACACTTCACGGATTAAAAACTCTGGAAGATTTCAAGACTTCCACAGATCTGGCAAGCGCCATCCACGAATAAAGAGAATCTGATGCAAATGTGAAGATATGGATTGACAAAACATGGATAGCATTTCTACAACTGAAGAACACATGCAACTCGAGACAACTGTCTTAAAACCAAAATCAAAGTCGGAATATTCAATACGAACGTCCAAACAATTAGTTCTACTGTACAGAGCTCAAACTTTGAGAACTGTCACAACCATCATCGAAAAGGTACAAGTATTTACAAACATTTTTCTACTCAAGATACTGAATATGCGTTGGCCGGCTATCATCAGCAACAGCCTACTGTGAGCGAGAAGAAACCTGTTTCCATCTGACGAGGGAACTATGAAAAGACCTTAAAGGAGGTAGAAAGCGGAGTCTCGGACAGATTTGGTTGGAGAATGCTTACGGGAGGCCTATAGTACTCCAGGAGGTTTAATAGGCCTAACTAAGTAAGGATGTTTTGTCACAAATTGAATTTGTTTATCGATGCACTATGATGGAAATCAGGTTACAAGCAATATGTTTCATTGCAAACTTTCCTCATAGAATTCAATCATAAAACCAAGATTTCTATGCACTTCGACAATAAAAATTGGGAACTTGAAAAAATGTAATACAATATTTCGTAAATTTTATTTATTTTTTTGTTATATAAAGAAAGGAGAAAGATCAGTTTTATTTAGGATTTCTTCAACTTACGTCATTGCTTGATAAATTGATTCAATCCCATAACGTATAGCAAACTCATTGACAATATCTTGTGCAGGTGGATTAAAATATACTTTCCAAGCATCATCCTGAAAAGTGGTACATGAAAAATTCTAGAAAAAGATGTGTTTTATGCATCTATTTTTAAGTCATAAATTACATACTTGTGTTGAAAACAATACTATGTATACAATACTTCTAAGATAAACTGTAACGCATGTTTAACATGTGAAGATTATGCTTCATGACATAGATAAATCTATTTTCATGTTTTATTTTCATACACTACTATCGGTTACGATACAAATATAAATCGGGAATAACACTTTGGAGCTTCAAATCACTTAGTGAACATTATAATTTCGGACAACTTATTCTAAATCCAATGGTCAACATTAATATGAATGCGCAATGTCGCCAATGAAAACATGAATAAGTGAATTCCGATTCGGTGAAGCTCGCGGCAAGGTATAAATGTTTCAGGTTCTAACCCTGCTAAAAATGTCTGTGTTTACCACTAATAAGACCTGGACAAGGATGAAATAACAATTAAGGGCTTTCTTATTTCTATTCATTTTTCACTTACTATCAATCATTAATCTGAATCAACTTTGAATTGGACGGTTTTCACAAATTACCCCCCCGTCCCATATAATACACAGTAAGTGGGAATTAGAGAGATGTGTAAATCATTGCTATATTCTAGTTGAAATTTATCACCGACATACAAATTAAAGGTACTATCACATAATGAAGCTAAAAATTAAAGTGCTAATCGGTGTATAGTTAAAGATATCTTCTAGCATATATGATGTAATTGAAACTACTTATTACTTTCTGGTTGCAAATGGTTACCGAAATGACCATTGACATCGTATCGAATAGCTCAATGGGAATTATCAAATTGTCTTCGGAAAATTTGAGAATCATACCAAAAAAGAATTACATTCACATTATTAGCTAAATATTAAAATTAACTCATTTCAAAAAAGGGAAATATCTAAAAAAGAAAGGTAGTTGCCATCTTCAGAGGATCTTGTCAGCAGAACGCTTAATGATATTTTAAATTTAATCAAGAAAACTGATTATAAATATACAAATGAGATATATAACAACGATGGTAGCCGAAACACAGTACGTGGGAAGAGTTATACAGAAAGGTTATGAATGTGAGATTCATAGTCAATATTACGTTTAATTTTTTAAATAAAATTTCCTTGTATTTTCGAAAGTTTAACAAAATTCGCTGAAGGAAACGCTAGTGTTTACAGTTAAGTTCTACTTTCCTGTAGTGCAATCAACATATCAATAGGATTATTCTTAGGAAACAAAAATATTTCAGGAACTATAATAAGTCAGTCAGTTAGTAACAACGTAGAACTTCGTACGTACGTACATCAGTTCGAGTTGCCATACCACATTTGCACAGAGATACAATTGTCGATTCAAATCCCGTAGTGGTAGAGGTAGTAAGAGTATAAGCAGTAATCGGGAAGATTAGGGTTTGGAGATGTTATTTAAAGAGTATAATCCAGTGAAATAAATTTGGGAAGAGAAAAAAGAGACAAGGAGGAATCAGGAGATTAAAATTTGGGAGAACACAAAGATTAGATGCACCTGCGCCATTGCAAATGGTTTTGAGCCATGTCATTCAAGGTCTCTAACCATCGGTTGCTATCGTCTCGCGGATCACAACCAGGTAGTCTACACCTACCAACATGGTTCAGTCCACTTGTCAGTGACTTCATGGACTTGTGCCATGTTTTGGTCTGGCCGCCTCTAGCTTTCTTCCAACCTAATCCTACACCATTGAACATCGCACGTCGAGGCAGTCGGTGGTTGGGCATACGTAACACGTGTCCAAGCCATCTTAACTGATGAAGTTTCATTACTTCATCAATTGATTTGCCATGCTTACCTAGTACCCGTTTCCTAACAACTGTATTACTTACTCGATAGTCCCAGGATATACGAGCAATGTTTTGAAGACATCTATGATCGAATACTAGTAGCCTACGGATATCCTCTACTCTTACCGGCCATGTTTCACTGCCATAAAGTAGGACGGAACGAACTGCTGCGCAGTAAACACGTCCTTTGGTGGATAGACCGATATCTCAGTGCTCATTAGGACTACGATTAAATTCAATTAAATAGTTCACTAAAACCGATTAAAGCTTAAATGAGAATGATTATTTAACGTATATATGTATAGATATATAGAAGGCGGAGATAAATTGACTCTGATAAAAAGGAAATAAAGTAGGAAAAATCATGCACATCATTCAACTTACCCCTGAAGCATCAGGTAATTCAACTTCTGGTTTACCTTCACTTTTATTCGTTTCGCATAAGTAGTGAAATATATTCTAGATTTATTTTGTTGAGGTTGGGGAAGAGGAGTATCGATGGAAAGATTTACATACAATATAGGGAGAAAAAAATAGTTTTTTACTGAGATTATCGGTAAATTCAGGAGAAACTGCAAACAATTACTATATAAGAAGTTTAAATGATTTGTATTTTTTGACGAAACTGGGAGCTAAAATTTATTGTTGATCTGATAACAACAACAGTAGGAACAAGTAACTTGTACTTAGGTAATTTTCCGCTGATACTAGAACAATTATTCATGAGCAAATTAATGTTTTCACTTATATTTTCATCATGCTTTACTTTGATATACAATGATGTTTATACGAAATACTAATCCAGAGATTGCTAAGAATAAACTATCGAACATTAAAGCCCAGGAAACTAAGACTGGTGTTTTACGCCTGTCTAGCGGTGATGGTGAATCTGAAAGATGAATTACCTAGAATGAGCAGCTTGTATTTGTCATTTCGATTGCCTTCGTGGAGCAAGTTGTATTGGTCGAAGTTTTAGGAATTTACATTTTCGTGCTCGCGAACACCTTCCAGAGTGTGTGAGGAAAGGTATAGTAAGGAAAATGAACAGCTCGATATTGGTGTATTTAGTGAAAACTGGTCACAGTATCAATATAAGCCAATCTTTTTCAATTGTTTATCGGGTCAGTAATTTTTTGCCTAAACCTGTTAGACACAAAGTCCTTCAAACGGTGGAAGCAGTAGCCACGAAGATTAAGAAACCTGAGCTATATGTACAAAAGAAATATCTTCAATCTCATCTTCTACTTTGGTCAACCTCAGGGTCAATTAATTAAAAATAAAGTTAGCTATTGAATGACCTAATTTGAGTAATGTGCTTACAACATTTCTTAGTCAAATATAATTATCTTTATTGTCTTTGTTCACATATCTTGGTAATATTATTATTATTATCGTTATTATTATTGGTTCAACATCATCATTAATTTCCCGAACACATAATTCGCTTATTTAGCATTCACACAACTTTATTATTTCTAACTAATTTCATATAAAATCGTGATACAATATAGTCTTGTACTAAACATTTGATCGAATTTTTAATTACACTCTTATTTCTTACATCCTATGTGATCCATATGTATTCTGATCATGAATGTTTAAAATTTCACGTGACGTATAAGCTGATTCAAGTTAAACTCCATATGAACTTTTTCAACATTAACAATTTTGTTTTGTTTAACAATCGTAAATTCACATGCTATAACTTTAAACGATGCACTTTGCCCTAAACGTGGCCAATTTTCAGATTGTTACTTAGGCTATACATTTGTAGAACCTAAAGAAAATCTGTTGAAAAATTATTCGCAATATATATTATTAAATCAATCAGGGTAGTGATAATAGTCCATTTATGAGAAATTTATAACACCCTTATCTCTTCACAATTGATTGATCACTGGGTGGTGACCAATGTCATGCTTTTCTAGTCCTTATTAGTGCAGATCGAATGCTATCGATCATGTTGCGATGTCGCCACCAGTCTAAGTGACTCGACACTGCGGGCACTATGTGTTGAAATTTAGATGGTGGTTGGAGGTAGTCAACAGGAAACCCTGGACCCGGGTTTCGTGCTACTTGGCACTCGTCAGCAAGGTGTACCTGTAATCTTGAGGGAACTGGTGCTCCCTGGCGGATTCGATCTCGTGTCACCCAGCTGCACAGTCAGAGACGTTATTACTGAGCAATCCGAGCCGCGACTGACCTCTTGTAGGAGCATTCGATCTGCACTAATAAGGACTAGACAAGCGTGACATTGATCACCACCCAGTGATCAATCGATTGTGATTACATCTCAGTCCGCCAGGGAGCACCAGTTCCCTCAAGATTACAGGTACACCTTGCTGACGAGTGCCAAGTAGCACGAAACCCGGGTCCAGGGTTTCCTGTTGACTACCTCCAACCACCATCTAAACCCTTATCTCTTCCTTGGCCGACTTAGTCTTAATAAATGGTTTTATTTATTATTATTTTCCATACATTTTGTTCGTTTATTTTTCTTCACCCCTCTTTTCTCAAATGTACGCTTCATTGTCTAATTATCTGAATATTTCTTATTGCATAATGCAATAATTTTTTAATAAATACTATTTCAGTTATTTCAGTAGTTGAGATCATGAGTCAATTGAAGCTAGACCACCATGGAAACACCTGGAAGCACTGGACGGCCGTTTCGTCCTATTATGGGACTCCTCAGCAGTGCGCATCCACGACCTCGCCCCCTGCGAGATTCGAACCCAGGACCTACTGGTTTCGCGCCCGAGCACTTAACCACTAGACCACTGAGCCAGCATTCAACGGTGTTAATGTCTAACTTCAACTAATCCACTAAATTGAGCGACACATTCACCATTGTCTTCAGTGAGTTACTACCTCACAACAGACCTGGTTGAACTCCACTGGTCACTACTTCTCACTAGAACTCCAGGATATACCTCGTGAAGCCAGTCATGAGTGAGCATATTTTTGATTAATATCAGATGGGTTTTTGTGGAGTGCGCATCCACGACCTCGCCCCCTGGATGCGCACTGCTGAGGAGTCCCACAGTAAGACGAAACGGCCGTCCAGTGCTTCCAGGTTTTTCATGGTGGTCTAGCTTCAACTGACTCATGATCTTAACCATTAAAATTACTACAATCTCCACAAAAACCCATCTGATATTAATTCTCTTTTTCATGTACAAATTCTATGTGAAATAATATTTGCTGTATATAATCTACAAAGATCAGTATTGCCGTGATAAAGTATAGTGAATAAAAAAAAGATCAATATGTTATATGCAACAAGACATAAAGAAAAGAATTAAATGAAACATTCATATGAGAAGTACAGAATAGATAGAAAGGCTAAAGTATAGAGATTAAATACAAGTAAAATATCCATTTCTTGTTTTAATCGTTTAACTTTATTTTTCAGAAATAGGAAATATTTTATTGCTTTTCTTAAAATATCTAATCATCACATGTTAATTCCACGGTTTTTTTGATCTATTTATAGAACGAATCCAATTTTATCTTAAACTATTACCATTATGTAGAAATAATAATAATAATAGTAAGAGTATTGAAATTTACAAACTTAACAAATTCGGAATAAGAGAAGGGTTTATAGTTTGTTATGTTTCTTCGCTTGAAGTTATCAGCTAGAGAGTATTTGAAAAGGAGGGATAATCCAACATTTCATCGACAAAGATCCATGTAACTATACTATATCGAGTTCAGGACTTGGAGGTTTAGTGATAAACACTGTGCCATCAGATCATTGAGTGAGAATGATTTACTAGATGATTTTGATAATTTCAGTTTATTCTCAATATTTAATAACGATTATTTGATGTCTTCTACAATAGCTTTTTCACCACTGGAGAAAATGAACTTTCGAAATGTTTTGTATTTATATGCGAGAATGTTGTCTTAGGACATGGGAAAATTTAGGTATCAACTGGACTCGAAACAAAAGCAGTGATTAGCAGTAGCTCCATTGAAGAAGCTAGATGACTGTGTTTGACATGGTACGTCAAGTTGTATGCCATCGGCTAGCAAGATGATAACTTGTTTTGTTAGTTACTTATTATTCCAGTGACCTTGGAATATTCATGTGAATAGCACAACTGTTCACTCTTATCTGTTTTGGTTTAATTAAAATACTGATGACAGTGGTTTTAAAATATTTACAAACTATCAACAGACTACGTAAAATGGTGAAGTGACGATTAGAAAAATAAGATTTTGAGGAAAAATAAAATTCAGTAGTGAGAATAAAAATAAGTCACATGAAAAACATTTACCAGTTTCACTTTCTATGTACCTCAGACTTTCCGTCATATAAGTAATTACCTTGTAGAGCAATGAATTACTGTAAATGTTATAATAGTAGATAATTTGAACTGTCACTCTCAATTCCAAATCATATACAATGTTGAAATAGGGAGTGACTGAATAACTTTGTCAAAATCAGTTAGCATACAAAGTCTCAATGATCAATAAGTCAGCATACAAAATGGACTACATGAAAGAAAATATGTACAAAAATTACAAAAACTGTTCATTAAATAAGATATCGTTAGACCATTCACTTAGTTATCCACTTATCATTTTTCAAAAGTGTTGTGAATACAATAACTCAAACACTTATTTATAGAAAACGCTTAACCCTTAATCTCATCATATTGATTATCAAACTTAAAGTGATTACGTTAAATAGTTCCATTGTGAGACAATGTGATACAAAAGTCATGTAGATGACTGTCCTGGGTTCGAAACTCGTGAGGCAGGATCGTGGATACGCAGTTCTGAGGAGTCCCACAAAAGACGAAACGGCCGTCTAGTGCTTTCAGGTTTTCCATGGTGGTCTAGCTTCAAATGACACATCATTTCAACTATTGAAAATAAATTTAAGTTCATATTGAACTTATATATGGTATTTCTTTGACAAATTGTTAGTGTTATGTGCATAATTTCTGCTATTGATCAGGGATAAATCATTAAATAAATGAAATGCACGTTTCAATGAGAATTCTTCAAATCTTATAATTACAATTGTAAAGAGAGTTGTAATGCTATTTTATTCTACTTATTTCTAAGGTATTCATTATTTAATCAGAGATTGAAATACTATACAATAAAATCAATGACTTGATGGTTAAAATAATTAACTTTTAAATAAGTAAGTGGTGGATTAGAACCCCGTTTAACCCTGCACCTTTTAGACAACCAATATTTATCACCAGTGTTGATTATAAGTTGTAGCGGTCAAACCCAGTACATAGGTCAATACTTAGTGAATGAGTTACACTGGAAAGTAGTGTTCACTAATGCTGGAACATCAGGTTAGACAGAGTGCTTACCGAATCATATGTTTTGAAGGAGCAAATGGATAAGCTGTGATTAGCTTACTTGAATGCATTTGAAGAATGTATATCATTCAAAAGATGAAACTGTATCCGCAACTTAGCTGCTCTCGACCGTTTTTAGGCACTGGACACTTCACATAGTATAGTTTATAGACACATTTTTAAATAACGATCGATGTTCAATATAAGTCTAATGAACAATAGCGAGCACAGTGAGTTTAATTATGTTTATACTAGAAAATGAATCTGCACTAAGAACCCAAATATTATCAGTTCTGACTCATGAATATACCTTTTTCATCAATCTAATTACAACCTTATGATCATTACAGAAGTTTATTCCTCCTCAAAATCTTATTTTTCTAATCGTCACTTTACCATTTTACGTAGACTGTTGATAGTTTGTAAATATTTTAAAACTACTGTCATCAGTATTTTAATTAAACCAAAACAGATAAGAGTGAACAGTTGTGCTTAACCCTTAATCTCATCATATTGATTATCAAACTTAAAGTGATTTCGTAAAATAGTTCCATTGTGAGACAATTTCATTCAAAAACAGTCATGTAGGTTAACTGTAAAGTTAACTGGCAATATTGTTGTTATTATTAAAATGGCATGGTATGTAGTAATGTTTTCGATTAGTAAGAGAACACAGAAATCAAATAAAAACGTCTTTTTGTTTTAAACAAATGGCTTTATAAAGGTTGTAAATTTTTAATTGCAATTTTCTTTATGATTAGGGATTAGTTAAGAGAAACAGTCGGAAATCTAGCAATTATAGACAGTCGTTTAGTCCTTGTTCACACTATTTTAACTATGGACAGCAGTAATATTTTTTCAGACAACCGAATTTAGAGTTTTTACAAGCAAAGATGGATAATGTCTAGCAGTGGAATTTAAGATGCGGGTTCCCACCTGTTTATGACTCGTCAGCTGGATATACCTACATCTCAGAGTTGATGTTTGTGACTTAAGGTAGTATCGAGGCAATCCGCACAAGATGCACACATGCCGATAAGAGTCTTATCAACTGCAGTTCTAAACATCAATTAGAAGATTCAAGCAAACAATACAAAATGAATTTAAAGTATTTAGGTTTAAAAAATTTACAATTAGGAACAGAATGTCTGTTTCTTGATTTCTATTTTCTACAAAAAATTATTCAACTACCATCGAATTCTTGTTATAAATCACTTTCATAAAAATTTGTAACCCTATAAATATATGAACTGGAAATACTTGAAACATAGTAACGCTAACCTCATGTAAACATGTATATTGAACATGATATGGTGCAACTTTTTCTTCACCCTTAATTTCTACTGAAATAAATAAACGGATTGCACCGGAAACAGCACTTTTATCAGTACGTTTTTCTAAAATAAAAAAGAAATAATGAAACCAAAATACATTAAAGATAATTGGTAGACAATGAACGAGAGTAAATAGAAACTGATATAAGTAAATGTTCGAAGAACAATACAAAATGACAACATCTAGACAGTTCTTTGATGTCATGCATAAGAAAACAAAACAGAAAATCAGACGATAAGTAATAAGGAAAGTGCAATGAAGACTGATGTGTATATATATGTGTGTATTTGAAGAAATGGAAACTAGGACTAATCATACAAAGTAATAACATTAGTTTCAACTGGATATTTCTTCAGTTTCAATTGATGGATGAAGACAATAATTTTCAATAATATTATGTATGATACAAGAAATTTAAATCAGGATTGAATAGAAGGAAAACATTTGAATCTGAACTTTGGAGGTTAAATAAGAGGACAGGTGACTAAATAGAATTTAAACAGAAAAGTAGTAGAATATTTGGCATTGTAACTTCACTCTGTCAGTTTCTAGCTTTTATTTACTGGTTATCTCAATTTCCCACTAATATGATTGCTAATTGCAATTGAATCTTTTAGTATTAAGTGTAAATACATCTTAACTATTAGCTCATTTAGTTTTGCTTTCCTATTCTGTCATAAACATTTCTCTACAAATTACTTTAGCGCATAAAATACCTCCAGGCCGGACAAAAACTAATCAACCACTGAAAATGATAGAGAAAATAGACTAAAAAAAGATTACCAATAGGCAGTAAATGGTATTGACTTGTTAGAGAAATTCATGTCAAACCATAGGAATACAAAGATTGGTATTCCAATCAATAACAGTTGTGTCATCTATATTATTTCTATCACTGAACTAATACTACTCTCCACTATTTATTGTTTTAATCTGCATAATGATAAAAAAATTACCATGAAACACCCATAAAAATGCATAGAAACACTATGGAAATGTTATAGGCTGAATTAAGGCAGAAAAAAGGGAAATAACATTATGTTTTGTTTTTCATTAGCACAACAACAACCATAACAAATCAAAATATACGAGAATTCACATACAGTTGAGATTATTCATTTCTTTACGTTCCATTATTTCAATTTATTATTAGAATAGACAATATAAAGTGACAATATTCAATTAGTTTTCTCTGTATTACTGAATAGAAACAACAGATTTTTATAAGGAATATAGAATTACAATTAGGTTGTGTGCTTCTTGTTTTTTTCTGATAGAACATACATGCAGATATTGTGTAATCAATCAGTGTTTAGTTTTCTAAACAGGAGTAACAATTACAACATCGATAATTATGATAGAATAGTTAACAAACTATTTATGTAAGAAATTAAGCTGTTAATGGACACATGCAATTATAAGGTCATGTTTTCTGATATAACACATAAAGTCAATAAATAGTTTTTATTAACAAACTCTTCCATTAAACTAGTCTGTTTGTATTTCGTAAATAGTTAAATGTAATGATCTTATTTCTATGACACAGACTACATTCTAAATCTACATCCCGAGTATATAACTACATAGTAATGCTTCGTTAAATATAGCTGTTTAAAATAAACTATTTAGTGACAATTAAGATAAAGCTTAAATTACAAGATGACAGAAAACAATACAATTTCATAATTTCATGTGATATCTGTAAATCTTCGGTTCGACTTATGTACAAGTTTATGGAGTCCGCTCCTTTCTAGTTAATATCTTTTTGTTTAATCATTATGATGAAAATGATCGTTGAGCTGAATAAACTTGAAAAAAATAATTACTTTACTAAATTGACTACATAAATATTTACGAGAAATTCGAAACTAATGTAACATAAAATGTAAAAGTTCTTTGACCACTTTTTGAAAACAGACAAATAAGACAAGACAAAAAATTTCGTCAGATGAAATAGAGAAGAGTTTCTGAGTGTATTAAGTATGATCATCAAGTTCAAAGAATAACAAAATGATAATAATAATATTACGTAACCAAGAATATGAGATTTATAAAAAAACGTGAAAACACTGTTGCGTAATAATAAAAAAATTTGTTACCAAGGTAAGTGAATACTAATGTTGTAAACGTTTAAAAGTAAATTGAAAAAATTCTAATGTGATATTATCTTAATAATTGAATCTGTACACTATTACGTTTTAAGTTTTACGTAAACCTGTCATCTTTATTTATTATTAAATTATTTGAAATTTATCTAAGATTTGTTCTAAGAAACTTCGACAAATTATACTCCATTGAACTCTTTCAAATCAGTTAATGTTTTCTCATGTATATTTATGTGTGTTGGGTGGAAGATATTTAATAAAGTACGTTTTCTCGATTAAATTATTTTTACTAAATTTTACTGTAGAAATAATGTTTTATTGAAACAGTAAATTTTATGATGAATTCAACAACTTTTCATGTAATTACATGAGTAGCAGTAATAGTACTAAAAGTAGTAGTAGTAGTAGTTCGAAACAGTAGTATATATTGTCGTTGGAAATATATCAATATTCACGCCATATATGTTAATCGGACAATGATTATTATACTCGCAATATTATGAAATGAAACATATGAATCTGATGTCAAACCAACTTTTTTTTAGCCAAAAACTGTAACGTGTTACAAGTTTAGGAATAAAAATAATCAAACTGTACAAGTCAATTGATCCTTTTACAAAGAAATAGTTCATTTATTTTAGTGAATGTTATAATTTGTAACCTTGTCTATAATATGGTATTGGTTTACCGTGAATCATTTGTGTATATCACATAAAGGAAGTTAATAAAGTAAATTCTCACTATTTAGTTGGGACAGTTGTTGAATTTGATTGAGAACACAAACCGATCAAAGTTAGATAACTGTTGAAAACCTGTTGTCAAACCTATACCCCATTGGATCCCGGCTCAGTAGTTTGAAGGTTAAACATTCAGGCGCAATACTGACGGTCTTATATCCTATTCCCTAACGCATGCTAATGGATGAGTGCTTTTGAGGTGCCCCATACTAGCTCAGAATGGGCGTCCAGTGCTTTCATGTTTTCAATGGTTGTCTTGGGTCGGTTTATGAATTCGAAAAAGCAGATTTTTCCACTAAGAATATGAAAATGATGAAATCAATAAATAATTCTTGGGGTAGGATGATGAGTGACTTGAATATAATTGATTAGAATGGATTACAGTTATTTATTTTCGTTAATCTAAAGATCCCGACAGTCAAATGTAGATGCGAAAATGTTTTCATCTAGTTGTTTCTTAAATGTATAATGCTTTCTTTAGAAGTGTTTTAGTGAAAACCGGATACATCAACATAAATGGTAAACGTTTTAAACAAAATGAAATTGATTATAGCTCAAATCGAGATAATTTCGTGTTGGTTACTGACATTTCTAGCACAACTTATTATTAGGCATTCATAGTTTAAGAAAAACCATACATAGAAATCCATTTTGACAAGATTAAAATAGTAAGCAATCACTATATAGATTTAATGAACATCGATGAGAGTCCTTTTAATATAGTTTCTTTAAAAAATGATTTCAAATATTAAGAAGAAAAAAATACAGTGAGAGCTAACAGACAATTAATAAGTATTCGAAGATTAAATAACATTTTAGTGTAAACTATTTTTTTCGAATTTTTCTCTAACTACAAACATACCAAGATTATACCACACATCCATTTCACCGGATAAAGTACGCAATTCAATAATAGCTTGACCTAAGAAATCATCAGATTCTGCAGTGAGCTTTGAACGAAGTTTAGCACGTAAATCATTATCTTCATCCCTATTTATACATAACAACGATTATTTTGACAATATTTAAAAAAAATATGATAACCAAGAAAATAAATGGTTAAACATAAAGAGATCAAGTACAACAGTGAATAGTATATTCAAAGAATAGTGAATCCAACAAGGGTTAATATTTAACCAACAAGCATATGAATAACACATATAAACGAACAATTATGATTATCAATGTGAATAGTAACAACAAACAAGTCAACACATAATATTTAATATTAGTTAGGAGAACAAACAAAATTGACCGATATTACCAAAAAAGAACAAATTGAATTAAATAATCGTGAAAGAAAAATGTAAATTAAAATAAAGATATAGTTATCATTTTGATTATTTTGTGTGGAATTAGGGTATGTGGAGGAGGATAACAGATTTGTTAAGGTGTACAAATCCATTGTGCATTTAAATACACATACATATCATAGAAAGGTGATTTTTTTTTGTAGGAAATAATGTTGTGGTATGAATTGGGTAAAAAGTAGTGATGGATAAAAGAACAAAGAAAATAAAATATAATTAGAATAATTTATTAGAAATTTATAAAATAAACAGTTAATTTAAATAAACGATTATTTTCGATAATTGAACTATGAGAAATCGAATTTATCACGTCTATATAAAACTGACTTACTATAGCCTGAACACGTTATGTCGAGGATATAAGTCTACAAAACGGAGCTAGGTTCTGCAACCGATATATATTATTACTAATGGACGGTATAATTATATATATATATATATATATATATATATATATATATATAATGACTGAATACACACATATGTATACATAGGTACATGCGTCAGCCAAGATGAATTAATATAGACTACAAAGATAGAGGAAACAACTACCATTAACCGTTAGACATTTTCACATAAACAAACATCCACATTTATATATAAGTGGCTAAGTACAGAAATATACAAAAGTACGTATTTTCTAATCACCATTATTAGATAGAAAAAGTAAAATGTAACAAGCAGTATGAGGAAAGAGTAATTTGCTTTTTTGTTTTTGATTTTCCTTTTTTTTAAAATTTCATCTGATTGTGTGTAATTTGTAGAGAAAAACTATTTATTACAAACACATGCTATGGATGATTACCTAAATTGTACCATACATCCATTTCTCCACTCAATGTACGAACTTCAACAATAGTTTGACCAAGAAAATCATCTGATTCACGTGTAAATTTTTGACGAATTTTTGATTTTAAATCGTAATCTTCATCCCTTTTTTATTAGTTATCATAAATTTAGTTTTCAATTTTCATGTTGTTTCATATTTAGCAAAGATTTATAAAACAAGTATGTATATATATGAAAACATAATAAACAAGTTAGTGTAAATTGATATATACAAATAAATACATTTGAAGTTTATTATTTTCATGATGAATTGATATGAGCTAGAGAACTATCGACAAGAACAGAGCAACAGATAGTAGTTTCATATCTCATTAGGGATAGTTGATAAACGCATTCAGGCATCATGACCAGTCAGTGAGTCGCACAATATTGTTCTGGAATTTCAAGTTCAGCCAATTTTATTAACACATGTCACTTGATCTTTAATGGTTCCCTAACTGATATCTACTTGTTTGATAAGCTTACTTCCAAAATGTGAAAAATCAATTCAAAAACTAACTGAACAAATAAGTATATATTTTTGGGCAAAATAAATATTGGGGTCAGAAAATAATAATCCGTACGTATTGGCATTACGCTGCCATCTTAGTTCAGGTTAAAGCATATCAATTAAATCACAATAATAATCCTTTATATTTCTATTTATCAACTATACTTTTATCATTAAGAATAGTGACGTCATTAACTGTTCCTCACAAGATTCCTCGACGTTTTCAACTATCAATGAGAAAAATGGATTCTTAAAAAAACATTCACTTACCATATGTGAATGCAATTTTAGGACTATTTTCATTATAGGTTTGTAAGTGTGGAAACTAATTTTTAGTATATGCAAAATACACGTTTTTGTTAGCCATAATATGTGACATATTTAGTCCCGTTTCGTTAATTATAGTCAACCATCACTTTTTATTAATAAACTTCAAATAAGGAACATGAGAGATATGATGATTCTTGATTCTTAATTGGATGTTCAATATAAAAACTGGTGCAATCAGTGAATAACATACATTTTCTCTATTTAGTCAGAGTGAAATAAGGGAAGTTATGGTTAAAGCTGTTAATTAATGCTTGAAAATGATGTATATACACTTATTCTCACCGAACGATTCAGTACAATTTATTATGAAAATATATGAAATAGAATCACTTTGTTTCCTGATGGAAAATACCAAATAACTGGGCAATATATTTATGAAATCAAGCGTAGTAAAAACCCTGAAATACTTCAAATCATAGAGTGCTTTGACAATCCCACATGGGAGAATTAAGATTGCATAATCAAAATAGAATTCGTTACAAAATGTTTTTATTTAAGAAACTAAACTACGACACAGTAAAGTGTTATATGTGCGGTACAATGGTGATGGTGTTATATGAATTCTCGAGTATCACTACCTAAAAAATTATACTGGGTGATGTGAGTAATTAAACACAATTTAAGTGGGTTAGGAAGAATAATTAAGTGGGCTGAAGTGACATACTTGGTATCAAACTACTGAAAACTATGGCCGTGTTTATTTGACGAATTCATTCAAGTTTATTAAAATGTATCGAACTACTTATTTCAGTTGCCAGTAACATGATGTGTGATTTTTGCTTAAAACTTATATGGTTATTCTAATGACTATTATTTTAAACATTCACTACATATATTATTATTATCAATATTATCGTCAATATCAGCACTTGATAACTACTGACACAAACTGGCATTTTAATTCGATCATTTGATTTTTTATTAATTTTGCTGAATTCAATGTTAGTTTATTCTTTGTTTCAGATCAAATAAAAAATCTAGACGATGACACGTTTTTTAACAAAATAATTACTGTTTAATCGATCTTATTTATTTCACTGAAAAACATTTAGTGTCAAATAAATATAGCAAATGACTAGTTCAATCGGACGATATCCTCAGCTAAACCATGTCGAGTCATAGAAGTGTTTTGTTGTTATAATTTTCAAGATATTTAGTTTACTTGTAGGTAAATATTGAAAATAATTCATCTAATTCAAAGAGAGTTACATCGGAAAAAATATCTTCCTGATCAATGATTCATGTCACTGATTACATTTCTACTTTTTTGGCAGTATTTACAAGATTCATTGAAACAATGACAGAAGTTTTCGGAATGAATTACCCACACTTTGAGTTGTTATGGAAAAAAAATGAAATTTGTATTAGATATTAAACCTTACTGCACACAATGAAAACAAAGCTGTATCATTTTAATAAATGACTGATGGTTTTATCTTAAGTTTTATTAATAGGTATTGGTTATTAGTTGACAAGTGTTTTGAACATATCCACAACCGTATTTCATTTTGAGATTCAAACAAATGTTGTCCAACATTCTTTATATAGGACAATGTTATGATGATGTGTAAATTTCATTATTTAAAATTATACAAGCACTTTAAAAAGACATCCTATTCATTCTAACATAAATTTGTAGACTGTCAGTTTCAACAACAACAACAAAAATAATAATGCAATTTAGATTCATCCCACTAGTTAAATGATCTATTGAATGCGAATTCTCTATTTACAATAATATTAGATTAAAATTCACATTGATGTATAGACAAGAAACTAAAACTCATACTGAACAATTGAAATAGTTAAACTGTATAATTACTTCCGGTTTTGTACAATTTCAACAGTGTTATAATTACGACAGTGCATGTAAAATGTCCACATTAATCAACTATCCATTTCAAATAAAATACAGATTAAAATATAATCTACAATGGATAAATAATGATCAAGAACTATTGGACAGTACAATTTGATAAATATTATCTAGACATATATAAAAATCATTCTTAACTAATCACGTACCATACTCGAATTTTAATTCGATCCGAAGCATTATGACATTCGCTAAAAGAAATTAAAAAAATAAACAAATACGATAACTTTAAATGAATCAAAACATCAGATAAAAGTCATAAATACCATGTTATAATTATGGCAAAAATACCAAGAATTAGAATATTGTATATTGACTTGACTACTCTTTAAGAGTAAAGAATTGTATCATTTCATAGACATGATTTCAATATAACTCATATACTTAATTTTTTTATCTAGTCACCTTTAAGCAATACTTTAGTTATGCAACTGGTAATGATTCTATTTAGCTGTTTGAATTGAAGTAGTCAAAATGAAGTAGAAATGTACCACTCACCAGTTCAAACCCAAATGTCTCAACAACACTACTTGTATCTACTTGACTGATGCCAAATTATAAAAAAATCAAATTTTTTTCAATGTATTCAAACAAAAATTAATTAGTTATGATAAAGCATCCAGAAATCTATCGCTAAAAGTCAAGATGAAATTTATGTGAGGAAATGAAAGAGGAAAACGTCATACGGCGACAAAAATAATAAAACTAGGGGAATAAAATTCAAAATGGAACATAGCTAAAATAGAATAGGAGACTTGTGATTTGGTATTGAAGTTCAGGATGTGTATCAAATCTTGTCTAGGACTTGTCAGCTGGATGTACTTGGATTCCACCATTGATGTCTCAAATAGAATAAAACGCAAATTCTTGGATTCCACCACTAGTCAGAATTCATCGATTCCGAATAGCTTACGAGAAAATGGATATAATGAAATAACCAATGCAAAATGTACATCTGCTGATAAATACTGACTCAAATTCTGTCATGAAAATCAACAACGTAATAATTCACAAACCCTTACGAATAATGATACCATTAAATTTCTTCAAAAAAGTGCACAATATTTGCGTGGACAACTAGGACTAGAACACAGTAACTACTAGCTTTTTTTCGAGCAGTGTTTGAAAAAATCTCAAGACATTAAACTATATTATTTTATATTATATCCAGATGGCAAAAAATAAGTAAGCCATGAAACTATTTGACCTTTCACGAAACTATTGTGGTGTGTGGTACTGATGTCGACAGAAATTAGTAGAATGCACCAACAATCGAAAGTGAAATGCGTGGTGGTAGAAGATTAAGAATATGGAAGAGAGGAGAATGAGAACAATGAGTGATTGGTGTGGAAAGGAAGAAACAGTCAAGTCTGAGACAATTGATTGACATTTTACAAATGAAATATTTATCGTACGGTTCTCAGATTCTACTAAGAGATTTTGTAATATAAATTCATTAGTCAGCGATCAAAATAGAATAGAATGTATTTGGAATGTCTGTTGTTTGTTGTTTGACTTCAGTTTATGGACTTATAGTATTATTCTGATATGGTAGAAAATATTTGTAGTCCAAGATGAGGATATTGAAGATGCTGTATTCTCTGAGCTGGACGGTTTAATCGGCGTCAGTAGAACATACTTCAAAAATAAGTGGGCAACTAGGATTTCTCCAAATCTGAATAATAACTTCTATAATTAAAATGGAGTTATGTACAACACACTTAAATTCCAGGTCAATAGAAATACCTGTTAATCAATAACAAAGAAATTCTAGTAGTCCGTTTATTTTAAAAGTATGTACTATCAGTGTTCTCTAGAAAAGCAATGAGAACTTGATGAATCAATCATCCTGCTCAGGGACGAATAACATCAGCAACCAATCATATTACCCAAAAAATAATCGTAATCGAAAATTTGCTTACGAAGATATAATATCTTAGAACAAACGGTATAAAAATAAAGATTTTTATTTCTCGGTTTTTGTCAGGTAACATTAAAATAGTAAATAATAATTAAGTCTGTAATAATGATAATAATAGTGTGGTAAAGACAATGATAATCTATTTTACTTACAAATAGAATTTTTCATTCCAAACTGGATTAAGCTCTTGTGGAACAGTTTTTGTACGTTTTTTAACTTTACCAACTTGTACTGTAACATAAGGATCACTCGTACCAGTTTTATCTTTGCCAATTAAACCTTGTGCACATTTAACTGAAAATAGAAATACAAACTAAGGAATATTGTCCAGATAATCATCAGGAAAGATAAAATATAAAATAGTAGCTGGATTATGTAAAATAAAACTGATAGAACATAGCTTAAACTAGCCGGGTCTGTTGCATATATAATTCACGATAGTTTCAAATTGGTCAATGCCATCTTAGGTAGTGAATAAACGTGTATTACGTAATGAAAATTAGGAATAGAAGATTTATCGACATATTTTGTGAAGAGTAATGTAGTATAGGCTGATATCAAAGCTTGGATACCATTGAAAATCTGAGTGGTATTGGATAAATGTTTCTTCTTAGTACACGATTCTTCAGAAGGGTTGAGAATTTTCAACTGGTTATTCAAACAATAAATATACATGCAACAATATGTATACTTCTTTTAATTAATTGTCAACTTATGATAAGCGAAATATGAAGAGTTTGTAGTTGATTATAATTAGCTTTTTCGTAGAAGGATATTATTTTTGAAAAAAACAGCAAGAAAACGGAAAAAGCTTGTTTAGACCTGCTCTGTAAATGTGCAACAGTCATAAGAAGGTTTTCTCAGTAACGCATTATCAAATTTTGCTATCAACACCATCTGATTTTTATATAAATCCTTGAACTCGTCCTCTTTTATGAAGTATACTGAATTGGGAATCCATGTTTCTAAACAAATATCATATTTTTGTTACTATTATCATAATGACCGCAAACTTAAGAAAATTAGACAATTTAATACATTAAAATAGTGAAATATTTCCACCTCAGACAACGAATGAAGGGTTGTACAAGATCATGGACTGATTGAAGTTAGATATTAACCTCATTGGATGCGGGATCAGTGGTCTAGAGGTTAGGTATTCGCGCCCGATACGAAGGTCCTGGGTCCAAGTCCCACGTGCGGAGTAGTGGATGCGCACTACTGAGAAGTCCCATACTAGGAAGAAACGGCCGTACCGTGCTTCCAGATTTTCTATGATGGTCTAACTTGAATTGACTTGTGAATTCAACTGTTAACATATTTCATTGATCAACGCTCAAATTATTTCGTATGTACTTGTAAAATGTCATTTAAGAAGGGGGTAGGAAAATTGGTTATAAGATGTCTAGTTACGAGCATTATATTAAAATAAATCATGTGAATATATAACATCTTAGGAGAAAGCTACGATGGGTTAATTGCAATAATAATAATAATTATTACTATAAAGTCATGTGAGTATGGTATGTAATAGAAACAATTTTGACAAGGTAATCATGATAACAGTGATCTGAATTGGGAAATATTAACAATCTCCATAGTGCAAATTAGAACAACACATATGAGCGAACAAGGTAGTTTTTAGTTAGATCTTCACTAGGCTTTGGTGATACTCATATAACTACATACATGTATCTATGTATGCATCCTGTACTTTAGAGTACAGGCTGATAAAGATCTATGGATCGGGAAAGATAAATGTGTAAATTAAGAATGGAGTAGGGCAGGAATATATGGAAAAACGGCTGGTGGAGAGAGTAAGAGTTTATAATATGTGATTTTAATGTGTGATGTGGCCCAGTTGTGCTCTGTAGTAAAAAGAGATGCTAAATTTACCGCTTTCTAATGAATAAGATAGGTTTTCTGGAGTTGATTATTAAAATTTATCAATGATACATTTTGAACGTAATTAAGCCACATGCAATGCAAAATTGAACTATTTTAACAGTTGGCATGGTCTCATTCACTCATATATGGGTTATTTTGGCCATGGTGATACAATAAACAAGAGTTTATGACCGTAGAGCTTGGTAATCAAATTATTTGAAACAACTATTCATTCGGATATTTCATATTTTTAAGAGAATACTAAAATACTGGACAGTAATTCAATCCATCTGAGTAGTACACCATTATCATCAGATCTTCAACCCGAAACTTACTTTCGGTAATTAAAGTGGTTTTGTTCGAATCAAGCTGGGAAAAAATGACTATGATTCTTACAGTGTAAATGCCAAAAATGAGTATATTTGAAAGCGATCCAACGACATTTTGTTAATAACTGCTTTTTGAACAATTTTTAAATGACTGATAATAAGTATTAAATGATTATGTTGGGAATGTTGGACATTGGATGAATGACTTAGTAGTTAAGTAAAACTTAAAGATTCTGCGTTTTTACTCTTGGAAAGTTATGGGTGTGTTTTTCCGAGTAGTTTTAAACTAAGATAAAGCAGTTATTCAAAATTCTGGTCGCAAATGGTTCTCTAATTAATATTGTTCCCTGTTATATTTATTTCCAGTAGGATATATGGAGATCATTGATTACTAGAAAAAGTCATCATGTACATGGCAGTAAATAACTTCGACAGATACAAGTGAGTAGTTGTGGTCAAATGAGTGCATTCGTTTCAAGAGTGAGATGAATATCCCCCATAGCACTGAATAAAGGTTGCGCAATATAATTAATTGGTTGTAGTTATAAACCTAAACCACTAAGTCCCAACTACAAGGTATTATTACGGCCCTGGGTATTATCTTAGATAGGATCGTAGATGCACAACTTTAAGGGGTCCTATACTGAGATGAAATAACCATTCAATGCTTTCTCTTTTCCAATAATTGTTTCACTACATTAGATCGTTGATGAAATAAAATCCAACAAAATATCGATAATTTGTGTTCATAAGGTTTTATTTCAATATAATCTGTCAATAAGAGAGATGTTTATCTAAACATGCCACTCATTATTTTCTGTCATTCTAATAAGCATTAAATACAAAATATTCAGATAGTATTTCTTTTAAAAGCTTTATTCTATTTTTAAAATAATCCTAATTTCATATGGCATAAGTTTAAACAATGTATTTTTGCCATAAACATGCTCATTATTTTGAAGCACTAATTTAGATGTGCGAATGTAACATTGGATGGAAATTTACAGAAAAAATTTTCTTCCTCTATATATCTGTGTTTTAATAATGTTAGGTCTAGTGGTTAAGTGCTAGCGCGCGACACCAGTAGGTCATGGGTTCGAATCTCGCAGAGGGCGAGGTCGTGGATGCGCACTGCTGAGGAGTCCCACAATAGGACGAAACGGCCGTCCAGTGCTTCCAGGTTATCCATGGTGGTCTAGCTCTAACTGACTCATGATCTTAACCATTGAAATTTTAAGAACTATTAAATAATTAAAATCTACAATTTCTGAGGGAAAATTAATCCACACATTTTATTTATATTACAATAGTAATAATAATAATAATAATAATAATAATAATAATAATAATAATGGCACTTACTAGTTATCGCAATTTTTGCTGACCATTTACTAGTTCCATCTAAAATACTTTGTTCGGCTTGTAGTAAATTACGTTCATGTATTTTACTATCTACTTTAAATACTAAACCAAGTAAATTGAATAGATCAGGCATTTCACTGATTCTTTGTGACATTAATGCTTTAATTGCTTGCATAATAGTTTGTGCTTTATCTGCAGCTCCTTGTTTAGCTGATTTTTCAGCAGCGCCTAAATTGTTAAAACAAAATATAATAGAAAATTAACATAATATCATGTTACATAAAAAAAACGATTGCTTTTGATGTGGGATTATTATTATATAGAATTTCCAATAAACTTTAAGTTCAATTTAATAAATAGATAAAAGACGTTTCAATAGGAATATTGACTTTTCTTCTTTATGTAAACATTAGGAAATCATGAGTTCTCTTACTCAGATGATAAAAAAATGAATAAACTCACCTTTGGAAAACCATCTGTCATTGATAGGAAGTTCTGAAGTCCTGGTGAGATGCTGTTACTTATAGAATTTAATGTGTTTGGAAGGGAATAATAACTATGAATGGTGATCACACAATATCACCTACTGACAGGGGTTAGATATATAAACCGCTGAATACCAACTCAATAGTTCACAATGCTATAACTCATACTGCGAGACCTGCAGATATCGGGTCATAAATGAGCACTTCTGAGACGTCTCACGTTAGGATGAAACAATTATCCGATGTTTCCTTATTTATTTATTATTTATTTGAACACATGAATATTGGTACAAGAGAGCGCCAATATATATGCGCCACACAAAACAATGAGAATTCAAAGAGAAAGAAAAAAAAGGTAAGGAGCGTGAAAAAAGAGAACAATAACGAAGAGATTGGTGTAAGGTAGTGTGGTAGTAATGAGGGAATGCAAAGGTAAAATCGGAAGAAATCTTTCAGGTAAGGGAGACACAACCACTTTTTATGAAGAAAGTAAAAGAAGGTTACAGCAGGATCGCCACTGGCTTCTATTCTGAGCCATATCTGATAACGTCTCTAGCCACTGTGTTGCACCATCTCTCAGACCCCAACCAGGGAGTCGTGAAGGACCAACAGAAGCCAGTCCTTTGCAGCTTTCTTCCATGCCACGACACCATGTCATGCACTGACCACCTCTCCGCTTTCTCCAAACAGTCCCAGAGTCGGCAAATAATGCACGACGTGGAATTCTCTGGGACGACATTCGTAGAACACGTCCAAGCCACCGAAGTCGGTGTTTCAAGATGGTGACACCAATTGAATTATCATCTCTTTGCCCGAACACACGATGCCGAACCTCTGCATTACTGACATGGTGTTGCCACTGAATGTCAGCAATCCTTCGGAGACAGCGATGATCGAACACAGAGAGTCTTCTAACGTCCTCAACTCGGAGAGGCCAGGTTTCACAAGCATAGAGCAAAACTGCTCTCACCGACGCGTTGTAGATCCGACCTTTTACAGCCAGACTAACATCACAGGAGCCAAAGGTGGCCCAGATTGGCATAAGCCGCTCTGGCTTTCACTATACGTGCATTGATCTCATCACTCACACCCCCACCAGCACTTATGCAGCTACCCAGATACACGAACTTCTCGACTACTTCTATTTGCTCACCATCCAGGGTGAGTACAGGATTGGAATCCCGCCAGTCTTGTAGAAGTACTTTGCACTTCGAAGGTGCAAAGCACATACCATACCTACGGACACTGGTTGCCAACTGATTAAGTGCGGATTGCATGCCTTGGGCATTATCACACAATATCATCCGCATACTCAAGGTCGAGAAGTCTTTCTCCAGGCAACAGATCCACACTGCCATTACTTACATCCATCACAGCTGTTTCCAGAATGTCATCGATGGCAAAGTTGAAGGGGAATGGTGAGATTGAGCAACCCTGCCTAACCCCACTGCTCGAATGGAACAATAGAGAAAGGTGGCTGTATGCACTCACTCTGCCTGAGGTGTTTTTATATAGGGCTTTTAGGATGTTAATAAACTTCTCAGACACACCCTTCTTCAATAGACAATCCCAGAGAACAGTCCTATCCAACGAATCGAAGGCAGCCCTGATGTCAAGAAACACCACGATTGTTGGCATTTGAAAAGTATGACGGTGTTCTAACATTTGGCGGAGAATGAAGATATGATCAATACATCCTCGACCAGAACGAAACCCAGCCTGCTCCTCGCGAGTCAATCTTTCTCGGGTTTTGAACAACCTACGAAGAATGACGGAAGCCAATAGCTTGGATGCAATCGGAAGTAAACTTATCCCCCGATAGTTGTTACAGGAACGACGTGAACCATTTTTAAAGATAGGGACAACTATCGACTCATTCCATGACGTTGGTACGCTTTCTAGTTCCCAAACCTTTGTAAACAACGTCGTCAATTCCTTAGTCAAAAAGTCACCACCATCTTTAAAAAGAGCCGGAGGTAAGTCATCTGGGCCAGGTGATTTGTAACGCTTCAGGAGTTGGAGTTCCTTGCGGACTTCCGCCTCACTCGGTGGATCAGTCGTCACCGGCCATGGAGGGCAGGACAGTCTGACCGATGTTGCCGGAGCAGCAGGCCAGTTGAACTGCCCTTCGAAAAATTCTGCCCATCGTCCAAGACGTCGATGGATGTTAGTGATTGGCATCCCATCATCCTCGCAGATTGTTTCGCTCACACCAGGCTTCTTGCTGCCAGTGGCTCGGATGACTTGGAAGAGCTTCCGGTAATTACCAGATGCACCTGCTGCTTCCAACTCATTAGCACGCTTCGACCACCAGGCTTCTCGGTCCTTACGCAAGCTTTGCCCGATTTCATTAAGTACCAGTCGTCGTTTGTAGTCAAACTCACGGCTACCCGGAGTAGACCAACGGGCTTCAATGAGTTGTAAGGAGCCTGAAGAAAACCAGTGTTTATAAGCGGGACGTTTCGCGAACCCACAACTGACTGTACCCGCCATTTTCATGGCGTCATGCAATTGCAGCCAATGCTCATCTATACTTTTCGGTGGAATGGTAGCTAGCCTAGAAACTAGCTCGGTTCGATACTTACTTGCAACAGAAGTTGCAACCAGCTTGCTAACATCAATCCGTTGGTGGAGGTCACTTCGTTGTCCACTGAGAAGTAAGGTAAGATTGGTGCAGACCAAGGCATGGTCAGAGTCCAGATAGGTACTCCGAAAGGAGCGGCAATCTTGTACACAACCACGCCAGCGGTAGCTGATCGCGATGTGATCAATCTGAGTCCAGGATTGAGATGCAGAGGGAGGACGCCAGGTGGCACATCGGCGATGACTGTGCCGAAAGTTAGTGCCAGTCAGAAACAGGTTGTGGTCTGTGCACAGTTGCAGTAGACGGTCCCCGTTATCTGACCTGCGACAAACGAGTCCCCATCGGCCACCTAAACGACTCTCTTCTGTGCCTAGACGCCCGACCTGAGCATTCAAGTCTCCGGCTAGTACTACAATATCTGTCGAACGCACTTTCTGGAGAACAGTTAACTGGTGGTAAAACTCATCTTTGATTGCATCCGGGCTGCAATCTGTCGGGGCATAGGCGAAGATGACATCGTTTCTTACTTTGATGGAACTCTTTAATCTAACAGCACATAACCGACTGTTAATGGGGATCCAATCGATTAGTGCTGCCTCAGCTCTAGCGCTTAGTGCGACACCAACGCCAGCAGGACCACTCGAAGATGCCACAGGATCCCCGGATAAGCGCACATAAAACAAGCTTTTCTAAGCGACAGATGGAGATCAAATTTGTTTGGTTTCAGAAAAACTGCTTCAGTACTCATATTCAGTGGTAACATACAATTTTCAACCGGATAGTGACTCGAGAACGTTTATATACAGTCGAATTTCCACCAAAAACGAGCCGCTGTATAAGTATAAAAGAGGGTGAATAATGTGGTAAATAATAATAATAATAATAATAATAATAATAATAATAATAATAATAATAATAATAATAATAATAATAATTTGATTGTTATTCGAAGCGAGAAAAGTAGTTTCCATAGATATAGAGAGTTCATCATTTGCGTGTGGGCTGCGATACTGCCCGGGTGCCCAGACCGAAACAGGTGGTTTTCTTAGAAGACCACTCCCCGAGCCTTTGACCTAAAGGTCTAACCCACAAGGCAGTGGAGCATCTTGAGTATATGCGATCCCATGGTAGTCGGTGACCAACGATTGGTTCATACGCCATTTGTTCCCGCAGGATACTGGAGCCCATGTGCACCATTGGTTTATGATCCGGTTAAAGCGCCGGACATTCGCTTTTCGTCCTCTCATTTTCGTATCCTTCAATGGCTACTTAGCCAAAATCTGTTCGTGATGTAAAAAAAGACTGAATAATTTCCACGCAACGTTTCTGTCGGTATATTACTTTCCTTATGCATATAGGTAATAGAGTTTAGATGTACTTATTTGTGACTGAATGTCCATCGAAAGATCACAAGCATAAATAAATTTGGTAATCTACTGTGGTACACAAACGTTTACTGATAAACATATTTCCTTAGCAAGATCGAACTATCACTTTTAGTTTGATATATATAGAAAATTAGTAATTGAGAACTTAGCTAATGCTGGAATAATACGAAATTCAGGAGACTATCTGGTCAATGAATAAATCAAATGTCTGTCAGAAAAAAAGCAACAGGGATTATTTGAAATATGTGAATAAGTTTGGATAGTAATTTTTGAGTGATTACCTTTTATTGTATTTAACATTCAGAATAAACTACATTTTGTGGCATAAATTAAAAGTCGCCTACTGTTTATTTTTGACAGTGATTTCTCGATCAAGTGTTGTTCATTTTGAAAAAAATTGAACGTGGCTTTAAACATTTTCAGCAAGTGAAGTATGAATCTCACAAACGAAGATGACGTACACTCATTGCATTCATCAATCGAGTAAACGAAATCGTAGTGAACGTTGGAAGTATTTATATATTCTTCATAAATGCACGTCCGTTGTTTTTAAAGGTGAGTGTTTTATTTATGGAAAAATTTCCAATTACTAGTTATTTATTTGCATAGCAGAAGACAGGAATGGGAATCATCTATGTCTGACAGCAGGGCTGTTGATTTTCCTAGACGGTCGGAGCAGTTTCTGTTGAACATGCAATTTATTCGTCTCACTAGCAACAATCGGTTCCATAGACTTTGAAATCAAATACTACTAGAGTTCTTCAGAAAATGAACAGCCCTATGACATGTAAGTAGGAATTCTATTTTCCTGTAATATGCCCTGTTTTTGGCAGGTTCACCAACAATTAAATACTATTGGAAGTACTATTTCACCAGTTAACCGCCTGTTCAGATACCACAAATGTATACAGACCGGAAATTCCAAATTCTAGAACCACGCAAGTGCATTCTTTGCGTACACCAGTCAGTTATATTATAACCATAATTTATAATGACGTTTAACGACTTTAAACATTGTAATAAAGACTATGTATGGCAAACTGTTCACTAAATGTTGGCTGCTTTTTGTTCATATTTTCAGCAACACGGAAAAATGGACCGATATTTATGAAGTGTAAGTGTTCAAACGTATGTTCACGGAACTCCACCTTAGAATTTATTCGATCGTGTATCAAGTTACGTGAAAAATTGGTAGTGTATTCTAAAAACACTACACAAATTCCGTCTTAATAATTTCATCTAAAGTTCAGATTGTTCGGATATTTCTTAGCGATGGCATTTGATGGTTAGTCCATCATCCACGTAATACTGAATACTAATCTGTTTCTTGCCTAGACAGTGTTAGAGCACAAAATGCACCTAAGTATTTACTTCTCATATTTCATTCGTGCCTACATTTTGAAGTTAAATTTGTGGGACTGTTTTAAAAGAAAATTACGAGCTATCTTTTTAATAGTATTCCATTTTTAACTGCTTCCAAAGCGGTTAATTATTTAGTATCCCATGTAATGTGGAACTAATATAAGTACTAAGCCCAGAGTAAGAAACCAGAAGTTTTGTAATTCATCATGGAAGTTTAACTAACTTCACTTCGATTAACCTGCAGAAAAATATATGTAATTGCCTTAATATTTCAAGTTTTAAAGCTAAAACGTTAATTAGTGTGGCACATGATTTCATTATATTACTAGACTAGGGATACAAACGACTCTACACTACAACTAAACGGACTCATTTTTTAAACGTCAAAGTTACAAAACTAAAATTAGTTAACATCGCATTGAAAATTGGTTGCTCTTATTTTAAATTATTGTTAACACTATGATACATTCGTGTCCACTGCTAACAATTCTCAACTCAGACTTTAGTACTGTAAATCATACTCTTCTTTCTGTCCCACTAACTAAAATAAAAAGACTGGTTTGGTAGTTTAAGCTTTATTGACATCAACCCAAGAATCATCGAAAAAAAGTAAATTCATTTTCAAGAATAACGTATTATTTTAATTCGCTTTTAACATTTAAGTCATGGTATTGAACCCACATTCATTTATTTTCAGTTACTAATTTAAGTAGTATTACTGGCTCTCACACAAAAGAATGATTTGAAGCTCAATAATATGAACTTGTAATTTGTAGCTATGACATTAATTGGTTAGCATTGAGAATGAAGCGAAAAATACCGGGTTCGAATTTTGATGTGAATACCAACAAAGAGATTTAGATACATTCACTTGACAAATCTATGGTAGAACTGGATTCCATTGATAGTCACAGAACAACTATACAAACATTATTGTTAGTTTAAAAATTGATTCCAAACTTTATTTTGGATTCAATATTGCGTTTGTGGTTGATTTATACGTTAAAATGTCACTTCATTCATTTTAGTTTGAGAACCCAGACAATATGATTACCCCTCAAAAACAAAATATTTAGCCAAAAGGAGAATGAATTACCTGTGCTTGGCCATTGCATTTACTTATATTCGCTAACTATACAATTATGAAAAGTTAATACATGATAAAATATAAACATTAAAAATTGTTAACTCACGTTGTAAACAATCTGAATTTAACAATTCACGACATTTGTCATGACATTTTACTCCACATTCTGTACATCGTAGACCTTGTCTTGCCAATCCCCAAAGAAGACCTTCACATTCATAACAATAAGTTGGACTTGTAGCAGTCCATACTTGAAAGTTATGCGGTGTATTACTTGATATTGGATACAGTAAAGCTTGTAGAGTTTTTTTGTATACATGTTGTTTCTAAACATAATTCAAACAAAAAAAACAGAACAAAATGTAAGAATAGAATAAAAACTCAATTAAATTTAAATATATATTTATCAAGTCGCGACACAATCTATTCACCAAGGGAATTTTGTTCAAAGAATTCATGTCTTAAAACAGTATAATCGTATATATATTTTGGTATCATATTCGTATTTTTTTTAAAGTAAACTATATGCTTGTTACAATATGTTATTGTATTTGATACTCGATGATAATGTGTAACTAAAAATAACATTTTAAAGTAATCATATTGAAAAATGAATAGTACAGACTGTAGAAAATCTTAAAAATATCTCTAATAGAGTGTGCAATAAAGTTCATTTACTACTTAAGTGAATATGAATAGTTATTGATTTACACATTAGTTTCCATTGCTACCTCAACTAAGATCGATCTATAAAGAACGCTATCTACAAATAAAAAATAATCACTGTTATATCCGAGCGAAGATTAAATCACGAGTAACTTCTGAGACATTAATTGACTAGTATTATCTATACATTCTTATGGTATAACTATTCAATAATTAGATTAGGTATATTTATATTCCTCTTATTGTAAACTTTATTTTGACCTATAATTTATTATTGTACGATTTGCTGTTCTTAAGCTATGTTCAGTTTATTGACTACTGCCTCCCACTTTCACAGTCACTTTTTGGCTTTATTGTGTACAAATGTTATTCCCTATTTTATGGTGCGTTGAGGTCCTTTTGTTTGATATATAAACACAGTATGTTTGAAATATATGATTCGCATAGTGGAAGCTGGTATTGGTGTTCTGGATTCAAGTGGACGGGCTAGGCGTACATAGGACCAATAAGGACGCTAGGCTGCTCATACCGGTCGAACGTCATTGGTTTGGCACAGTGCTAAGAGTGTATAAGTCGTATTTTGATCGGTGGATAAATCACATAATAAAAGGCCGGACATAAAGTCATAACAATCACCACAAGACCATTTCAGTTAAATAGGATCATTGTTTTGAAATCTAATTAACAGATAGAATTCGTTAGAAATGATTAATTTCTTTTCCGGCTAAAGATTGAGTAATATGTTCTGCTTAGCATAATCTAGTCAAGAAAAGACTAAATTATAATACCAAACCAATTATTGACACTTGTATCTAATGCAGTTGCTTCCAGCGATTTGAGATAAAAGATTGATTGAAGTGGAGAACATTTCCAAAATTAATCACAGTTATAATATTTTGCTTTAATTTACCTAAGTGGTGTGTAAAGTGTTTTAAAAATTGGACAACTGAAGGTAACTATAGTGACAATTGTGGTTTTTGATTGTGTCAGAAAAAACTTTAGATTACGAATGTATGTGACCTAATTACTGAAACAAAAGAAACTAACATGATAAGTTTATATAAAAGCTGAAGTGAATAACCAAGAAGCCGTTTCGCTAAATTTCTAGTGATCAAGATAGGTAAAAACTTTGAACAATGAATAGTTATTTAAACATGGTTTCAAACTTACTGGTCGATAACATCTTAACTTTAGTTTGGTTGAGAAATCAAAGAGCGAGAAAAATTCATTCAAAATAGTCATTAGTTTATATCGATTGAGATGGCCTGATAATACCATCAAGTTGCCAAATCACTCTCTTGTCTTACATACCATATATATTAGTATGGGGTTGCAGAGATTGTTAACATGTGCTCACTAATGAGCGGATTCTCGGAGTTGCAGTGAGAAGCCATGATCAGTGGAGTTGGTCCGTGTCAAGTAGAGACAGGTGTCTACCTCAGACAATGGAACATAGTCGCGCAATTTCGTGGATTGATTGAAGTTAGATATTAACACCATCGATTGCGAAGTGCTGAGGAGTCCCATCTTAGGACGAAACGGCCGTTTAATGTTTCCGGGTTTTCAATTGTGGTCTAACGTCCATCGATCTCAATCAGAAATCTTGTATAGTTGTTACTTTCTATTTTATGGTGTGATCAGGTCTGGTTTGCCTGTATATAAACTGCGTGTCAGAAATACGTGATTTATATAGTTGAAGTTAAGATTGTGTACAGAACTCAAACGGGCATAAGTACCAATATGGACTCAGAATCAACTCTAGGTTACTCGTGTTGGTTAACGCGTCATTATGTTTGACGCAGGGTCAAGGTTATATAAGTTGGTGTTCTGATTGGCAACCCTGTTACGTGATAATCGACGGGCTATAAGAACATAACATTCATGCTATCTATTGAATTCATGACATTCGGATAACCTATGTTAGTTTTATCATGAATAACTAAACTTATTTTATTCGATAAATAATGACGCTTCAGCTACATACAAGCACAATACACTTGAAGTTAAATAAAACTAAGTAATAAAGCAGGCAAAAAAGAATGTGAACTAAACAAACTAAAAATGTGGATCTATACAATTTAGGTGTCATTCGAAAGAAATGCAAATCAGGAAGTAAATGAATAATGAGACAAATTCATACCATTTCTTCATCGTTTATCGATTGACGAGTGATCAGATTTGCACTAGCTGTACCCATGTTTCGTTTTTGTACGGCCATAGTCTGACAAGCATAGAAATGTCAAAAAAATAATAATAAACAAATCAACTAACGAATAATAACAATAGATAAATTAAACTTAAGTTAAGAGGAAATAGATGACTGATGCAAAAATATACAGAATTGATACTTTCTTGAATGAACCATATATATGCCATGAATATATAGATATAAATCACACGCAGAGTTATTTAATGATACGTTCAATGTATTCTTTAATTAAGCACATTCATTTAACTGATAGAAATAAATAAGTCATTCACTAGCATACCACTAATAACAAAAGCAAACCCTGTAACATTCAAGCTGTTAATGAGCATCAAAATATGTACAGGAAGGAGAACATGAGATAAATGAGCATGCAATATAGATGGTTGAAACAAACCCAGTAGTGGCATACACATAAACATAGACACCGACACAAACACCCGTATTGTTTGTCATATGATGATGGTATGATTGCACAAACATGTCAATCATAGAATTTCTTGAGCGATTTAAAAAACTGACAAAACTCGGGAATATATATATTGACATTGAGTTTCCAACCAACTTAAGCAGATTTCAGATAAATGTTAAAACGTGTATCTATAAGTGTATCGGGTAGTATTACCTGCCTAACCAAAAAATGAATGAAGTTGTAGCTAAATACACAAATTTTTCGTCGACACCTAAGTTGTATTAGTCCTTATAATTACTTTGTTTTACTCTAATATGTCAGTACAAGAATGAAGCTATGTGAATATCTCCATTAATATCCTATTCTACATGCAAATATTTTCGTAAATTACCATATTTTTAATTACTTGAATTAACTTATGACATCTTTCATTACTCAATACCATGAGTGTTGTTCCAATGATAAGGAATTCTCAACAGTAACTGGATGAATATTACAACAAACTTCTATTTAAAATGTATTCAAAATGTAATTATTCAAGAATAAATTCTATAAAAAGTTTTTATCAGTAAGTTTTGGTCACTCATTTTCAACCAAGAAAGTTCTGTACTAGTTCAGATGCTACAACTATTGTTTCCATGAATTATACATACATAAGTATGTTCTAGTCTTTCGTCTATGATTATATTTAAAGGATAGATAAAGAGAAAACTATGGTAATAACTTCAGTGATTTCATTTCAGTTTTTCATTATTTAGTATGGTAATAATGCGTACATTTTTTAAATAGCACATGAGTGCATACAGCCTAACATTCATTACTATTTATTTAAAAAAAAGTTTTAAAAAAACCCAGGAAGATTGATTGTAATACTTGGACAGTTTGAAAACAACTGGCCAAAATATTTGAGCAGACTACTCTAAATTTAGAAATACTTAAAACTATCTACTTGATTTTACACTCAACTCAGTGTATTGAGATGAAATACATTGAAAAAAATCAGAGTTTACTTTGGTTAAATAGAATTATTAACTAAGGAGAAAATAATTTATAAGTTTTTGGACTTATAAAGTCGATCTATATTAGTTATAATTTTAAAATTTACTACACTGAAGTTCTTCTTTACCATTTTTTATGGTGAGATTTTATTCTTTCATATTGTAATGTTAGAGGTGTTATTAGTACTTACAACAACAACATTCTTGCAATAAAAAAATATTTGGAACTAGAAACAACATTCAGGTAAGACAAAAGTGAGACTTTTCAACGATAACGTTAAAACAGTAAGATGGTACGGATCTAAAACTTGAAGTACTTCCACTGTTATCATTAAAACAGTCCAAACCCATAGGTCAAGGCCCATCAGTAATAACCTACTCTGATAGAGAATAAAACAGCTTCTACTTGAGGGAGAGAATTAACAAAAGTTGTTTCAGGTGGATAGGATATACTCTAAAGAAACAAGATAAACTCTAACCTAGAATTGTTAAGGTTAAATGAGAAGTGGAAGAGCGAGAAACACATGGCATCGGGAATCAGAGGTTGAAATAAAGATAATTGCAACCGTCAAGGAGAGACTAAGATAAGGTTACTTGAAGATCCCCGATCAAATGCCTGCGCCTCATGAGCGCTGGTAGGCTTAAGTACGTTAGTTGATTAATCTTATCATGAGTCCCTTGTAGTATCATTCGACACTATTTTCGTTTTATTGTACGTAATCGTGAAATATGAAGACCATAAACATCAGTTTAGTGGTGGACACAGTGTCTTCAATTACTAATTTGTTTATTTGAAGATGATTTATAAGAAAATATAATCTATTAGCTATATATTATGGGGTACATTTTGTCAGGAACACTTGAAAGGGTTTAAAAATATAGTTCAGTAAAACGTAGCGCTTTATTGTGCTATATTTAATAACCCAGTTAAAATAGAATAATGTATATAGCGGAGCTTGTATTTTATTGCTAAACATTGTAATGTAATAACAATGTCACTGGTAGCTTTTTGATGGCTCCATTTATGTTACATAAAGCTTACTCAAAGAATAAGCATATATATATATATATATATATATATATATATATATATATATATTGTGTGGAGTAAATCATTCTGAAGGTGGAGCATAATAACTATTATATAATAATTGAATTATGAAATTAACTATCAAATTAGGAAAAGTAATCGACAAATGATTTCCAGCATTTAGTCTAAAACATGAATAAATGGTAAAGATATAAGATAAACATGCGTTTATATGCTACATTTAAATGAAGCAGAAAATCAGAAGGGAAAATGACAACAGTAATCGCTAATTCTGAATTGTACAGTAAATAAACATTTTATACAAATAATATGATATTAAAATAAAACTGTAAAGCACTGTCGAACGCTAAACATTAGTCATAATGACAAGCAAGTATATATATATATATATATATATATATATATATATACAGATATCATGGTTTTTATTTTAAAAAATATTACAGTAGCGAAAACCTAATTTGTTTAAATGTTTTGGATGCTAATAATAAAGTATTCTTCTTGAAATATAAACTAATTTGAATTTTTATAGTTGGAGATTTCAAAAATCATACTGCTGAGTGAATATAAAGAAGATTCTAAGTCGATTATGAGTAGTTGTATTCCAAGTACAAGGTTATTTATTCATTAATTCATAACTCATTAGTTTGACTAGAAGCAAAAAGATTATCCAGCAAAGAAAATTATTCTTTACCGACCATATATACCGTTGTATTTCATTTAACACATGTGTTATTTAATTTGTTGTATCATATGTAAGGTCAGGGAAAATGGTCCTTAAGTGACGATATTACCAAGGCAAAACAAGTTAAGTGACTACATCTTTTTAGATACAGAAATTCGGTTTAAATCTTTATATTGCAATAGCTTTAGCAAAGAGTAATAAACTTTAAGTTCTGTGTTTATTGATTATTTTGAAGGGAACTTCATCATCACGCTCACTGTCGATCAGGTGACGAGTAATCGTAACGTTGAAAACTTTCAATCCGTTGAGTTATAACGTTTATGAAATTTGTTTAAAAGGTGAGCATTTACATATTCGAAAATATTCTATAAATGATGTATAATTAGTATCATTACTGAGAAGACTCAAGTTTTACACAAAGTAACTTATTGTTTAACTGTAAATGTTTTGATTAAATTACTTAATTGTTAAAAATGTTCTACGGAAGTCCAATAAATTCAGTATAAAATTAAATCATATTAGCTATGTAATATAATTTAATCTATATCGTGATCAGTTAATAATGAATTCAGATCAGGGAAACGAGTTAGCCAAAGAAATATTATAAATGAAAGAACTATTAATGGTGTTATCTTTATATTGGATTATGATTTATTGATATCAAGATTACATTTTCGAGAGTTAGCTTACATTATTTCTGTATTACCATTATGAATTATATTCATGAGAACTAATCTTAAATTAACACTCTGAAATATGAGTACAAAGATGAAAGGTAATTAGAGAGAGGATTGAAAAATAAAAGTAAACAACACTATATACATGTAATAGTATGATAGTTTGAAGAAAGAATTAAACAATTGCGTAATCGTACAGATATATAGCATGAAGTGAAAAAAATTATAATTTCATGCATACAAACATAGCATTCATTATTTTCTACTCAGTTATATAGATGGATAACATACATTCATTATTATTACTTTTAGTAGTAGTAGTAGTAGTAACACGGGAATTCACACTTACCTGAATGACCTACACGAATGACATAAACAAATAAGCAATGATTACTACTGTTATTAATTAGTATTAAGGAAAAAAGCATTACATTAGATAATCAACACCTACGTTCGATGTGACACAGTTAACCACCGAAGACAACGGAATGTTCTGGATTGATTGAAGTTAAACATTAATTCCGTTGAATGTCAACTCAGTGGTCTAGATGTTCATCTTTCGCTAGCGTAAACGTATTTATCATTCCATTATGCATGATAAAGTTTAAAGATTTGTGCGTACACTAAGTTTTGTACGACGATGTTTAGAAATGACAATTAAAATAAATAAGTTGTTCACATAATCAACAGATGCTATTTATTCTTGATAGGAAAATCTTCACAAAAGATTTAACATTATCATCTAATATATTGGACAAAACTTGATAACAGAGTGAGAAATCGAAATTCGCTTGATATTGTTTACTTGTATCTTCCCCTTTTTATTTAGGACTGCAATTGGTTTATGTGCATCCTGTGCAGACTGCCTCGATATTCCCTTACTTTACAAGCAGTTCACACAGAATTCACATAAGCCAATAAGAGACTGACCAATCACGGTCCTAAATAACGATGGGAAGATACAAGTAAACAACACCAAGTGAATTTCAAAATTCACCCCACTGCACAAGCAGGCGGCTATCAGCACTCAGTAGCTAGGTAGATAACGCGATGGCGTTTAAAGCGAATAGTACTGGGTTCGAGTCCAAGAGTGAAGGTCAACTCTGAGATACAGGTACATCCAGCTGAGGAGTCCCAAATAGGACGAAACAATTATTACAATTATTATCTGCCATAAATTCCAAGGCTATGTAAAGTATAACTTGATATTGACTGATCACCGAATAGTAATCAGTTGGAACACTGACACTTAACATCACATCCACTATATTTTGGTGTAGGATGATTAGAAGGAATGAACATAAAATATTGTAATTAGCTAGGACTGATCCACCCACAAGTACTCCTTGATAACAAGCTCGAACAAGCACAAAAATAAGGTCCAGGGCTTTCCAAGGACTGCTTCCAACCAAGATAAAATAAATAATCTTATCAATAGACACTGCTACAGTTTAGCACTGTGGATGTTTTAATTTTCCCAAATCTTTATGTATGGAAAATTTCTCCAATCCTCTCTGGTGTTATGTTTTAGTTATACTACTAATAATAGTAATAAAAAGGAAGAATATGTTTCTTATTGATATAGCTTTATATTTCGGTATGTTATGCAAATTTCAAAGAATATACACACGTACATATACACTTACCAAATCGCTAACCAATGATTTCGGTTTCTTTTTTAAACGAATATCTGGCATACTGTCAATATTTGTATAGAATGAAGAATGTAGATCATCAGAATTTGGTCTAGAGAAAAGAGATGAAATAGAACAAATGAAAACAAGTAATATATAAATCATAAATATAAAAAAATGATGTGAATAACTGAATTCTTGGTGAAATATTTAGAATGTATCTGAAGAAAAAGAATGATAATGTATGTGGACGTTTCAGCAAAGAAATTTTTCTTTACGATGATAACATTTTTGAAAACCGTACAGTCATATCCATTGATAATAGTAAAGTAATTGTGCTTATTAGCACCTTAGAAATACAACTCTAATGTCAATCCGAAATAAATGAAAGCGTCAGCAATGCAACCAGTTATTTTAGAGCGAATAGACTAGTATTCATTTTAGTGCATGGTGGAAACTTGAAAGATTTTACAAACTAAAGTTTCATTTCCTTACGGTTAGAGAATCGTTCAACAACCATTACTTAAAAATTTAATGTTTTAATTTCGATTACTGATTTCAAATCCAATGTATTTCATTTCTCAATTACAGAAATTTGATGAGAAGACATTAGTGAAATTAGTAATTTTTGACAAGTTGTTAATTTAATTGGACAAACTAAAATTATCAGTGATTTTTAATGAAAAAGTGATTAGCGGTTAGGATTCCTGGCTTTCACCTAGGCGGCCCGAGTTTGACTCCCGGCGCGGGAGAGTTTTTTCGGCGACCATACCACATCGAAAGCACCGTTTCTCATAAGTAAGTGTAACTGAATAATTCCACAGTATTTGGGCACCGAGTTAATGTGAGATATTAAAGAGGAAGAATGTATTTAAAATCTCAGCGAATGAATTTTGAAGTAAATCCAACGTTTCCTTGAAAAAGCTTGAACCAGATTGCCAGGCGAAACGTTGGATTTACTTGAAAATTCATTTGCTGAGATTTCATAAATACATTCTTCCTTATTAATGTTACTTGTAATTGTTGCATAAGGAATTCAAAACAAACGTTTATGAATCTAATGGCTGGTATCATGTTTCGTAATATATTGGTCATGAAATGGAAACATTATTTTTTTAAAGACAACAGACAATTATAATAACAATAAAAGTACAACTTCTATACCAAATTGATTCATACATAAAAACATCACCTATACCATTAAAAAGAGAATAGCAACAGAAGAACTTACGAGATAACAGAAAACAAACCTCCTTCCTACAATTCAAATTAACAAGAAGAAAGTCAACAACAATGGTACTGATTTTTAATGTATGGACATAATGTACAAATGATTATTTACGTAAACATATTAAATATGTGTTAAAATAGTAATGGACTTTAAGTGTTACCGAAGGTCATAGTAAAATAGTAAAGCTTCAGAAGTACTAAAGATATTGGAGGATGGGTTGATTGTAGGTCATATATATATATATATATATATATATATATATATATATATATATAATTATTCAGTCAGGGGGACTTATCGCCCTGTAGGTCTTACACCAACTATGGTGTACATTCAAAGAGTTGATTTGGAAGTCTTAAACTAAATCGAAGCATCCGCCCAGAATATTCATATATATAACTTTAAAAAATAGTCTATATTCTGTAACACCACACTAGTAACTTTGTCAGATCGTAAACTTCTTAAACTTTGCTATCATCAATGTTTATGTTCCCGTATTCACTGACTTTTAAATATTCGGGAAAGATATTACAAGTTATGAATTTGACCATAATAACGGTAAATATTTTCTTATGGCATTTCGGTAATTGTCAGTTGAATAAAGATTCACAGAGTATCAAAAATGATCCATATTTTATAAATTATTCTTGTTATTAATACTTAATTCAAGCTATAGGAGTTTCGTTAGGCTCAGAGCCTTATTAGGTCTAGTAATCAAGTTTTAGTCTAAACAACAACTTACTGTACGTAAACCACTACACACTCGCTCAAAGGCATCGTACCATCTTTGACGCGGAGTCTTTTCTACAGGTTCCATGATCTCATCATGTTCGATTCCCTCCTTTTTGATAGTCTCATCCTGGTGAACTGGAGATTGAGAATAATGATGAGTATAGTCATGATCATATTCTGCAAATTGTTTCGCATCAGACCATTCCTCTTCATTATCATCCATTTCTTGAATATCCAATGTTTGTAAATTTGGAGTAAATCGATGCCAGTCACTTGACGTTCGACGTGCTCCTTCAAAAGATATTCGACGTTTTGATAAAAGTTTTACTCTATCAAAATCATTGTCAGCATCAGTCGACGATAACTGTAATGACTGAAGAATTTTGCCATCTGAACTTCGTCGAGATTTACGATAAATACTGTGTAAGAGAAAGTAAAATTTAAACATGAATGTCGCTCAGAAAAATTATGCAATACATCTTGAAAAATCTGTTGCATTATAACGCTCATCATAAAAGATCATGTAAGACTTGGGACTTGTTGATAATGGCCATCTTGAACTCGCTGAACTTGCTAATTTCTCGAAGGAGGACTGTATTAAACTTTTGTAATTGTGCTTGTTCATTATATTGAAATACTTCATCCTAAATCAGTCATCATGAATTCAGGATACTAGCTAGGATGCCAAGGGAGAGAGCTAAGTAAAATAAACGAATGCACTGCAGATGTGATTCTCAAAATTGATTAAGACAATGATATGTGTAACTTACACATGTCATATATAAGTAGTTATCTGGAAGTTTTATGTACTAAAGGATCACAAAAACACATTCATACACAATATATTCATTAACCCCTTTAACAAATCATGAAATAATGGCAAAAAATGAAAACAATAACAAACCACTTACTTATTTTCAGCATTTGGTTCATATTGGGAATCTTGATTTATATGTTCCTGAATTGATCTATTATTTTCATCGTTATATTCTTGCTCAATGGTTTCAAGATTTTCAAACTCTGAAGCTTTATGTGCTAGATGTTTAAGAAGAACAAAAAATAAAGTTTTTTTGTATTCATAAACAGCTTGCATCCATAAAATAAACATGTTAGGACCCGAGTTATACCGAGTAGATTAATTATTGCTTGATATGATGGAAAGAAAAGTCAATTTTCGACCGAATTACTCATTATCAGTTTTATTCAATATTACATTCATTTTGATTCAACATGAGGATCATTCAGTGTAGTATTTGATTGTTATTCCAGTATATTTTCTTCTGTATAATATACGATATTCTTGCATTCACTTGATATGAACTATGATCAGTAAGTGATTTGTTATAACTGAGTATGTAATCTAATCCTAATTATTAATCAAAATGGGTGTACAATCAACATATAAACCAGTGTTTTTTAGACTATATTCGATTCGTCGTTGTCATAGTGTTTGGGGCTAATAAATCTTCACTTATACCAGTCTTGTGTTCTTACTTTCGTATCGCGGGAATTGCCGTGGTCTCTCGTTCCGAGTATAAGTGATCACCGTTTTTGGTTTTCCGTCATTATTTGTTTTTAACAAATATTCTATCATCTAATGTATCGGTTTTATTATCATTATCATGAACAGATGTTCAGTAACAGTTGAAAATAAAAACCATTTAGTCATTTGATAATAATACTAATGAGATCAGCATCAAAATATTTACCATGTTTTATACATGACTCGAGCTATTATTGTTTAAGGCTATAGCCAACAGGACTACTACTAATTTGTTATGAGAAATTTCAATACACATTTAGAAATTCAAAAAAACTGATAGGTCCTGGGTTCGAACCCTGCGAGGCGGGGTCGTTAATGCGCACTGCCAAGGAGTCCCACAATAGGACGAAACGGCCGTTCAGTGCTTCCAGGTTTTCCATGGTGACCTAGCTTCAATTGACTCATGATCTCAACTGTCGGAAAAAAACTATTGAAAATCTTATGATCAAAGATTCAATTAGTTACTTCTCATATAAAATATACAAAAAAAATCTCAGACTCATATAGAATAATGTAGTAATGTTAGGTTGTAGTAAAGGAGGGGAATTTAAAGAGAGAATAAATTGTATGAAATGTCAAATTTTATCAAATATTATATGTTTGTTTTTGACAGTTGAATGAAACATAAGGATGATTGAAAATAAATAGTCTATTGGATTAGATAAACAATTGTAACTATGAATAGGAAATACATAAACACAATACAGTTATCATTATTAAACGAACTCTGTTTCTGTTATTAAACAAAATTAATGTTATATTAGGGGTCAAGTAACACGATAGACTATTTCTAAAAATTAATTAAATGAATAAATATAAAAAAACGGGATAAGCTGGGGCATGTTCAATTATACTAAATTTGGTTTTAATTTACATAATTTAGACATAGATTTATATTCTATCAACAGATGAATCATTTTCTTTAGTAATGTTGATTATTTAAATAAATCTGTTTCTTTTTATCTAATCCCTTTCAACCTACTTTTTCTTCAATTAGTATATAATGTATATACAGATAAATTGTTATTAGGAAACAGGAAAACCCAAACAGAACTCAAACCGTACGTTTTGTATTGAATGATTCCATTTAACAAATTACAATATCTCTTAAACTAACGATCTAAACAACAACACACAATTGTTTGTTCAATCCAACTTCGTGTTTTGTTTAAAAGTTTTGTAAGAGTGAGAGATTCCAAGCAATTTAAGAGTGAGAGAGATGACACTAGTGATACCGGATAATGATCGGACCATGTCGTTAACTAAGTTTTAATTACTGAGCCATTGATCTAAATTTATCGACTTCACTGTGATACTGGAAAATTCTAGGTTCAATTTCTTACTGAAATCGTGAGTGCACATTGAAGGGATGAATCAAGTTACAGTGATATATTTGCTAGTGTTCAATGACTTTCAAAGTTTATTTTTTTTATCAATAAATGATCAAAATTATCTCTTGCTTTAATATTCTTCAAAAGTTGAATATATGTTACTACCAAATAGGTTTCTCTTCATCCATTATTGCTTAGTTCCTTTTTTTATTTTAAAGAAATATAATTTCGCATATTTTTATTTATATCTTGTCATATTCCTATCTATGTAAATCTAGCTATTTGTTTCACGATTTTTCCCAAATCTCAATGTTCAGCTTAGTGTTACATTAACGAATGTTGTTTAGATGAAGCTAAAATGTACAAAGCATAACATTTAACTACTACTTTATCAAATCCCGACCGTTGTTGCTACCTTGATGTGGTGGTCTGGCTTGCCTATCGTGATGAAGCAACCGAGCTATACTGGCTGGAACAACCGTTCCTCAAGGTCCTACCATGTCAGACAGGTCGGTTGAAGAGCGGTAAGACTAAAAGCAACAAACCCAAGGTCCGAAGGCAAATTAGTAATAAATGTTTCAAATAACAGAGGAAGCTTATCACAGAACGTAATGAAATAGTGCTGAGGTGCAAGATTTGAAGGAAGGTAGCAAATAAATACATTTGAAATACCGTAATAGATTGTGAGTGATGGTACCTAAGACCTTCAACAATCGATTTCGTTTATCATGAATAGCTTAACCAAGTAGTCTACATTTCTATACATAAATAATATTAGATTCTGCATTTTTTTAAGAGCTTACTTTTACTAAGTCTTCTATTTTCTTTCCTCAACTGTTTTTCTATTTCATCATCATCGTCCTGATATTCTATATCGTTTAAATCATCAAAGTAACCCGGTTGACCTGATCTATTGAATATAGGTGAATAAATTCCCGTTGCTGCAACCATCATCATTTTATCACGTTTTCTCAAAGCACGTAAGGTATCTGGATCAGATAAATCCGATGAATTGATTCCATCTACATCATAATTATTTACATTGTCATTGTAATTGTAATGACTTTCATCAAACTGGTGTTTATTACCAAAACCAGACGGTTGTTCCAATATATGTTGTTCCTGATTATCATCGTACAATTCATTTTCATTATCAAGATCATATTCATTTATATTTGATCTATAATTATCATCATATTCAAAATCTTTTCGTTGATGATATGATTTATAAGATGTTTGTTCATTACCATATTCTGCATCATCATATTCATCATCTGTAGTAACATCTTGAGTTTGTTCATGTAACCAATGACGCTGTTGTTGTACTGGTTGATCTTCTTGTTGATACTCATGAGAATTTGCATGAACTCCCTGCAAAGTGTGTCCTTTTTGCTCTCTTGGTTTTAATGGAGGACTTCCTGACTTAGGTTTTATCGTGGTATCATCAGGAAACCTTATGGATTCTGGAATATTGTTCGTGGTGATGACTTTATTTTGACTACTTGATAGTTGAATTGATTCCTTTGGTTGTGATTGTTGTTGTTGCATTTGACTGGTAGTTTTTTTATTAACTTGATTAGCTTGAGCTACAAATTGTTCAGCAGCTTGATTAGCAGCCAATTTTGCAGCATCCGCAGCAGCATTAGCTTGTTTCAAGGCACCTGTGGCAACTGTTTGAGCTTTTGAAGCAGCAGATGTTAAAAAGTTAGAAAATAGACTTGATGATGATGGTTTGTTTGTAGCTGATGCTTGGTTTGCTGAGTATGGTGATGGTTGTGGGTGTGGCCTACTTAGTGGTCCAGTAAAACCTGATTTTATGTTTGATAATAAAGATGGTATAGATGGGGTGGATGTACTGGAACTTTGAATTTTTGGAATAAATGAGTTTATATTTACAGAATAAGTAGGTTTAGGTACATTAGTTCCAAAGTTAAAATGAGAAGACATTGCAGAAGAAGTATTATAAGATGGTATCGTCGATGCAGAAGTTAAATCATTTGTTTTTAATGGTGTCATAGAAGATGCATTTCGTAAAGTCACAGATTCATATCCTGGTATAGGTCCTAATCCTGCTCTGATTCTCAATTCTTTAAGATGTTCCTCAGCACTAAAACTAGACTGACTTTCATTTTTCGGTGGAATATCGTTTAAGTAACTTTCAACTATTTTAGGGGATGAAGGACAGGAAATATCATAATAGTAAGTTGATTTTGATACATTTACCGAAGAATCATTCGAATTCTGGTTATTATCTATAGCATAGGGCGATTCTAACGCTTTGTTCAATTCATAAACTTGAGATGATAAATAACTATTTGTTAAACTAGTTTTGTTTAATTCTTCATAATTGACATATATTCCAGTTTTTGTAGACGTAATAATTGATGTACTATTGGTGATAACTGTAGATGATGGTAATTTATCAGAAACGTCTTTAATTGACAAAGGTTTATCATTCAACTCATTTACAGGAGTAGAGAAGTCATAATTTTTAAATTCAGAATTTATACTCTTAACATTAGATATATCCAAATCTGAACTAGAAAACTTGAATGATTTCGATGGATGTGGTGGTGGAACTAAAGCTGAAAACTCAGAACTCGATATAATAATCTTTGAAGCATCTTTATTATTATTCGAATCATTTGGAATAAATCTCATTGAACTAGAAATATTTTCATTCTTTTTATCAGTCTTATTTATTGTTATTCTGGTTTTGTCATTAGACTGTCCTACTGTTTGTTTTACTTGTGAAAATGTTGGAAATAATGTGTTGTTTGAGAAAAATCGATCCTTCAAGAAAAACAAAAAAAAAGGAAAAATATACAAAAAGTAAACAGGAAACAAACAAAATGATAAATAACTTTATTGAAGAAAAAAATTTGTTTATTGATTATATATATATATTATCAGAGAATAAGAGAGAAATACAACTCTTAAAGAAGATTCAGATAGTAAGTTTAATTGTACCAGTGGTATAAGTAAAAATGATGCTATTTAACCATATAAGCAAAGATGGATAGTGGCTAGCAGTGAATAACGCGATGGCGTTTGAAGCGAACTTTACTGGGTTGGAGTCCCAGAGTACATCCAGAGGTACATCCAACTGACGAATCCCAAACAGGACGAAACGCGCGTCCTGGATTCCACTGCTAGTCACTATCCATCTTTGCTTATAGTGCTTGTAAATTAAGGCAATATCGAGGCATACGCATGGTATGCACATATGCCAATAAGAGACTGATCAATTTCAGTCCTAAAACATCAATGGGAAGATTCAAGTAAAACAATACCAAGTGAATTATTGAACCATATGTCTCAAATTGATTCAAATGATAATATAATAGTCTCTGAATAAAAATTATTTAAATGTGTAAAATACATCTTTTGTCTTAGTTAGTCATATGCAAAGTAAATATGGGGTACATATATATGCATCTACTCTAGTTGCTTAATTGAACATTAGCTCACTGAGATGAAATTATGATGTAACAGCTTTGAATCGTCTAGTTTATGTGTATCCTGAATATTTTGTGATGTTCAAATTAATTTGGTTGGTCATGTATAGGAGGAAATATTTAAAATGTGAATAATATCTTGAAAGTCATCGGCGTCCGGATATTTTAACATCAAGGTTATAGTGTGGAAGAAAATACAGAAAAAAAGTTATCAAAATAGAAAACAATGACATCCTTAAAGTAAGTTATTGGATATTAATTTTATTCACCTATTTCTTGCCTGGTAACTGAGGTTAGCAAAATAATGAACATCATTTTAGGATAGTGAATATTCTAAGTCGAAGTACATATCAAAGATAACTGAGTATCTCATTATAAAAGAGTTCTTTACAGTCAATATGTTATCTCAAACACCTAGATCAAAAGTAACTCTAAAGTATAAACAAGTTATTTAATTTGTCAGTAATTATACCTGTTGTCTACTATTCTGCACACAAACCAAATGATTTAAGCATGTAATACATTTATGAAAAGAGACAGACAGAAATGAAACAATTTCTTCCAAATTCCAAAAAATAATAACATTAATTATTACAAAAGCTAGAATCTATAATTAAATGCAATAAACTGTCGAAGTTTTAGTATCGCTGAAATATGATTCTAACTTATGTAGATTTGAATATGTTGCAAAGCATTTAGGTCAACCTGAGAAAAAAACAGTTTACTTACTTTAGCAGCTTCTAACGAACGTATAACAGGTTTGAAAGCTGATTTTTGATCCCATAAACTTTGAAAATTTACACTTGCATTTGAAGTAGTTGCATAAGTAGTGGTAGTAGTAGTAGTAACAGCAGTAGTAGTAACTATGGATATTTGACTTGTAATTGAATCTCTAGGCATTTTTGGGATTAATTCTGAAGAAGTAATTATTTCACATAAACAATTATATGAAAAAAGATAAGCAAAACATTTACTTATATGTCTATATACTGTCTCAAATAAGATATCTTCCATATACCCTGTATGGTGCACTGATGTTATACGTGGAGAATAAAGGAAACTAAATATATCAATTAATTTTGAACAAAAGGAATTCATTGAATGATTCTTGCTCAAAATGACAGTGACTTATTTATATAAGAAAAGGATGAAAGTTGTACAAGAAACATCCCACAAAACATACAAATTTTGACACAGTTTTTGCTTTTGTTAGTCTTAATTTCTCCATATTTAGAGGGAATGATTAAAAAACGGATTTGTCCTCACCAACCAAGTGCAGGGTTTACTTCTGATTACATTTCAATAAGTCTACATTAAACATAGTGCACAATATCTCGAATCATTTAGACCAATGATTACGTTGTAATCTGTGTGGAAGAACTTAATCAGCTCTAAAGGCTAGTTCAGCATTAAGTCAACTACTACTCAGAAATGCGCTAGTACACATACAAAACTCGATAGGATGTAAGTTGCTGTCTAAAATGCTCATTTGTAATGTTTCTTAGTAATGACATAGCATTATGCAATTTTATATCCCATGAACAGCACTCGTTTCTTTAAGATAACAGAAGAGCTTTGGTTAAGAGCTTCAGCTAATGCCAAACTTATACGTTTATTGTTAGTTACCTACGACAGACCAACATAAAACTTCCACTTTCAAATTAAAAAAGTATGTTATAATAAACTAATATTGTCACACTAAATAAGTTTTTTTAGTTCGCTTTATCAAATCGAAAATTTGGCTCACTTCCCTTGTTGTAGTACATTGAAACGAATTTCATTGTGAATAAATAAGCAGTGAAAACATTACCGAATGAAGTCAATGTCACTTTATATATTTTAAATATATTTTATTTCTTTTTATAAAATGTTCACGTAACTCATTTTACCGACTACCGAATTATGTACCCATTTTTGGTGAAACATTTTATATGTTAGATTTAGTAGTGCCTGACAGCTGTCCAAACTAAAATAAATGAATGAAGATTAAACTAACAACCTGTTGTTGTAAGTCAAATTATCTAACTGCCATACAACACCTTATTCGACATCTCAATATAACCCACGAATTACACGTTGAATAATAAATGTAGTCAGTGGTATTTTCAACTGTTCAATATTATTTATTTAGCATATTGACAATACTGTTCTAATTAATATTTTTTCCACTAATCATTCAGCTACCCGTTAAAACTCCTTTAATAATAATGTAAAAGCGCAGCTGATTGTATTATGCACGGAAAGTAAAATCTTAAGTGATGAACGAGTTAGCTAAGGTTACTGCTCACTTAAAAACTAACATTTGTGAACAGAAAACAACAACTCTGTTAATATGATTACCAGCCTGATCATTCCCATTTCAAGCTACAACAAAATAGTAAACTTGAATTTCTTCATAAGGTAGTAAGAATAGCGCAGATTAACATGTTATTTCGTCTATTAAGTTCTTACCTTGTTTCTGAGTAATTAAATCCCTGTCAAGATCAGCATTATATACTACAGTAGAAGCTTGCTTTTCTCGTAGAAAATCAGCATCAAGTCTATTTATAGAAGTTGTTTCAACAGTACTTGGAATTGACCTGCTATGGTCACCAGATTGACGAAAACTATCACGAGCCATAGCTAGTCGATTATTCAGGATACGTGAAGACGTTTCAGTAGAAGTAGAAAAAACTGTGGACACTGAAGTATCTTGTGGGAGTTTCATTGAAGTTTCCGCTTTAAAGTGATCCAATGTAGCACTGAGTAAGCTGGTGGTGGTAGTGGTAGTAGTACTAGTAGTTGAAACAGTCATACAATTGTGTGAAATATTGGAAGATCTTACTGAAGATGTGACTGGAATTGGAGTAAGATCCACAAAGTGTAAATCTGCAGGATGTTCACCGGGAGGCAAGTGTTGCGCGACTGCTGCCTCAGCAGATGCACGAAAATCATTTTTAACTGATTCTGGACTGTAAAATATAGACGAAGGAACAAATAAAACATGAAAATTGTAAAAACAACGAGAAAGAAGGTTAAGATTAAATGGTAAACATAATGAGAAAAATTTAGGAAATAACCTTATAACTAGAGGATCCAGTTTTAAGATTAAATACTTAAAGAGTTATGATTATTTTACTAACTATTTATCAATCAAAAAGGAGTTATAAGCTTCTGAACTGTGCGAATTAAAAGTTTACCGTATGTTGAGTCAACTATGCATTGTACTATCGATTTAACTAGGTAAGAACTTTCAAGTTAGTCAGATTCCAGACAATCATTATTACAAAAATAGTATTATAAAATGACAAATTAAAGTTAATTAAACTATCATGGTAAATAACCTTAGCAAACTTTAGATCATGAATGCTGAAATAAAATAAGAAATGCATAGACATAGGCTTAGCCTTTAATGAAGTTGGTATAATTAATATGATACTAAGGGGATAAGAGTAGTAGTAAAAAATACAAATGGAGTAACAAATTATGTATACTTACCTAATAACTTTTAAACAGACATTAGAATTAAACGTTCGCGTTGGGGAGCTTGATCGACTATAAAATACAATAAAAAAGGAAAATATTAGTAGCAAACATATATACATGTTATAGTGAGGAAAATAAAGGTTTATTTGGAAGCATTTATGAAAATTTATCTAGTTTCCAGGCTACATTCGTCATAAAATGATAGTAGTTGGGATTTTTGACATGTTTTATTCTAGTATAAAACTTTCTTATAGTGTGCAACCATGGCCCCTTCCGAGATCAAACTCAGGGTCATCGGGTCTCGCAACAAACCTTTGGAGCACCTGAGCTGCTTTCCAGTGGTACGGTTCAAATTTCAGTCAATTTCCTATATAGTGCAGCAGCTATCCGACGTCACTGGAGATAACTGTTTCAATCTCGAGATGTCTGAACTCAAGCAGTTACGACTTCGCACATACTAGGACGAAACCGATGTTTAAGGTTTTCTGGTTTCAAAAGTACTCTACATAAGGTAAAGTTCGAGGAATACAACCTACGGAGAAAACAATAATTAAACCAAGTATTAACGAAAAACGCATACAAGAACATGGATTATATCATATCAGAAAAAAACATTTTACCACTAGCCCTGGTAACAAAATAACAATGTGTGTCAAGCAGATAAGATTGGATGATACAGTTGAAAGGAGGGTAAACAAAGTTAAGAAAAACATATGTTGATTTATGATTAAAAAAACAGTTCTAAATTCATTTTATCTCAAATTTGATCAGAGTCAATACAAGAAAAGATTTTCGAAAGGGAAGAACTTCATGTGATCGGACATTTACTTCTCGTTAAAAAAACATCAGTTAACCATAACATAGATAAATGTTCTAAACAACATATCAAACAGGTTTTACATTTATATCTCTAGAGTTTCGTAGACTACTGTTACTATGCAACAAATGCTCAGTAATTACAAAACAGACAAACCACTTAAATACTTAGTATTATCTGTTAAGGAAGTAGAGTCGTTTTAGCAAACTATTCTATTGAAGAAGTATTGAAGAGTTATTTTGTCCTCTTCTGAAATCGCTCAATGACTTTATCCGCTATGTTTTCTGGACTTGAACATGGTAACAAATTATCGGCTTAAACCCAGTTATTTCCAAGTTGTAATGTAATCGTCGATTTATATATAACTAGTGATTACATATCTTGCTCCTAATTTGATAAACTCTATATGTCTAACTAAATAATGTAGTACACATGTCTAAACACCATAGGATCCACTAAAAAAATAATCATGGATAAATAAATTGCTAATGAGCAACGATAGTCAGGTTGGGATAAATTATAGATACAGAGAGAGAAGAGTCCATGAAGACCTGCTTTTTGTGCGGCATAAACAAATAATTAAAAAGAACTTTGTACTGCACTACCGAAAAAGAAGTAAACTCTCAAATAATAAAAAAACATAACCAAGTAGTAAAAAATAATAAATCAACAATTGGACACAGAAATAATCAAAATGAAATGTTACTGAAGCTAAACCACCGTGCAAAACCTGGAAGCATTGGATGGCCGTTTCATCCAAGGAGTCCCATACTAGGACGAAACGGCCGTCCAGTGCTTTCGGGTTTTCCATGGTGGTCTAGCTTCAATTGACTCACAATTTCAACTATTGAAATTACTAAAATCTTCACAAAACCCCTTCTGATATTATAGATTTATCAAATTTATACATTTGTAAATTTCACATAAAAATCACTATCGCTAAATGTTAAACTAATGCAAATTAGGATAATTAAAAATGGTAATCAAAATTCTATTCTTATTGATGATCAAAACGAATGTAAATAGATTTTAACAGAATATTTAAAAAGTTAATTAATTGTAATAAAATTAACTTATTTCTGACAGAACTATGATTAGCTAACATTCAATATTATAATCATGTCAATTAGTGATAATAACCGCATAAATTACTTTAATTACAACAACTAAATGAATTATATGTTCTTTGGTACAAGTTGGGATCTCACGGGAAGACTATCTAATGACAAGAAACATTTAAATTACATAAAAAGACCTCCTAATAATTCTGTAGAATTGGAAAATCTACAAGTTAAATCAACAATAGCAGTACATGCTATTTATAATAATCACCAAATTGATATTAAAAACATTACAATAATTCAGAAAGGATTTTACAGCTATGCTAAATCCTTTTGCCCATAATAGGAAAGAAAGCCAGAATATTCTATCCACCCCGAATGGATTATCTAAACAACCATATATGAACTTATTTATTTCCCACACAATTTACACACGTACAAATTAATACAGTGACAGGTCATACAAATTCACCTTGACTAAAGACAACTTTACATGGACATATTTAGACTTATTATAATTTGGATTGCACTAAAAATATTCTTTAGTAGTATTTAAATGTGTTAATTTTATTCCGGTTATTTATTTACTCTGAGGAAGTAGTGTAGATTAAGTCGCAAAACGTCAGAAATACAACTTTTCTACACGCAGAAATATTCAATTTACTTGGAACTATCAAGTTCAACTTTGACATTGATATCTGTAAATGAACTGAGTAAATTTGTTTTATTGTTAAAATATTACTAAAACTATCAAAAAACTAATAGTTTTTTTTCTAACAAGAATAAATGTGTATCACTGAAGACAATGTAACTTGTAACCAATAAAAATTGAATTACAGAGTTACTGTTTCGTAATGTTAAACAATGAAAATTCCACAATTCAATTAAATGTACGCTTTCATTTTTCAATTACTGGGGGAATATAGTACACTTTTATGAAGAATTGGTAGATTGTTTGCATCAATAAAGTGCAAATACGTTAGCTTTATATTTTAAAATTATCAAGGAAGACAAATATATATTACTAATGGAAGTATAGCTTATTATTATCATTATCACTAATGCTTATGTGATATATTGTTTATTGAATTAATATTTGTCATTCGTAAAACAATTTTGATCAGGGATTTATCGACCTAATTCAATTATTTTGATGTTGAAAAAAAATGAAACAAATTGAACTTTTATATGTGAAAATTATATTTGAAATAATCTCAGAGATTGAAATTTAAATAATTCCAACGTTTCGTTTGATTGGTGTAACACAGCATAGTTATGATTGTTTAAAAGCTATATACTTTTTTGATGATTTTGATTATTACCCCGAAGAAGTCTAGACAAGTTAGCTGGACGAAACGTTGGAATTTAACTATTTAAATCTTAATCACTGAGATTATTTCAAATATAATTTTCACATATCATGGCTTCTCTTCACTCGGCGCCCAATTTCTGTTAAACTACTCGTTCTAATCTAGACGAATATTTGTATAAATTTAACTTTCGATTTGATTTTCTTATAAAACAAAACTTCGCCTGGACTCCTGCCGGGGGCTACTGATAGTCCCAAGCCACGATAAAGGAAAAGGGTTAAGCATGGGGTTAGCGTCTCCATCCCGTAGAAAACTAACTCGCTAAAAAAACGCTAACCAGAAAAAATTATTCAAACCTTTTAAACTCTGCTCTGGGAGTCAGAAGGTCTTCATTTAGAAGAACTATGACGCCTCATGATGAAAGCCGAGTTCTTTCGGAAGTCACGAGACCGATGCCCCTTCTGACAACCAGAGCGACCATTTATATAGGTACACAGAACGCTCGCACAATGTGGCAGACTGGGAGAGTCTTCCAAATTGCTTCAGAAATGGAGATACAACCTAGAGGTGCTTGGGATCAGTGAAACACATTGGACGCAAATTGGGGAACGACGACTAGCTTCAGGGAAGCTTCTGTTATACTCCGGCCATGAAGAAGAAAATGCCCCACATACACAAGAAATTGCATTGATGCTGTCCAAACAAGCACAAAATACACTTATAGTATAGGAATCTCATGGACCAAGGATCATCAAAGCCTCCTTGAAAACAAAGAAAGAGGGCATTTCAATGAACGTCATCCAATGCTATGCGCCTACCAACGACTACAATGAAGACGCTAAAGATCAATTCTACAATAGGCTGCAGTCAATCATCAAGAAGTGCCTAACAAAGGATCTGACCATTCTGATGGGAGATTTCAATGCCAAGGTTGGAACGGACAACACTGGATATGAAGACATCATGGGACGACACGGACTGGGAGAAAGGAACGAAAATGGTGAGAGATTTGCAAATCGAAGTGCCTTCAATAAGCTGGTCATAGGCGGCACCATATTCCCACATAAACCCACTCACAAAGCCACATGGACTTCACCGGATCACACCACGCAAAACCAAATCGACCATATTTGCATCAACAAAACGTTCAGGAGGACTATAGAGGACGTGAGAACCCAGAGAGAAGCTGATATAGCATCAGATCATCACTTGCTGGTCGCCAAGATGAAATTGAAACTCAAGAAGCACTGGACAGTGGGGCGGACAATATCACAAAAGTTCAATACGGCCTTTCTTCAGGATACTAACAAACTCAACAAATTCAGGATAGTCCTCAGCAATAAGTTCCAGGCCTTTCATGATCTACCCAATGGAGAAGGAACTAGTATGGAGAGCAACTGGAAGGGGATCAAAGGGGCAATCACTTCAACATGTCATGAGGTCCTGGGCCACAAGAAGCACCATCACAAGGAATGGATCACTGTTGATACACTGGATAAGATTCAAGAAAGGAGGAACAAGAAAGCAGCAATCAACACCAGTCGAACAAGAGCAGAAAAAGCCAAGGCACAAGCTGAATACACAGAAGTAAACAAACAAGTGAAGAGGAGCATCAGAACTGACAAACGTAAATATGTGGAAGATTTAGCAATGACGGCGGAAAGGGCTGCAAGAGAAGGAAACATGAGACAACTGTATGACACGACAGAGAAACTCTCTGGAAATCGCCGCAAAGCAGAACGACCTGTCAAAAGCAAGGAGGGCGAGGTAATCACCAACATTGAAGAGCAACAAAACAGGTGGGTAGAACACTTCAAGGAACTCTTGAATCGACCAGCCACGCTGAACCCATCCAACATCGAAGCAGCACCCACGGACCTCCCAATCAATGTTTGTCCACCAACAATTGAAGAAATCAGCATGGCCATCAGGCAAATCAAGAGTGGCAAAGCAGCAGGACCGGACATCATTCTAGCAGAGGCACTGAAAGCAGACGTAGCGGCAACTGCAAGGATACTCCACATTCTCTTCAATAAGATTTGGGATGAGGAACAAGTACCAACAAACTGAAAAGGACTTCTGACCAAAATACCGAAGAAAGGCGATCTCAGCAAGTGTGATAACTACAGGGGCATCACTCTTCTCTCAATACCGGGAAACGTCTTCAACAGGGTATTGTTAAACAGAATGAAGGACTGCGTAGACGCCCAACTTCGTGACCAACAGGCAGGATTCCGTAAGGATAGATCGTGTACAGACCAAATCGCAACTCTACGGATCATTGTGGAACAATCAATTGAATGGAATTCATCACTCTACATCAAATTCATTGACTACGAAAAAGCATTTGACAGCGTGGACAGAACAACATTATGGAAGCTTCTTCGACACTACGGCGTACCTCAGAAGATAATCAATATCATACAGAATTCATATGATGGATTACACTGAAAAATCTTGATTGGAGGACAGTTGACAAAGCCGTTCGAAGTGAAGACCGGTGTCAGGCAAGGTTGCTTACTCTCACCCTTTCTCTTTCTCCTGGTGATCGACTGGATCATGAAGACGTCAACGTCTGAAGGGAAGCATGGGATACAATGGACATCTAGGATGCAGTTGGACGATCTAGACTTCGCAGACGATCTGGCCTTTCTATCCCAAACGCAACAACAAATGCAGGAGAAGACGACCAGTGTAGCAGCAGCAGCCTCAGTTGCAGTAGGTCTCAATATACACAAAGAGAAAAGCAAGATTCTCCGATAGAACACGGCATGCACCAATCCAATCACAATTGACGGAGAAGATTTGGAAGATGTAAAACCTTTACATATTTGGGCAGCATCATTGGTGAACACGGTGGATCTGATGCTGATGTGCAAGCGCGGATAGTGTTATATCCAAATAAGAATAATGAATGGTAACTTTCGGGACCCATTTATGGACCAATACTATGGGTATATTTTTATCGTATAGCTGTTATGTAACTAAATTGTTCATATTCATGTCGCTCTTATTATAAGATTTAATTTGACCTATAGACTATTACTATACGATTTACCATTCTTGAGTTATGGCCTGTCTATCTCCTTCATTCACAGCCACATTTGGCTAATTTTTGTACAAATGTTGTTTCATATTTTATGGTACGTTGTGGTCTGTTTGGTTGGTATATAAACCCCGTATGCTTGAAATAAATGATTCATGTTGCAGAGGCTGAAATTGGTGTTCTGGACTCAACGGGGAGCAGGACCAATCAGGACTCTAGGCTGCTCGCACGTGTTCTATGCATCACTGGTTCGATCGATAATTCGCTGCTCTCTGATTGGCAGTTTCGTTGCGTTATACAATAAACAGGGCACACAGGTTCACAGATTATAACAGATAGGAAAAGCAAGAGCAGCAAATTTACAACTGAAGAACATCTGGAACTCAAAACAACTGTCTACCAACCTACACTAAGGTCAGGATTTTCAATATAAATATCAAGACAGTTTTACTGTATAGGACGGGAACCTGGAGAACTACGAAAGCTATCATACAGAAGATACAAGTTTTTATTAACAGTTGTCCACACAAAATACTTTAGATCCGTTGGCCAGACACTATCAGCAACAACCTACTGTGGGAGAGAACAAACCAGATCCCAGTGGAGGAAGAAATCAGGAAGAAGCGCTGGAAGTGGATAGGACACACATTGAGGAAATCACCCAACTGCGTCACAAGACAAGCCCTCACATGGAATCCTCAAGGCCAAAGGAAAAGAGGAAGACCAAAGAACACATTACGCCGGGAAATGGAGATAGACATGAGAAAAATCAACAAGAACTGGATGGAAGTAGAAAAGAAGGCCCAGGACAGAGTGGGTTGGAGAATGCTGGCCGGCGGCCTATGCTCCATTAGGAGTAACAGGCGTAAGTAAGTAAGTTCTTATAAAACAAACAAATTAACGGATAGCTTATGGAGTAAAGTAGTCTAGTTTACTTGAAGGGAGAACAAAAGTTTTTTTGTTGTTGCACGAACCGCTAATTAAACAAAAAAGAAAAAGGGAGCTTAAGGACTTTATGATTTTAATTCGTATTTCTAAATGAATTGTTTCTTAAAAATGAATCGCTCCATGGTATGATTTCAGCAGATGCACATATCTGCCACGCTATCCCGTTATCCAGCAGCTAAGTGGAGTCCCAAATAGGACGAAACGCACCTCCTGGATTCCACTGCTAGGTACAATTCATCTTTGCTTATAATGTGGTAAGCGCTTACATTAGTTACTCTGATGATGTTTTATTTATCCTATTAGCTTTGCGACATATTGGTTAATTTCATGCTTATTTTGAGTTCAGTGAATTTAATCAACTCATGGATACCATGTGAATTTAATGATAACTGTTCAATCTGTCCAATATTCTTATTTCTCATTTGCTTCTCTCATTGTATTAGACTAAATATGAAAAAGTTTATTTTTGTAAACACTGTAAATACTGCATTCGGCAATTAATACACACATCAACTAATAATAGGAATCCAACACACTTAAATCTGCCAAGCTTCGCAATTAAACTTCTTACTTGCAAACTTCTCTCTGCTTAAGTGGTTTTAACTAACTTTAACCAACAGATTAGCAGGTTGGATGTCCAACTACGAACCAGGGAGTAAGTATATTACCCAGCAGTAATTTTAATTTTAATCTAGAACTGGGAAACATGATCTGTGAAATAGGAACCATATACATCTTCTAAACACTTCACGTGTATGGCTAGTAACAGAGTGAGATGTTAGTAAGGCTAAAGCCTGATCTCTTAGCAAATGGTTAAATAAAAACTCAACATCAACCTAAGTTTTCATAATACGATTTTTCCCAAATTGAACAAAACTACAGATACAGAATTGTTCAATAGTTAATAAACACTCATAAAAAATTATATAATACAATATTCACAAAAAAATTACCTTAAAGCTAATGATAGTTTACCAACACTAGGACTTGAAGCTTCTAACTGATAATTTACACCGATTGGAGTATAATTTTGAGTTTGATCAAAACTGAAACCCAATGGAAAAAAAGAAAAACTTCACAAATGAAATTAAATAGATTGTATGTTATTCACTATGTTACATAACATGAATAATTTTAAAAGTTTTAATTATACTTAAACAAAAAGGAAACATTTATGATTTGAATTATGAAAATAGATATTTGAACTTTCAATCAAATAATCTTAACATAATTAAGTGGGAAAATGTGAATATTTTAGATTCAAAAATACAATGTACGATTTACAGGGTAACTGTTGAAAGTATAATATTTATTAATTTATTTGAACACATAAATCTAGGTACAAGGGGGCACCAAATACATATGCGCCAGACAAAACAATGAGAATGGGAAGAGAAAAAGAAGGTAAGGTGTGCATAAGAAAAAAAAACGATAACAACCACAGATTAGTGTAAGGTAGTGTAATAATAATAATAATAATAATAATAATAATAATAATAATGGGGAGACGGAAAATTACAACCAGAAGAATTTTTCAGTTAAGAAAGATACAACAACTTTTTATGAAGAAAGTAAAAGAAGGTTACAGCAGGATCGCCACTGGCTTCTGTTCTGAGCCATATCTGATAACGTCTCTAGCCATTGTGTTGCACCATCTCTTGGACCCCAACCAGGGAGTCGTGAAGGACCAACAGAAGCAAGCCCTTTGAAGCTTTTTTTCATACCATGACACAATGTCATACACTGACCACGTCTCCGCTTTTTCCAACCAGTCCCAGAGTCGGCAAATACTGCACGACGTGGAATTCTCTGAGACGACATTCGGAAGGCATGTCCAAGCCACCGAGATCGATGTTTCAAGGTGGTAACACCAACTGAATTATCGTCGCTGTGCCCGAACACACGATTCCGAACCTCTGCATTACTAACATGATGTTGCCACTGGATGTCAACAATCCTTTAGAGACAACGATAAGTATAGTATGACATACATTATGATATATCTTTTGAAATTAAACTGCTTCATTGGGTGATTTTTTGTAACTAATTGTATTACACATTGATAAGTTGTAGCTCATACAGTTATTTTATTGTTGTTGAAAATGAACTTTCATAATAAAAGTCGAGTCAAATAATAAAGAAATGAGTTTAACCTTAACTTTTCTTTCATAAATAAAAAGCTTGATGAACTAGCCTGTCATTTAACTAAAATATATTTTCAGTTTCGGATTGTGGAGATTGTTGAATTTTTAATTGAGATCATGAACCAATCAACGTTAGACAACCATTAGAAACTTGGAGGCAGTGGACGACCGTTTCGTCTTAGTATAAGGCTCCTCAGCAGCGCATTCAGATTTTTAATGGTTGTCATGATTTAAATGAAGTATATTTTATGTTCCTTTTTATCATAAACAGTTTTTCAATTATTACACTGAATTTAAATTATTGTAAAACGTGGCCAATTTTATTTTGTTTGTTGTATAAATTCTTTTCAGATCAACTTCAAAAATATAACAATGAAAATTTTTTTCTAAACAAGGGAAGCAATACAATTTTAGAGAGCATGTCGTGAATTATAATATTTTCGAAATCGTAAATTTGGTAAATTTTCAGTTGAGAATATGACAGTATAAAGTGTTAATTATAACGGATTTTTGAAGTCACTGAAAAATAAATAGAATTTATAGTCTAGAAAAAAACCTTTGTTTTTAGTAAATTCGATAATGTTTGCATAAGACGTTGTGAGGATTATATAGATTTATATATATATATGATCTAGCTTCAATTGACTCATGATCTCAACTGTTTCCATTACTACAATCTCCACAAAACCCTTTCTGATACTAATCAACACATACTCACTAGTGACAGGCTTCAAGAGATATATTCTGGAGTTCTAGTGAGAAGCAGTGACCAGTGGAGTTCAACCAGGTCAGTTGTGAGGTAGTAACTCACTGATGACAATAGTGGATGTGTCGTTCAATTTCGTGGATTAGTTTAAGTTAGACATTAACACCGTTGGATGCCGACCTGCTCAGTGGTCTAGATGTTAAGACTGATAGATCCTGGGTTCGAATCCCACGAGGGGGATCGTGGATGCGCACTGCTGAGGAGTCCCACAATAGAACGAAACGGCCGTCCAGTGCTTCCAGGTTTTCCATGGTGGTCTAGCTTCAATTGACTCATGATCTCAACTGTTTAAATTACTACAATTTCCACAAAATTACTTCCGACATATATATATGGTCATATCTTACTAGCTGGATTAGTTTTCGGACTCAAGTCATTAAAACATTTGCTACTTAAGAAAAATATACAATAAAAATGATGTGGTTAATAATCATTACAATCATCACTGAAACATACCTAATAATTTTTGTATCCACTTCATAATCTGATTCACATGAACAACAACCATAATTTGAGCTAAATACGACAAAAAATAAACAATAAAATAGCATAAAATTCAATCAGTTCGTTTCAACAAAATTAAAGCATTAAATGCTCATTTTTTGCATTATAGTTATGGAAAAATGAGTTGGGAAAGGCATCCATTAAAAATTGAATAGAAAGTTACGAGATCATTATATCTCAATATTGGATATATATATATATATATATATATATATATATATATATATATATATATATATATTAGTTAGAATAAAAACATAACACTAACAACAGAGGTCAAAGGGTCATCTAACTTTCATTCCGATATTTTAAAGTAATAATTAAAATGAATTCGAATGATTCCTTGTTTATTTTTTTACTAAATTGAAGAATGCTATAGAAGAAAAAACTGTATACTCTAATGAATCTAGGAATAGCTAGTACAATTGACAAAGTATCTTTTTATTCTTTAGGATCAATAAGTTTATAGACCATATTTTATCAATTTGTAGTTGTTATAAACTGACTAAGTGATAGAAAGATTGATATGATTGAAGCAGTTTAATTGATAGTTTGCTTTAAAAAACCAGTTTTTAGACTCCAATTAAACTACTGCTTTAAAGAAGTGCCCCTTGAAGAATATGTATATATATATATATATATATATATATATATATATATATATATATATATATACATGAATAATGAGAAATAATCATTATCATTGGTTTATTCAACCCAAAATAACAAAAATGACGAAACGGTAATTGATTATTCACCTCTACCCATTGTTTTATTTCACTTATCTACAATCCTATTTCGGTCATATATCTTTTCCAACAGTTACAAATAAATAAGTGATTAGTAAAGAGTATTAAAAATGGACTCGGAAAACTCAAACTCTTTAAACTATATTTAGCTTCAATAAAGAAGAAAATTATAAAGTGAAGTTACTAAACACATACAAACATTAACATTACACCGAAAATATTATTTATAACGTTGGGAAATCAATTATCAATGTTAAATCAATTAAAGTAAATACATATAGTAATTGTAAGCATATGAAATGAAAATTGTCAACCAATTTTCCGAACCGTTTTTTTTTTTAAAAAACACCTCAATAATTTTCCACTGATTAGATAACCATTAATACAATTAACATTATTGAAACAATGATATATTTCAGAAATATTCTGTAAACTGTACATGATGATCAGAATTTAGGATTTATTAGTTTGGAGTAACTAATTACAAATCCTCATTAAACCATCCCAGATAATCTATGGCTAGATATTTTAATAGTTTTATGATTGAATGTGAAAGAAAAGTTGAATTACCGAGTAATTTAAACAATCTTCTATTTATTAGTCTTGTGTTGCTAGAACTACATTCCAATTAGTACTTTATTAATTATGAGTCTATTACGGTAAATTCTTCTGATCGTATGATTTTGCATTGAAGGAGTCAATCTTTTTCACTTATCTTCATAGTGGATACAAGTTAATCTAAACTCCACCTGTTCAATTATCGTCACTACCTACGTATTATAAACATTTTGATCGGTAGCCGTACATTACTGATCTATTAGAGATATAAATGGACTAAATAACAAGAATACTAGAGCTTTAATGTTTTCATACAGGTTGTATGCATAGATCTGTCAACATATATGCCATATTCCTCCGAAAACAAAACTTTCTATTGAAGAAAGCTACACTAACTAGAAACAAGCTCTGGATTCTGATGCTATCCATTAGTAATTTATTACAACTTATATAAATTACACTAACAATAAATCCTACTACATCAATCAAGTTAGTATCCACGCAAATTAAAAGGGTAATATAGTCTGCTATCGTAATCTTTAAGAACTATTGATTAGTGACAAGAATTAAGTATATATAAATTAGAATGTTCAACAAACTAATTCTTTTACCAAAATTGTTCAAATTTATTAGAAATTGTATACATAGGAACGATATCAGGCATATCAAAAAATTTTTTAAAAATTACTCAACTGTATACAATACTACAAGTAAGTATAAACGATATCATTAATACAAGATTAGAACAAATTTTCTTTTCTAGAATATGGTAGATTCAAAGTAAACATCATTAGAATTTCCAGTAATTAAAAGAAATGATAAATAATTAAAATAAATCAAAGAATAAATAATAATAATAAAGGATTTGTTTTCTTTAATATTTTACAAAATAAAATTCAATCACGCTATATACAGTGAAGAAATACGGAAAACTGGAAAAAAGACAAATTTCGTGTGATTACTTTAGTAACAAAAATAAATATAATCAAATTGAGTAAATTAACAACAAACAAAAAAAGAAGAGTGGTAAAAGAACGTTGGAAACAAATTTTATAGGTTATTAAGAAAAAAATTGTTTAATACCATGTTATTTATATTTTCAAGATTCTTCTAATAATTAGACTGTTGTTATATGATGTATTGATTCAACAACATATATTGGCTATAGTTTAACAGACATTCAAAAAATCTATTCCGAAAAGATTAACAACCACCAGAAAAAAAGTTGAGCTCTATTTGTAACCATTAGTAAACAGTCTTAGTAAATTGTACGTATGGATAGAAGATGATTAAATATTAGGAAGAGACATTTCAGCTGGAAACGAATTATAGTATCGAGGTTTTGATAAATTAATTCGAAAGTCTAAAAGCAAACATGTAAAAATTTACGTCACAATAAACAATGTAACGTTTTCATTATACCTTGTGTTCTAGAAGGTGATAGACTATTACACATTTGAAAATATTTGTTTCTTTAAATTAATTTGGAACTCTGTATTTTGGGTTTTAAAAAGTACATATTAGTAAGCAGATAAGAATAGAAATAACATGTAGCACTGTTGAAAAATTTTCCGTATGGGCAAAACAAAAAAATTGCCCCTGAAACATAAATATTTTATAAAAAGCGTTACGTAGAACTAGTGGTTTCCGATTCGAATTTAATTAGTTTTGTCAAGGATTTTAATTACATGATGATGATGATATAGACATTTAAGAAACAGAATTAGTTTCTTTTCTAAAAACAACAATTACTAGTAATTTTACATGACCGTTTTTTTATACAGTACGGGTTAGAAAATGTCAACAATAAGATTTACAAGTAGATGTTAGATATGGTATTATGTTCATTAAGACATTTTAAATTTTCGGCCCCAATCTATTTTGAGGCTGTGAATGCATAAAGTTAAAGAGCTATAAGCTAGGCCTGATGCTTTTCGACTTACATTAATTTTCCAAATGATATTAGATTTTCAAAAGAATCGTTTTAGAAGTCGAGCAATGTATGTCATAAAACTGAAATATTTTAAATGATTCTACTATGACTTCAACTTATTTATTGAAATGAATCCAAACAATAGGTGAATTTTTTCTTTTGTTTGAGTGAATAAAATATTGTAAATAGTAAAATAAAACATTAAGAGAAGTAAAGAAAAGAGAAATGGCATAACGACGTGAATAAAATCAGTCATTTCGATAACTAAACTCAGTACAGTTTAGTCTTTAATTTCTGATTACCTACACGTGTAATACTGTTATTCAACAAGTACTTTTAACATTACAACAAGTGGACAACCTAATCCAATTAAGGAATTGCATTAGAATTTACGTTCGGTTATTTTTCCCCATAACTATCATTATTTAGTAACAACCAAGAGATAGCACTTCAAATCCTATCAGTGTTCATTCCTAATGTAATAATTTATGTTATCTAGGGAAGTGAGTAGATGAGTTTGATGAAACACTTCATTTTGATCAACATGTTTTAATAAACACCACGGAGCTCTATCATAACTAATAATGCACCATTCATTTAGATTAGATATTCTTTTTTCTAAAGTTAGAAATACACTTCATAAATAGAATTGCAGTGGGAAATATCCCACGTCTTTTTAAATTATTCTAGTGAATCAAAAGGATTTTAAAAGAGGTATTCACATGCTTGGAAAAAATGATAATATCAGAATTTATATCATTATAAGAAAGTAATTACATCCAACTGACAAATTTCAAGTAGGACAAAACGTGCGCCCTGGGTCCCCCTGCTGTCCAAAAGCCCATCTTTTCCATAAAAAGATACAACCAAAAGTTTGAATTATTCAGATTTTGTTAAATATTCATTTCGGAATGATTTTTTGATACTAAATTCATCAGGATAGCGTTCGAAAATATGTACCTCTAAGTGCTATTAAAAATTGAAATATGAATCAAAGTACACCATGATTTATAAAATTATTAACAAATTTTACATTCCAGTTGGATATTCTTCACATTTAATAAACAGAGCTTTAATTTAGTAAAGATCATATTATTAAAAATTACTGACATAGTAAAATACAATTATATATGCTTACGGTATATCATATTTTATATGTGGATACTTTTCGCAACAAACGTCAGATGGTGAAATTCCATATGCAGGTTGCGGATATGGTAAACGAGCATAACCTCTTCTATAATATCGACTACTTTGAGGACTGAAGCGAGATCGTCGACGGCGTTGACTAAATCTGCAAAAAATAACCATTTGATGAATATTTTTGGAAAGATCTAAGAACCGTTATCAAAAATAAACAATTAACAGAACATACACTGAATTTTATTATTCATTTTAAGAAATATAACTTTCTTTCCAGTTTCATAAACGAATTTACCAAAGACATATAAACATATCATAAAATGTGACTGTTACAGCTCAATAAGCCAGTAAATAATGAAGTGACAGTTCAATCAATTATAATTAGCTTCAAATATAAATGAAAAAAACCCATCAATTTTTCATTAGTAAACACACAACCCTCAGTTTACAAGTTCAAAGGAGAACAACATCAATGGTTTTAAACCAAATGTCAGTTGCCGTTAACATTAATTCTCACTGTCTTTGAAACTTATTCAAACTATAACTATGAATAATTTATAGCTTATGCTTTTAGTATGAATGTTTCACAATTTTAGCGGTAAGTATACAATACGTAAGCCTATGTTATGAATAAATCACTTTTTGATCTTCTGCCTAATTCTATATGTAAGTATCAACAAAATATGCAATAATACACCCACAAAAATATTCGAAAATAAAGTAAATCTATGTAAATCTCTGTAGATTGTTTTAATTAATAATTTTTTGGTCACAATAATCATAGGAAAGCTAATCATGCTGGTCGGTTGTTCAATCTAAAGTGAGTAGAAGGAATTTTAGAAAAGCTTACGAAAAAATGTCTCATTTTATCATCAAATTATAATTATACCAAATTATACTGATCAGAATGAAACATAGTGGATAAAATTAACCTTATTTGGTGTTCATCTGTCCATGGTATATAATCACCACTATGGCGATAGTTAACATAATCAGGATTCCAATCTGGTTCATCTATATCTGAAAATGGTCCACAATCAGAATAAACTGGACTTTGTTCATCCATTGATGGTTGAGGGTATAAATATTCTTCGTCATCTGACCGACCGGAATAACGATACCTTGGTATATTCGTAGTGTAAGATTGTTGATTATAAAGATTTTCATAATTACTAAAAAATATTTTTCAAAAAGTTAGAGGAAGATGACTAGATATTTCTGGACACAACATCAGGAAAAAAAAGTTGAATAAATCTAAATTTCCAAATGGAAAGTTGTCGATCAGTAGAAAAACGCTTAACAACAAAATGTACTGGATTAACATATATTTAATTGTTTATTTCGAAAAAAGTGGGATTTAAAACTTTTGGATTTGATAATAATAGTTATAACCATCAGTCATTGATGAATACTGTAATTAAGGAAACACAAAGCCAAAGCTTACGATGCTGATACCAACGATTCACGCATACATTCAATTTGGGTTGATTCTCAACATTCGTGATTCCTGCTAATTTTCAAATAATTTTATTTATGAACCGATATCATTGACCAATAGGTGGTAATTCTTTACAGTTAATTGTAAATAAGTAATGTATGACCGATTTCGGTGGTCATTATTGAAAAACCTATTTACTGTTTGTTAAAACAAAAATGCTCATATATATATATATATATATATATATATATATATACGCCTGCTAACCCTCGTTGAGTAGCATAGGCTGCCCACCAGCATTCTCCATCTAACCCTGTCATGAGCAATCCTTTCTAGATGTTTTGCAGGTTCCATTCATCGTTTTCATATTTGGTTCTATTTCCCGATGTAATGTGTTCTTTGGTCTTCCTCTTTTCCGCTTCCCTTCAGGATTTCAAGTTAGGGCTTGCATCGTGATACACTTTGATGATTTGCGTAATGTATGTCCTATCCATTTCCATCGTCTTTTCCTAATTTCCTCTTCAGCTGGAATCTCGTTTGTTCTCTCCCACAGAAGGCTGTTGCTGATGGTATCCGGCCAATGGATGTTGAGTATCTTGCGTAGACAGCCTTTTATAAATACTTGTACCTTCTTGATGGTGGTTGTTGTAGTTCTCCAAGTTTCAGTTCCGTACAGTAGAACTGCCTTGAAGTTCGTATTGAAGATTCTGACTTTGATATTGGTTGATAGACAGTTGTTTCGAGTTCCACATGTTCTTCAATTGTAGGAATGCGGCCCTTGCTTTGCCAATCCTCGCCTTTACGTCTGCATCCATATCCTTCTCGTTTATCGATGATGCTTCCCAGATATGTGAAGGATTCTACATCTTCCAAAGTTTTGCCATCAAGTGTGATTGGATTACTGTTCTCCGTGTTGTATTTGAGGACCTTGGTTTTGCCCTTGTGTATGTTGAGGCCTACTGATGCAGAGACTGCTGCTACACTGGCCGTCTTTATCTGTATTTGTCCGTGTGTATGCGGTAGGTGTAGGTGATCTGCGAAGTCCAAATCGTCTAGTTGATTCCGAGCTGTTCATTGTAATCCGTTTTTTCCATCAGTCGACCACCAGATGAAAGAGGAAGGGGGAGAGTAAGCAGCCTTGTCTGACTTCGGTCCTTACTTGGAATGAATCTGTCAACTGTCCTCCATGCACGATATTGTAGCGTGGCCCGTCATATGAATTCCGGATGATATTGACGATTTTCCCAGCCACTCACACCGTAGTTTTGAAGGAGGTTCTATAAGGTTCTCTAATCTACACTGTCAGATGCATTTTCATAGTTAAGTAAGTTGATGAATAGTGACGAAGTTTATTTAATTAACTGTTCAACGATGATCCATAGTGTTGCAATCTGGTCTGTGCACGATCGATCCTTAATAAATCCAGCCTGTTGATTTCAAATTTGGGCGTCTACTGGATTTTTAATCCAGTTCAGCAATACTCTGTTGAAAACGTTTCCTGGTACTGACATTAGTGTGGGGCATCTTTAGTCTTCACATTTTCTCAGATCTGCTTTCTCTGGTATCTTGATGAGTTATCCTTCTTTCCATTCAGTCGGCACTTGTTCTTCCTCCCAAATCTTCCTGAACAGAACGTGAAACATACTTGCAGTTACTTATACGTCTGACTTCAAAGCTTCATCCGGTATATTGTCAGGTCCTGCTGCTTTCCCGCCATTGATTTTTCTGATGACCGTTCCGAACTCTTCGGTCGTTGGTGAAATGACACGGATAGGAAGGTCTGTATATGCGGCTTCGATGTCCAGTGGATTCAATGGAGCTGATCTATTCAAGAGTTCACCGAAGTGTTCCAGCCATCTGTTCTTCTGTTCTTGAATTTTAGTGATTGGCTATATATATATATATATAATGCCGTTCAATAATATCGGAAAGGAAGTTGTAAACACACAACAAACCAACGTATGTACAGAGAAAAAAGATAAATATTTTATAAAATGTTCTTGTCAAACAAAAACCGAACTAATAAATCATTTTTTAAATTTTTTGTAAACAACTATTGTATTTCTAAATTATAAAATCTATGATTAGGAAAGGATTAGGAACTATTCAAACATATCTACATTTTATAGAAATGTGAAACAGAATGATAATACTCTATTCTAGCAAACAATCGAGAGTTTATTTACCATACTGTGCTCTATTATAATATTCTGTACTACCGACTATTAAATGCGCTTTGAATTAACGCAAAAAACTATTTGCTATTTTTCGCTATTTAATAAATATCACATAATATGAATATAATGTTATAAATATGCAATATTCATTGTAGTATAGATCAAAATGAATTGATTGTATTTTATTTTCATCGAATCAAGAACTAGATTTAACGTGGTTAACATAGTTTCAAAACATTTAGATTCTACTACTTATTTGTATACTCAGTAATGACTACCTTATAAGGAATTTGAACAGCATATATAAATATAGCTTGAATTTTATCGGTTGTATAGCACTTTCTGTGAATGTTAACTGGTAGTTTTAAGTAATTTGATAAAAATTAGTTTTCATCATAAATGCTTCTAACAAAAATAACAAATATGAAGTTACCAATGAATCGATCAAAAATCACAAGAAATTATTTGCAAGTTCTTTCTCTTTTTTTATAAAGAAAAAAAATGAAAAACAAACAACAACAGCCAAAAATAAATAAACGAAACATTTCATGATTCATCCAATTTCTTAAGTTGATTAGCAAACTGAAATAAAAGTGAATAGGAGAAAATGAAGACTAAAAAAGTAAGAAAAAAAATACTAGTCTGTGAAGTTTTATTTATTTATTTATTGAATTGTACAGTTTAATATTAGGATTGGTGCAATTAAAAATTATTTACAATGTGAATTATCTATCTATTTTTATCTATAAATGCAGAGTATTTTGACAGCACTGAGCAACAATGCCAGAATGTTTGGAATACGCTTCTCTCCCTCTAAATGCAAGCTGCTGCTTCAGAACTGGTCTGCGCCAACACCTGAACTAAGGATAGGGAGTGAAGTAGTCGAACGCGTCGACAACTTCAGTTACCTTGGAAGTCTGATCACCCCTAATGGGTTGGTGTCTGACGAAATCTCAGCACGGATTCGAAAAGCTCGCTTGGCTTTCGCCAACTTACGTCACCTATGGCGAAGGCGAGATATCCGTCTTTCAATAAAAGGACGAGTATACTGAGCAGCAGTTCATTATGTTCTACTTTACGGCTGCGAAACATGGCCATTAAGAGTAGAAAACACTCGTAAGCTACTAGTATTTGACCACAGATGTCTTAGAAATATTGCTCGCATCTGCTGGGATCACTGGTTAAATAATAGTGAGGTTAGACGCAGGGTATCAGGGAATGATGGTAAGTCAGTTGATGAGGTTGTGAATCTTTGTCGACTGAGATGGTTGGGTCACGTGTTAGGTATGCCTGAACACCGATTACCACGATGTGCAATGCTAACCAGTGTTCGGGATGGTTGGAAGAAAGTTAGGAGCGGCCAAACCAAAACGCAGCATCAGTGATTGAAGTCACTAACTTCTAGTCTGAGCCATATTGGTACATCTAAACTACTTGATTGGGGTCCGTGAAACCATCGAAACTAATGATTGGGGACTGTTGGTAACATGGCTCAGAATGGATCACAATGGCATAGGTGTATACACTCTCTGTCTTCCATTAAACTATGAAATTGAAATTGCTTCATATCTTTCTTTCTACAAACTAATTCTTTCTTCCTGTACTATATACTTATATGCAATCTTTCCTTTATATATAACCACCTCTAAATTAACTACTTTTATGAATCCGGTGTCCATCTTGTTGTGTTAATGAGGTATGGCAACTTGGAACGATGCATATATTATTATTATTATTTGCTTTATTCAATATTATATTATTGGTACAATATAGAACTCTCAGCACAAAGTATTTCAACAAGTTTCCGTTTCTTTCTTCTTGGTCGGTCCTCGCGATAAATACTGAGTGATCGCCAGCTAGATGTTAACAGTCCAGGAAATGAATATCTGAATAATGTACATTCTTTTCGTTGTATATTGCCAGCAACAATATTCTCTCTTTTTGAGCTTTTTGTAACTTTGACAACGAAAGGTTGTACAGTTTTCAGAAACGCAGCAGAATAGGTTGTGCGATTAATAGACATAATGGTATATTAAAACAAACAAAGATAGATAACTTGTCGAAATATCTAGATGGCAGGAACAGGTAGCCCAGATGCTCAAGCAGGCCGCCTTGTATGTGCCTGGTACTACGTTGTAGCTGACTGACTGACTGATATGTAAATGTTCTTAACAAGTATATGTGAGATCAGATTGTTCGAAATGTATTGCACTAATATATCACATAGATCTGATAATCTTCGTCTTTTTATTACACTATCGAAATTCATCAAAGCGGACTAATTGCTTTAAATTTATAAAATTGTTAAGTGAAAGAATAGTTAACAAAAACAAAAGCAATGAAAAAAAAAGTTTATCTATAATTTTGATTTTATTTTTTCATTTCTGAATTATTTTGTAAACAATTTACAATTAGTTAGTTTCAACAAAAGTAATGAATTGAGCATTCATACTAATTAGTTGTATGTTTGATATTAGTTAAACTAATTTTTATTTGAATATGTTTTTACCAATGAATCAGGTTTTAGATTGAGAGCTTTTACTGTAATGTGAATTTTAAATAGGGTAAATTTGAAATGATCCCATTGACCATTAATAATGATAAGAATTTATGTATTTGTCTTTTTGGATAATAGAAGCAAACACTTCACCTATTCTTAATAAAAATTAAGAAGAATTTAGCCTAACAGTCATGTGATTGACCTATAAAACTCATGCGCAGAAATCGCTTATCATATTTTATATCATGCCCACCTCTTTTATACTAGGCTGTATATAATTTAGTTACTTAAGTTAAAAAGAAGCTATTCATCTGGTAAATGATTTTGTCTTTGATCTTCAATTTATTCAAAGGATTGTGTTAATAATTATGTCTCGTTTTGCCATAACAGATAACTGTATATATATAAACATTCTGTTTATTTATTTCAACAAATCTAAACACCATAACGCTACTCATTAAAAATCTTTAAAACCTTTCTTTATGACAAATTTAAATGATGACGGTAAGATATTATTTGAACTCAGTCAGCTGAACGAAAGTGGATGAATTCAGCGAGCTTTTAAGTCAAGCCATCGAGTTAACAAAAACCTCTTAGTTACTTTTTAAACATTAGTCTGTAATAAAATTAATTATAAAATGTTTTCATCTAACCTTTTAATTGAGTTTCTCACTCATGTACGTGAAAAAGATAAAAAACTAATACTAAAGCACAATTAAATTTCTTAACAGGAATTCGTTAATTTAGGGGTCCGCATGAACCAAGGAAGTGATATTTTCCTAGGCATCTAACATTTGATTATAAACGTAATCCAGGGATAATTAATATTAGGTTATTTAGGTAAACGTCAATTGGTGAAATTATAATTAACACAATGATATTGGTGATGAGGATTAAGAATGTATAAAGAAAACAACTTAACTGACTGAAATGTAATAAAACAATCAATTTGACAAAAGCTAAATATTTATACAAAGTCTGTAACATTAATGACTCAATTAACAAATTGTCTCTAGATCAACTAATTAAGTATCAAATAGGTAACAACCAAACTATTGTGGTCAATCTGAACGCTGACTATGTTTTACTTAAAATAAACTCATCATTCTTTTTTAAAAAATCTTAAAGTTTATTCTTTAAACGATCAAAGGTTGTATACGATGAATCAGTACTTAGACTTAGTTGTCTGGCAGAAAAAAGTAAATGACTACGCTCAAGTAAAGATAATAAATACGACATTCCGACCTAGATTTTAGAAAATGTATTTAAGTGAATCTAACAAGTTCATTCTTAATTTAGTCGTCTTTATTCATAATATTTTAATATATTCGTTCAAGTATGTCACTTAGTTACTTCTATCTCTATATTTGACTATCTGTCTCCTATTACATGCATACAGTTTCCCTTTATCGATCTATTTACCTACTTATCATTACTTTTTTCTACTAAGATTTCTGTTTAATCAGTAGTAATTTATTCCTTTTGTTGATCTTATATTTTTTTCCACTTGCCTTATTATTCAATTCATTTAAGGTTGTTTTCTTTTTAGGAAAATCTTGATGTAACTTAAAGATCGTTCATTCAAAAATCGATACTCGTATGCATTAGATAGCTCATATATATATATATATAGGCAAATTTAGTTCTTTTCTGCTATAGTGACTGTTTTTGCTAAACTGATGATTTAATTAAGTGCCTATGAACACTTTTGATAAAAAAGTGAGAAAGACAGTTGCAGTGGAAACAGAAAACAAATTCAAACATTTAAAACAAATAATTAATGGTACTATATTTTTTAACAATCTCTATGTGTAATTAGTCAGGATGAGGGGGAATTGAAAAACAAGGTGAATGAAATAATGTATGAATGTTGGATTGAAGAAAAATCACGTTTCATAGTAAATAGGTTATTTTTTTATGTCTGATCAGTAAACAAACAACAGGAGGATAATTTGGTGATAAGTACTTATGTACTATTTTTGTCATTATTATGTATATTACATATTAGTGGAAATGTATAGAACGAAATAGTGATTTGGTTGGTTTAAAGTAGTGTGAACAAATTGGGAAAACTTGTTGTCATAAACGATTGATACACAAAATTTTAGGAAGTAGTTTGAATTATCCCGTTGTTGGTATTCTTGACTAATTTTCGACCAGTATTAGTTGGCATACGTGAATCCTATGTGGATTACCTCGATATAGCTATTTATATCATAAATGTTTATCGAATATATGGTTTGTAATTAGAAGGGAAATCCAGGATGCATGTTGCCCCTTGGATTCCACCGCCAGCCGCCATTCATCTATTGAATGATTCATTTTAAATGAAGATTGATAGTCGTGGCATAGAATCGTCATGATTTTCATTTAAGTATCAATTTCAAATATGTTGGTTATCACGATAAACTTTATCATTTGTTGATTGATATTTCTTTCATTCATATAGTGTATCTATTTTTATATTAATTTATAAATTATTATTTAATTATTTCTATACATCATATTCAGCTTGTTACAATGGAAGCTACACTAGTTGCATAGAATAAATTATGAATAGATTACCTTTAGGTGCGAAACCATTATCTAACCATTACTATGATTATTCAATTGCATTTTGTTCATACTTTACAATATTTCCATAAGATCAATAACGGTAAAACATTTATATTAGTACTAAATCCGATACCGAAGAAGGTGACTTCCGTGGAATGAAAAGTTAATAAATTTATCGTGGTTTAATTAACATTAGCAATGAAACGGACAAAAATAACATGACTGGTTGAAACTATCTAAAACCACTAGAACAGTAAACAAAATATATTTCCGTCATAAAAAATCTTTTTTGCGTTATATCATTTAGAATTCCTAATACTAATTTAGATCAATGAATAATTAATTTGATTACTGATATTATTTACTAGTGGAATTACTTTGGACTCTTTTCCCTTCATTGGAATAAAAGCATTTCGAAGTATTGGTTAATTGATGAGAGGATAATTTATGAAGGACCTTCGAGCAATGTTAAAGTGACTCAGAGAATGTTCACCGATATGCTAGGGTTGAATGAGGGTTATAAATTAGTATTAGGAATGAAGACTAGGATTTACAGTTGAACTTTAGGGTTAGATATTAGAGTTAAGGTATTCATTACTAACTGACATCAGTTATAATGCCAAAATGCTACTTAGCCATATGGATGAATGAATTTGGCGCCAAAATCCAAGACCTTCCATCTAAAATCTGATTGATTCGTCCATAAATTCTAATCTCTCCAGTTAATTTATAAGAAGCCTTAATTCTTTTTAGCTTCAAGATACGTTACAATTCCGCTGCTGTATCGTGACGATAATATGAAACTACCATACCAACTCATGATATTCAAGTCATTACTTAAAGATATATCACTTCCTCCTAATACGTCTTTAATACTGTTCATAGGGAAATTATCAAATTGCGAGATATTAATCGCTATTTTATTCACTTAGCTTATCATCTTATGAGGTAGTAAGACTACACGGAATTAAACTTTTCTATAAAACAATCAACACCTTTCGAAATGATTTAGTACTGATAACGGGAAGATTTCCGTCGGAAAAGACACAGAAATACATCTACATGCCATGTTATCTCAACTGAGCTTTCTGCTTTGAAGATTGTGCTTATGAAATCTTGACCATTACCAAGGATAACCTGTAGTACACAAAGAGATCGCCTAATAATTCCGTAGAATTGAAAAAAATTACAAATCAAATCGATATTAGCAATATGTGATATTTTAACCACTAAATCGATGCTAAAAAATAGTAGGGTCATCTGGAAAGGTTTCTCAGTTATGGAAAAAACAGATACTAAGGCGTGTCATATAATAAAAATTCCTTTGCTTTAAATAGAAATGAATGTCTGACTATCCATCCAGCTTGTTTATCCACACAATTGGATTTAATACTATTCATTTTTAACACCACTAATATACATACATACAAATTTCAACTCCACTTGTTCACATTACAAATTTTACACGTTACACACCAGCATTCGCACAGATAAACACAATTATTCTTTGCACAGGATCATCTGGACCGAAATAGTATGACATTGACATACTGTAACCTATTTTGATTTTGATTAAACTAAATATTCTGCCTTGTTCCTATATACTTTCTTAAAGTGTGTTAATTTATTTACAGTTATTCATTTATTTGCTCTGAAGAGGTGATTTGATCCTACTGATTGGAAAGTCATAAGTTTATCATTATTGTCTTATTAATATTCTACTCGATACTGAAATCATTCAAAAACAACCAAACCAAGCCTTGATAATGATATTTAATTTTCACTGACTTGTGTATTATTTCTACTTAAGTTAAAGAGAATTCATAGAAACATAATTCCTGTAAAAGATAAATGTCATGTTTGAACACAGGTGAAGTTAATTTCTATTATGGACTGATATGGATAGTATCGGGTTTACTAAGAAACACAAAAATCCTGAGTTTAAACAAATGGCAGATCGTGCGTGTTCACTGGTGATGAGTTTCAGATGAGAACAAATCATCCGTTCTATTGTCTTCTTCTTCCAAGGATTTAAGGATTGTGTCAGTTTGTGATGTGAATGAATAACATTTTTTTACTAAATTTCAATGGCTCCTACTTACCTATCGAACATATGTTCTTCCTCTGGATGATTACATTCTAATGGTGGTGCATCACCAAGCCTACAAATAAAAAAACGCTGAAGAAGTAACTTAAATTCAGACGCAAAACATCAGGAATACAGTTTTCTACCCAGTGGGACATAACAAAATAATCAACGGTAAAAGTCAGTAATAGTGTTAGGAATAATAATAATAATGTTAATGGCAGTATCAGTAGTAGACGGGTTCCTGAAAGCTATCCAGTATTTTGTAACATCATAAACTTATCTACCCAGCAGCTAAATTTATTTATAAGGCATCTAAAAGACGCATGTTGTATTTACTCAGATAGATAAATATACAAAGTCAGTCATGCACAATGCAGAACCTAGAAAATATGTACATTAGTTCCAGTTTTTCGCACCCCATTATCACGATAAGATTGAATTGTCAAAATAATTCCCAGATAATTACAGGTAATAACAGCATTAGGAGTAGTAGAAAATATTAGGCATTAGAGATTCGATTCTAGAAAAGATTATGGATTAGTGAAATAAAAAACTTTGATGTAATTTGGAAACTTAGAATTTAAGGGAAAACAATGAGTATTTTTGCTTGAGCTATTGTGAATAACACCAAAGCATGTCATCCAAAGCCTCTAACCATTAATAACAACAGTTATGCTAACCCCAACCAAGAGGTCTGCACCTGACTGCATGGCTTAATCCAACAGTCATGGGCCTCATGAGTTCATACTATGTCTTGGTTCGGACACCCCTAGCTTTCTTCAAACTTACTTTCACACCAGCCAGTTACTCACGATCTTTTTTTTACGAAGTTTGTAACATATTGGCTCCGAACTTCAAAAGACCCTACAGTCCATGGGAAAGGTAAAGTGTACTATTTTTAGGTTCAACCTTTTTTAACTCCTTCCCTCCGTTGTAAGAAGGCATCATCGTTGCAGATACTGGTTATCCAGAGGAAACATATTACTGTTGTCATATCTCAGTATATTCAGCTGCACAACTTCGCCCTCATACTATGAGTCTATTGCCTGGCATGCTGGGAAAGGAAAATTATGTAACGACCATCGTCATAATTGTTGGAATAATGTAATTAGTGTTCTGATGAGAAGACTATGCATAATGATTCCCTTTTTTTAATTTTAAACGATCAACTGGTTTTTTAAAACACAATATTTCTCTAGAAGAAGATTAGCCAGCTAACCATTTTGAAAAAAGAAATACTAGTATGCAAGTTTAAACTTGGTCAATGCAAGTATAACTCTTTATTCTCGAAATATCCCTACAGAAAGTGAATATAATTCTAATCTCAAAGTGTCACTGTGTGGGGATACATGAGTAAGAATGCATCAACAGACTTAAAGATCTTTAGTGACTACACAAAACATCATAACTCACCAGTCAATACGATATCCATCTGAACCAGAATTATGTGAGTACTGCTGCTGATAATTCTGATCAAAACATTCAGGTTCCGATATGAAATTATTATCTTCGGAATATTGACTATGCCATTGTAAATCATCATCAATATTATTTACATTACGGGAATCAAAACAAATTTGTTCATCATCCCATTCATACTCACCAGTATATTGACGATAAGAATATGGTCTATTTGTATGTGATTTTGGATATGGTCGACTATTATAATACAATAGTTCTGAACCAGAATCTAATTCACTGTCAAATGGCACTTGTTCATGGTGATCATAATGACGAGATGAAACAAAATGGTGATTTTTTAAAGTTTCTGATGAATGAGCATCTGAATCGTCAGTTGTAAACTGTCTATGCCTTAACGGTGTTTCTATAAAGAATAAAATTTATAAAAGCCTTTTGAAAATACAATTATTTACACAATCAACCACCAATCAGTTAATCGAAATGTACAAACACAAATACATAAAAATGCAAAAAGCAGTTAAAATGGAACCTTAATAAAAATTATGCTTTTGGTACAGGGATCTTAAACAATGATTATGAAAGTTTGTAAAGAATGTTTGACAATGTTGAAAAGCTTATTACTATGCAACGAATCCCAAGAATAACCAATTAATCAGATACAGACAAGGAATATTTGTGAAGTTTACACGGTACACGTCACATGAAGACAAAACATATCCAATTGTGTGAATGTTTATTAGATCTGATGTAAACATAAATAACAGCTGTAGTAGTTGACTACTATTGTTCTAAGCAAAAATATTAACATAGAGACTTCCGATCAGTAGCTAACTGGGATAAGAAATAATTCACTTAGAATATTCAACCACATTTATCTCGAACTAGCTGATAAACTAGAACAATTTCTCCAATATTCACATTATTTATCGTTCTAGTGAAACAAACTGTGAAAGGTAATGACCTGCAACTTTATTACTCAATTTTTGAATAAAGCTGGAATAATAGCAGAAACAGAATAATATATTATATATTATATAATAATTTGTTATTGTATTTATCATATTGTATTCTAGTTAACTGTTTGAAATACAACTTTTCAGAAACTCTAAATCCTTTTCTTATCATGAAAATTCGCAACTTTATTTGAGTATTCATTTATAATATGTGCTCTGCAATAATGCTCACAGTATATTAGATCAAACTGGTATATAAAATACCTCATCAATCGAGTAATTCATCAACATCCCGAAGAATATTTCAAATATCAATTCTTATCACTTCTTGATATCGGAGAGTTTAAAATGAACAGCGTGTATAAAGTAGATAAATTACTCCAATAGGGATATTACTGTTTCAGTTTCTATTTGTTTGACTTCATAAATTGTGTCTTTTGATTGAAATGTTGAAAAATCCACTTAGAAACTAGTCACCGATGAGAAGATGGCTATTATTATTAATATTAAGCGGACTGGTTTGATGGAGAGATTTTTGTGTAGTTTGAAGTTTGTTCTTACTGGTTCTTAGAGTAAAGTTAATTCGTGATGAATGTTACTCTTTGAAACAAATAAACATCTCCATCAAACTATTTCAGTATAATTCTATCGGTCATATTTATTTATACACAAATAAAAATACTTTCAACATACAAATATAATAACCAATGTTAAATAGATGAAAATTACACTAACCATTTAAATAATCTGGATGATTCATTGAATACCCATAATGGTTAGAACTTAAATGATTAGTTGATTTAGACTGACGAGAATTTGGTAGTATATAAACTTCATTTAAATTATTAGATAGTCGATTTTCTGAATCACTTAATGCACAATATGGTGTAAATAATTTGTCACGATGTTCTAAATGTTGATTTGCATGAATGTTAGTTATATGACCAGAAAATCCATTCATTACATTTTGATTAACACTTGAACGATGTAAAGTACCATTTGTTGAAGTAATATTTGGTAATTTTCTTTTCGTAAATAATATTTTTTCAAGTGGTGAATCTGTTTAAATTAAGTTATTTGTTAAAAGTTGAGGAGAAATTATTTGACAAAATTAAACTATTCAAAGATTATTTAATATCAAAAATTCTTCTCAGAGAGCTATACTTGGCAATATTTATTTAAACGATATGACAGTGACTATTATTAATTCTAAGATTTTAAAATTGATTGAAAACTATTTTTACTTTAGAACTTGATTTATTGTACAATGTGATACATAGGTTACTTGAGTATTGAGTACAACTATTGTCTTACAAAACTTATCTTAATATTGTGAAACAAACATGATTTTTTTCATATCGAATTGATGTCTGTATTACATAATATGCAAAATCATAAATAATCTGGTAATACTAATAAACACTTTAAAGAGTACAAACGAATAAGTTAGTAATTTTCTTTTGAAGAGACTATACTCAATTAATTAATATTTGTAACGGTTACGCATCTAAGCTCACATGGAATATACGAATCTCTGTTTTCTAACATTATAACTACCTTACCAAATTATTGACATATCAGTATGGAAATTTATGGAGATAGTAGTATTTTAACAGTTGAATTCACGAGTCAATCTAAGCTAGACCACCACTAAAAGTCTGGAAGCACTAGATGGCCATTTCATCCTAGTATGGGACTACTCATCAGTGCGCTTCTACGATCCCGTACGCAGAACTCTAAACCAGGACCTTCAGTCTCACGCGTGAACGCCTAACCTCCAGACCACTGAGTCGACATCGTTGGAGCTGAGAATCCCAATACTAGGACGAAATGGCCATTCAGTGCTTGAAGGTTTTCAGTAGTGGTCTAGCTTAGATCAACTCGTGAATTCAGCTAGTAACATTGTTTTGACAAGTAGTAAAAACGATTAGGGAGAATGCTCCTAGAAAATTTCCTTGATAAGTTTAGTTATTTATGCATCATTTATTTATTCAAATAAATGTGAACAACAAGACGTATAAATGTTTCACATAAAGTAAAAAAGGTCATGAAAAAGTGGAAAACTAGAAACTACAGTATAATAATAGTGAATCTACTAGAAAAACAAGAAGTTGGATGACAATAAACCAATAGAGATTTCCTTCCTTGTTAATTTATATCTTATTGTTTGTCCGAAAAAAATTGTAGCAGAATCAAATGTGACTTGAATTTTAAGCAAACTCAGATCCTTATAAAACTAGTGATCATAATTGGGGAATTTTGAAGGATTGGCAAATGTTAATTAAATGCAACTAACTGCAGCTTGACGATAGTATGTGATGAACGAGTCTCGTTCTGGCTGTTTCACCAGTCTCAACATCGGCAGACTGTATGACACAGAAGGTTCTATGATACTTACAGTGAAAGCTGTCAAAATTATCAGTAAGAGGTAACAGAATATTAGTTTCAACCATTTGCAAACACAGAAAATAAGTAACTACTCACATTTCTTAAATAAACATATTGCTTACGGCTGAATATTCTTGAGACATATTATGTACATCTTACTAGTTCTAATAAGATATATACTCTCTACTGAATACTAGTATCGCTTTCCTAGAAGCTTTCAGTCAACACAAATTCATTAAAATAGTAACGTTGTTTCCATTAGGCTTGTGAATTATGGTGAACACTATCTGTTCTAGTAACTGTAATCTATTTGGGAAGTTTTTATATCTCCCCCATTGTAAAGCACTCAAGAAATAACATGAATAGAAGCATTCCAGTATTTATATAATTGTTCCATTTTCGAACACAGAACTGATAGTAAACTTTAACTAACAAATGATGCGAAAGTAAAATTTCCCATTATATAATCTTTAGTAACTTGATCTTTAATATAAATTGATTACTGAAAAACCACAAGATTTATATTCCTGTTTTTTGTGAAGTCAACACTTCCGTAACTTATTAAGTAATATGATATCCAAAACCAAATTTATAAGGTGAGATGAACAGTATTAAAAGTAAAAATTAAGAATCTTCTTAAACTTACCATCAGGTATTTCAAATCTTACAGTAGCTAGACATGAGTGTTTAGTAGCTGTCTTTGTGCCAACTATTTGTCCATTCTCAGTGATGACTTCGGAATCAAAATTCACCCACATTCCCGGACCATCCTTTGAAATAAATATAAATTAGTAAATCGGCAAATTTTCACCAATATATTTATCATGAAACATTCGGTTATAATAAGTTACATTGTATGGATGACGTTAATTCACACAAACATACACTGTTATTGGTGTCTTCGTTTAAGCAAATACATTTACTGTTTATATTTCTTTGCTCAGAATCAGGCTATTTTGAATGATGTTATCATAATGCAGAGTTGTTACAGTGTATCTCATTGTCTGTAGTGATGCTACACAAGATGATTCAGTTTTCAAAGGATCACTTTGTGACTTTTCTTGACTATGAGATTGAAAATTGAAATAAACAGTTACATGTAAAACATCCAATCCCAAGAACAATTGGTCCCTTTTCGCTTATCTACTATTACTATTCTAGATGTTTTTATGCTGACTCAATCTGTTTATTTTCAATAAGATGAATTATTACTATCAATCAAATTAGAATTATCAGAATGCTATACCAGAAAAACAACTACATCAAATAAGTTGCATTATATCAAAAAGAGGAATTATACTGAATGCTATTTGAAAAATAAATCTTCAAGTGGATATAACATACATTATATGTTTCAGAATAGCAAGACAGCAGTCAATCTATATAAAAATAGTAGAACCATCCAATATGAAAATAACCATGAAAAAATACCTGACTACAGGTACACCTTACTGACGAGTGCCGAATAGCACAAAATCTAGGTCCACGGTTCCCTGTCGACTACCTCCAACCACCATCTCATCTTAACACAATGTACACAAAATCGAGTCACTTAGACTAGCGGTCACATTGCAACTTAGTCGACAGAATTCAGTCTGCACTAAAAATGATTTGACACACATGACACTGGTCACTACCCAGTGATTAATCAATCGTAAATCCCTGATAACGCTTTCAGTGTTTTATGAAATATCAGTAGATATTAATAAACTATGTTAAGCACTTTTTAATAACCAAGCACATCAAATGACAACGGAAGCTGTATATGGACTGATGACATGTAGAATTGTGAAGAGAATAATATTGAACTAGCAGTTCAATGCTAAAACTAAAAAAATTCGACCAAAAATCGATGGGAATTTAGAAACTAATTCTAGCATCAATGGATCGATAGATTAAAATCTACGATCCTGTTTATTAAAATATTTTTCTGTGGATTTTAGTTGGAGATGCATAAGATGCATAGATTATTTGAATGTAAAACATGTCCGAGATAATTGATAATTTTTTATTCACAGTCTATTATTTTGGGGAACTCATAAAAATATACTTATGCCATAAATCAGGATAATTATGTAAGTAACCAGTATATACCCAGTAAGACAGAAAATAAGAAGGATTGAATCAGCGAAGAGTTGTCTTTTCATCGAATTAATTATCAAAGATTTACAGTCTGCATAGGAGGACGTTATGGAAACTTCTTCGACACTACGGAGTTCCTGAGAAGATTGTCAACATTATTCGAAACCCATATGACGGACTACAGTGCAAAGTAGTGCATGGACGACAGCTGACAGATGCATTCCAAGTAAGGACCGGAGTCAGACAACGCTGTTTACTCTCTCCCTTCCTCTTTCTTCTGGTGGTCGACTGGATTATCAAGACCTCGACATCTGAGGGAACACGGAATATAATGGACAGCTCGGAATCAACTAGACGATTTGGACTTCGCAGATCACCTACACCTCCTATCGCATACACACGAACAAATACAGATAAAGACGGCCAGTGTAGCAGCAGTCTCTGCATCAGTAGGCCTCAACATACACAAGGGCAAAACCAAGGTCCTCAAATACAACACGGAGAACAGTAATCCAATCACACTTGATGGCGAAACTCTGGAAGATGTAAAATCCTTCACATATCTGGGAAGCATCATCGATGAACAAGGAGGATCAGATGCAAGCGTAAAGGCGAGGATTGGCAAAGCAAGGGCCGCATTCCTACATTTGAAGAACATATGGAACTCAAAACAACTGTCTATCAACCAATATCAAAGTCAAAATCTTCAATACGAACGTCACGGCAGTTCTACTGTACGGAGCTGAAACTTGGAGAACTACAACAACCACAATCAAGAAAGTACAAGTATTTATAAAAGGCTGTCTACGCAAGATACTCAACATCCATTGCTCGGATACCATCAACAACAGCCTTTTGTGGAAGAGAGCAAACCAGATTCCAGCTGAAGAGGAATTTAGGAAAAGACGATGGAAATGGATATGACATACATTACGCAAATCATCAAACTGCATCACGATGCAAGCCCTAACTTGAAATCCTGAAGGGAAGCGGAAAAGAGGAAGACCAAAGGACACATTACATCGGGAAATAGAATCAGATATAGAAAGGATGAATAACAACTGGGAAGAGCTGGAAAGGATTGCCCAGGACAGAATTGGATGAAGAATGCTGGTGAGCGGCCTATGCTCCTTCATGAGGAGTAACAGGCGTAAGTAAGTAACTTTAAATTGATAATGAGAATGTTTACATGAACGATGAAATAATAATAATAGTAACAATAAATAAATAATTAATTATTTTTGTTACATGTTTTTCTGAATGAAAATTTATTGTCTGGATAGTACAAAATTAATTTAATGTGCTTTTTTCTGTCTAATCTCATTTCCTTCATCTCTCACCTTATCATTCTCACTATTGATGTCTGTTTATTTCATTCACGTATACATTTATACATACAGAAATATACTACGTATGAGAGAGAATATTCAACTAATAAATATTGACTATTAAGGGATTTATTAGTCATAATAAATTATCAATTACATTATAGACTTTTCGAGTATATTTTGGCATTTGAATAAGGATATAATGGCATATTTTTCAAGCTTTGTAAAGTTGTTGATTTATGAGTAACGGAAACTAGTTTTGTATTTTATCGTTTATTTGTTGTTTTTATTTAACGTTTTAGTCTATGCTTAAAAAACAAATACGTGTAGTTGATCATGTGAAATTTGAATGAAATAAATTAAACTTTTTTTCCCTAACAATTCTGTTTTGTTATTGTGACTGAAATAAAAAATAAAAAATGAAATTTCGGATCCCTATAAGGGAAACTAGTAGGAATATGATAAATAACTTTAAATGACCTATTTCTGTCTACTACATGACCGCTATCGATCAGGTGGGATAGAATCGATTTGCTTATTGTCTTGACAGTACCTCGGTTCGTAATTAGGAAAAGGTACTGTCAAGACAATACGCTACTCGATTCTATCCCATTTAATCGATAGCGGTCATGTAGTAGACAGAAATAGGTCAATTAAAGTTATTTATCGAATTTCTACTAGTCTTCCTTATGAGGTTCAATCTCGTCTCTTACACATAGCGGAAACTATAGGAATTCAAGCTAACGATATAAGTCTTTGTGTTCATAAGAAACTTGTAACACCTTTATTTCATCCTTGGCCTTAATAAGTGATTTTATTTATTATTATTTTCCATACTGTTCGTTTATTTTTCTTCACCCTTTCCCCTTTTTTTCTCACATATACGCTTCACAGTTCAATTATCTGAAGATTTCTTATTACGCAACCTTATAATCTTTTTATAAATGTTATTTCATTGTCTATATTTTTTCTAATCCTTGACCTATTTCCGATTATGTAACGCTGATTCAAGCCGTTATTATTCTTATCACATCTAGTACACTTGTCATCACACTACCAATTTGTACTTACTTATTTTAATTATTTATGTAATCTATTCCACTGTTATCATTGACTCATAAACTGCCTTGATTGGTTTAATAATTTCGTATATAAATATAAACATTACTGTATATCAGAGTAAAGCCTGATGAGGATCTAATCGAAAACAATATTATCGAAATTGCTTCTAGAAATTTTAACAAGTACAATGTCATTTATGAATAGTTAAAAATTATTCATCGATTCTTGAATTATTGCTTTCTAGTAAGGATTTAGATATCAAAAACGAATTGAATGAAGTAGCTGACACTTCAGCTGTTACCACTTTATCAATGTATTGACCATTTATACGTTAAAACACAACTGTTGTCACGTAACAAATAAACTTTAACTTATGTAATCATACACTTTACCGCATAAATATCCAGCTTTTTCGGATGACATATTAAAAACATAAAGACAAAATGTTCACCTCAAAACTAGCGGAACATGAGTTCGATGCCGTGTAGAAAGGCAGGTCAATGCTGTGACGTCCGGAATACAAGACTAAAGAATTTTTCATTAAAAATATTTTAACCAGAAGTATATACTAAATGTCTAAAATTAGAACACTGTTCTCATGATTATCAGAAAATGTACTCGTCAAATAGCTAATATTTTGACTGGCATATAATAGATTACAAAAAGGTTTCACAGGACGGTAGATATTTTCTCCACTGATCTGTGAGCAAAATCAGTACAAATATGATACAACAATTGTCAGCCCTTCATCTTATCAGTCAGCCTATAAGTGCACTTTCATGAACATAAATTTCGGTAGAATTATGTTATAATGGTGACCTTGAGTTCCTCTCAACATTTACTCATTTATCAGGCAATTCGAGTTTGCATGACACATGTAAATAAGCTAATATAGAAAGACCAAGTATATAGGACTTATATATATATATATATATATATATATATATATATATATATATATATATATATCATTATTGGTAAACATATTTGGGTTCATCAGAGACTCATCAATATTAAAATCAACGTGGGTGGGACAAAAGTGTTCATCCTTTAAGAGGCCGAAGATAGTCTCTTAATCGTGATTGTAACTCTTTAAAATTATAAATGGAAAGACCAATTGAAAGGTCGAAGAATTGACACTCATGAATGATAGCGTGATTATTCCAAGGATATCTTTGAAAACGCAGATACACTGACCAGTCATCCAAATAAATCGGTTCCACGCTCATCACATAAGTATGGAATTTCTCCATTTCAATTGGGTCATAATACAGAGCGACTTTGAAAGACCTCAGAAACACCCTTAAATATGCATCAAATGCACCTTTTACACTATATTGCACTTACTATAGGGATGGGTAAAATATTTGTATGCCAGACCTAAGAGTTTGCCAGTATACTTTAATTTAACCCAAATATTCGACTGATTATGAGGTCTAGATAAGTGGAAAATTGTGTGAAACGAATTATGACAAGAAAACTTTCTATCTACCTCAATGAAACTAAGAGATAATGAAAAAAGTCTGCAATGTATGGTCCAAGAGTGAATACAATTAATGTATCATTTACAATTGGGCTATTTTTAAAATCTATAATGCTATATTAGTTAACTAGCAGGATCGGCGAAGCAAGAGCCGCATTCTTACAATTGAAGAACAGCTAAAGAACAAAGGTACAAGTGTTTGTAAACAGTTGTCTACGCAAGATACTCAATATCCGTTGGCCAGATACCATAAGCAACAACCTACTGTGGGAAACGACAAACCAGCTTCCAGATGAATAGGGAATTTGTAAAAGACGTTGGAAATGGATAGGATATACATTACGTAAATCACCAAACTGAATCACGAGGCAAGTGATAACTTGGAATAGTGGAGGGAAACGGAAAAGCGGAAGGCCAGAGAACACCAAGTCGGGAACTTGAAGCAAATATGAAAAGGATCAATAGCACTTGGGAAGAACGGAGAAAGATTGCCCATGACAGAGTTAGATGGATGCTACTCTACGAGGGGCAACAGGTGTAAATAAGTAAGTTAACTGCAACGATTTGATCGTATTCAAAAGTAAAGAATTTGTTAAATGATGCTCATCAACATAAGTAAAGAAAAGAGATAAATTTTGGCAATAAACAGTAATATACAAAAAACTCATCATATTAGATCGTTACGCTGGATATGGAAAGATAAAATTAACTGGAAAGATCCCAGATAGATATGTTTTATAACTGATAAATATTTAGACAGCTAAAATTGACATGGTTGATCTGATAATGACTGCCAACAAAATACTTAAAAGTTCTTTAACAACAACTTCGGCTTATAAAATAACACTTTCTGTAACGAAATGAGAAACGCTAAAGAGTCGTATTAATTTAAGTAGATTGCTAACATATTTAGCAGACCATTGAAATTAGTAAAAACATTCGCAAACAGATTAACAATAAGTAAATTTATTAATGTGAAACATAGAATAGAACAAACCTTATTAGAATGTAGTATTTTGTTTAAGGGTAACCAAACAACTCCTAACAGCTTATCTTTTAATAAACCTTTCGAATGTATTTCAATCAGGAGGCCGCCATCCATACGTTCCGTTTCGCTAAATAAATAAACAAAAAAACTTAAGATTAAGGAACAAATTGAAAATATAAGCATAGATACATATTATTTGATAAATTAAACTACCTTACTCTTAAGTATCATCATGATTCTGTTATTATATGCTTAATTTGGCTTTCTTGCGGTAACCATGAACTATATATTAACGATAGTCGGTGACAGTTTTTCTCATTGCTACCATACTCGTCAATTAACTATTAACAAAAATAAACACTGAATGATAGTTATACTTATGTCAAGGTTATAAGATAATATTTCAAAGATAATTTTGTTATAAAATTGATATCACTTGGGGAATTGATCAAAACAAGAGAGCAGTAAATAGTCATTTCGTCTGTGACTTAACAAATTCAGAAGTACATATGCACAATAATATGCATGATTGAACTCCAACTTTTAGTTTTTGCAGTGAATTTAGTGCATTTATACAACTGGTCCATATTCTTAGTCATAGTCAATATGATATAACGCTATCTTTATGGGATACTACCACGTAGTTATTGTTTCACCCCTGACCTATTAAAATTCACAGGTCACCTTTCCTACTGGAACTACATGAAATCCATCTCAAAGCTAGTCACTAGTGGGTACACGCTTGAACTTATCAATAACATCACTTATTATAAAGACAAAATACACTTGGTTTTTTCGACAGCAACGCTATTTATAACATTTTTATGCTAAAAAGCGGTTTACAAACATTTCAGATAGCCAGCTTGAATCACCAACATTATAGACATGAATCTATGAACTTTCTTGAAGATTTGAAAATAATTTATACTTATCTGACTTTTGGTAAAAAGCTGTTAAATAACTAGTCATGTTTAAGGACTAGTAAAAAGTGGAATATTACTTTACTCCACATGAATAAAAAACAAACGATCAATTAAACTACTGCAATAAATAACTTAGTAATTAATCACAGTTAAAATGTTTTCTTTTCCATCCACAGGATATAACAAATATGTTTACAAGACGCTATGAAATTTACAGAGTACTCATCCATTGTTTTCAATAAACTATTTATATCATAACAGATATATTTCTTCTATAATTATTAAGAAAAATAGAATAACTTGTCCATTAGTTCCACGTATATGAATGAGCTACAGTTCAGTGATTTCTAATAGTTATATATATATATAATCTTTCGCTCAATTACCCAGAATAAAAGGCATTCGGTGAAGTATGAAATTCATTAACTTAACGCTAACGCATTGTAGCCAGCTTCCCAACTAACTTTGTGTTCTGCAATTCATTTCCCGTAGGAAAAAAGAGAAATCGATCAGATTTACTTGTCTTATTTTGCATTAAATGATTTGGTTACTTGTATCAATAGGGGGAGATACGTTTTCTATGGATATTCTCAAAAGCTTAAGATAAGTGATCGACAGATTTTCAGATAGAATGAAATGAATGACTTAAAAAGTCACCACAATATAGTTATTCCGACTACACCAGTGACTATGTCTAGCCATCTCGACCTCCATGTGACATTTTTGCCTTGGAAATATACTGGAGAATAGGCGACTTAGTTGTTGTAGTCAGAACTTAGCACAGTTTTTCGTACTGTATATCATCTATACAAATAATTAGCTCTAAATGAGCAGTGAATCTAATCGACACTAAAATATCAACTGGTGCACAGAGAATCTGGTTTGTTATTTGACATTTCAGTAGTCAGTTTAGAACGGATAACTAGTAATACAAACTCAGCTAATTAATCCATGAAAATGAATAATGGAAACTTACAATATAAATTCTTCGTTCCATTTTGGTGCAGTTCCTTTTACTGATTGAGTTGAGGAATGTGCTTGTCTTAATTTAACGCTAATATACGTATTTAGCGATGAATCTGAACTTTCTAAACGTGCTTCAATAACTATAACAACAAATTTTAAAACCAGTAATAACAATAAATTTTGTGAAAATTCATGTAAATATATCATATCTTTCCAATTATCATTATTACTGATTACATTTCCTTCTATATAGAGTTATTGTTTTTACTTTAGCATTAAGCCAGTATGTCAAATCGTAAGGGAATGTGAATTAAACAATTTTTGAATAAGGAATTAACCTGCATAGGACGATAACAACATAAATATATCATTCAAGAGCTTATTTGCCATTGTACTCAAATCACTACAATGCCATTAAACCTATTGCAGATCACAAAAGTCCAAACCCACTGCAGTTGTAGAATCACCGAATTCTTCATGTGTGACTTAAACGTTTTTAAATCTAATCACTTAGGGACAAAACGTGTATCTCATTGAAGACATTTTATTAAAGAAGTGTTACAAAAAAAATTCAAAAACTTAATTTTTTGAAACATATTGAGTTTTTTATCTACATCAGCATGAATAATGACAGGTCTGTTTTTGTTTGCAGGATATGCTTTTTATCAATTTATCAGAGTTGTGGATGTCTGCAATTTTGATAAAAAGTTATCAACCTTACATAACAAGGTCGATTATAAACAAGTTTTAAAACCGATACACTGATTTACATAGGCCAACATCTTTACAATCACAAATTCTAAAACTTGTAAGTTTGCATAACCACTAGATACCACGAATCTCATTTAACAAACAGAAATTTGTTCACAGACGTTTTTCAGAAAAGCAATGTATATCCAAAAATACATAATCACTAAACGAATTGGTAGTAAACTTAGACAGATTAGTATGGATTTTTATTCAGAGACCTTTTAAGCGAAAAATGCAATTTTAGACATAATAAAATTTTCTGAACTCAATATTAAATGCTACGGTTAAAAAAGCTAAAGAATAAAGCGTTAAAAAAGGAGTCTACAACCGTTGGCTTCAAAAATCGAAGATACATAATCCTTGTCTATACTTAGTTGCTTCTTACTAGCTAAATGTGATGAACAGGTAAGAACTGATGAGCAACAACTGCTTTATAAATGCTACTTGGTATTTTACTAACGACAATTTATTATGAAATTATATATATATGTTCATCTTCGTTAAAACTAATTCAAAACTTCACTCGCAATTTATTATGGAAGAAATGTCTCCAAAAGGTGAAAGAAACTTTTAGCAACAGAATTGTGCGATAGGTTCACAATCTAAGCTTATATTTGTCCGATTGAAAAGTAAAGTATTCTTATCCATGGATATAACCCAGTTGTAAGATCAACATTTAAACGTTTTGTGCTACTTAAAGTTCAATAGATGGTGTGATTATTACAAACGGTACTTAAGATTCACTTTTCACGGCTGCCAACTCTATATGATGTCATTAACAACAATATCCATTATTTACTTTATCAAACACTACATTCGTTTGATATACCAAACTTTTTCAAACGAAATCAAAATGTTGGTTTATTTATTATACTGGCGTCTAAATACATACATCTTAAAGAACTAAAGGCAATGGAGTTAGAAGTTCTGTTATCTACTTAGATCAAATTACTCTACCATTCAATGTTGGGAAGTGGGCAGAATACGAAACTAAATTAACCAATGACACTTTTGTATCAACATAAAGGGTGAAAATACACATGTATATTATACATAACTGTGACTGGCTAAGACATAATCTTTTGCCCTCAGGAAATTCTTTTCATGTGGTTGAAAGTAAAATGATATGTGAAGAAAAACATGCCAAAAACTTGTTACTCAAGTTCGTTATACTTTATAACAGCATTGAAATCGTAGCCAATGAAACCGTGATGATTCACATTGTAGAAGAAAGAAATAATAATCATTGTTTGGTCGGTTGTTTTCAATAAAGTTTCTATCACATGTATGCGATGGCGAAAGTTGTCATTCTATATGGGCACAACAAGATAAAGCTAACAATATGAATATAAGAGAGGATCAAAGTAATCAAGGAGCGACTTCAACAAGAAATTGTAGGCTTTGGGAGCAGGGCTTGAGGAAACACAGTGAAAAGGTATAAATGAGAGAGAACTGGAGCTTAAGGTTTAGAAAAGACAGGGGATGAGCGCCTTCTGAGCCATATCACCCAAAACATCTGAACACAAGTTTCTTTTGCCATCTAGATCTTGATCGATAATGTTTTGAAGCTACCTATTGTTAAACTCCTGTTGCCCATCTATATAAACTATGCACAAGTGGTAAAGGCCAACACCAACACAGAGAAATAGTTATTTGGAATACATGATAAACATTTTGTAGATATGAAAAACTGGATTAATTAAAATAAAAACAGATTTGCTCAAAATTTTTGATCAGGAATAAAGTATAGGCTTTTAGAAAGCTGGAAGACCTTCAAAGAAAAAGTTTGGAAGGTTTTGATAAACCCTTAAACGAAAGAAATCACTTATCGAATATCGAGTAATTATTGTGGCAAATTGGTCGAACAAAATACTGAAGACTGGTGAACAATAAGTTACATACAACCCTTTTTGCGATGCAGTTGATACTAAGTTAACCAATATGTTATATAAACATGTTAGAAAGATCACCTATATCTATATCATTAGAACATCAAACTATAAAGTTTGCTTTTCGTGAAACTTTGTCCACCAGATGGGTTTGCCTTGGAAGCTGGACCGGTCAATAACGCTAAACTAGTAACAATTGGCTGAAGTATTATGGGTATATCTAACATATTTTTACTAGCTTTACCCCTAGACAGTGCAATTTCAACTTCAAAATGTGTCAACAGACTTTCTGAACGTGATAAGATTTCACAGGCACATCATCAAATATCAAGTTACAACTGAATTTCTCCAAATAATTTGCCTAATAATTTGAATTTATCAAGTGATGAGTTATGATTAAAAAATAACATAAAGCAAATCTGATTAACACTTTGACACATGAAAGTTGCAAATCAATTATTCACTAGAACTGTTAAAAGATCACGGCATAAATAAAAGAAACTATGGCTAATGGTATGCTTGTAACAACTCAGGTATAATGCTAATCTACAGAGTAAGTTACATCAAGCATTTGGCAGACTTCATGACGCGTTTTGAAGACTGCAGCTGAACATCCTAAATAAACATCTCGTAAATTGAACAGATTCAGATTAAAACAAAACACATTTTTAAGGTGTGGTTTAGTGGCACCCATACACTTGAGAAACTAACTTTTAATGCAAAGAAGCGGCATAACTCGATATTAAAAACTCCACCATCCCGCTGAAGTAAAGTGACCTAGCCTCTGTTACAACCTTAGTAGTTCATATAAATGAAAGATTAAAACAAACATGTGCTAATGCAAAAACGTAGAAAACGGAAATCGCTTAAAATTGAATTTTTAATGTAGACGATTTACATCCATTAGGTCGCGAACTCAATTACATCGAGTGTATGGCGTCCATTATTTCGTGGTAATATTATTGTAAATGTGTTTCTGAAGAAATCGAGAATGTGTACTTCTTACTGGAATTCCAAGTCAGGTAGCATTGAAATGTTGATACCTTATGATAGGAATCCAGAAGAGCAGTAATAGAGCTGCTGGCAAGTCAGCATAAATTTCTGTTTGTAGTTGTTAACAATACATTCACTTTCTTTTTAAGGACTCAAGGGAAGATGCTATACCACAATCGTTGGTAGACAAATTAAAAAACAGACTATTCGTAATCAACAGGTGCACCCAGAGAACAGTTTATCACACTATGCATTTATTTTTGGTGCATTCTTCTCTGATTTGTGTTAGAACTGAAATTATATGTCTTCTAGAAAATGCCGTAATTCAGTAATAGACCATCTAGGTGTACCCTTTATACTAAAAACTAAAGATCAAGTGATTCATATCATCTTTTTTGTCTCTTGAATTTACGTGCACGAACTGATTTTATGAATAACCCTACCATCTTGCAAAATTCGACAGTGATTGTAACCATAGTAGTTCTGGTGGTGTAAATGAGACTTCTCTCCTCCCCTAAACTTCCAGTTTGGTAGACACTCACCCACAGTTTCTTGCCACGATTCAAATATAGTATTGAATTCTCGTTCGTGGTATTTTGATTTCGATATGTGAAAGATGTTGGCAACAACGTCGACTGATTCTAGTGTATTAGTTTGTATTAGTTTGCTAAAAGGCCTCTTTGGTATATCTATGGTCTCGCGATTATTTATCATGTGTTTTATTCAATCATTTAATCCTTCTTCCTTTCCGAGTTTATAAATATCTACTTTAAGCTTAATGAGTCTAAACACACTCTGAAATCGTTTTAATTCGCTTAAATATTCTGATAAATAAAATAATTTAAAAAGAGAAATTTTGCCAAAGATGAAGAAAGTCATCGATTACAGGGTGTTCATCGAAGGACTTTCACGATAATTGATGTTCTTCCGAGCACTCAGTTCTTGTTTGGTTTCAAAATAGCGATGTTAGTGTTACATCTGTCATTGTTATGTCTACGGAACACGTGACTAGTATGTGGGTGACACTATAAACCATAATTTGATCACCCTCACGTATATATATCACCTAGTTCCTCACTGAAACGGCCGTGTAGTTACGTATTTTCGAAGTTCATTCTTGGTTATATTTTGTTCTGTTGGTACGGCAGCTGTCATTTCTTCTTGAGATGAGTACTAGTTTGATGAAAAGTATACGTACCATGCAACGCCAATCGAAAGTGGGATGCGCGTCAGTAGGAGGTTGAGAAGACTGAACTGAATAAAACAGAAAGGGAAACATAAAGGAATTCAGAATTGAGGGAATCATGAATGATGGAAAGACAAGTGATGGGAGATGTACAAATGAAGTATTTAATGTATAATTTTCATAGTTTAAAAAAACACTGTAGTTTTCCACTAAACAATTAATTGGTCATTCTCATCAAGTCTTCTTTCATAACAACCCAGTGACATTTCACTGGCCTTACAGCAGAGTTTGTGTTTTGATACAATTTGATACAAGTCATTCAAAAACGCTCTGTATGCATTACAGAAGAACGAAGCTTGACTTAAGCGAATAAACTTTAATTCTTTAGTTCTGTTGCCGTTATTACCATGTGTATAGTATAGTCATATTAAAAAAAGGTTCTACGTTTTTGATACGGTTTTGTTCTCTGAGCTGGATGGTTTGGTCGTGGAGCATTCATCGATCTTCCGAACGACATCATCAGCACAAACTTCAGATAGAAGTGAAGTGTTAGAATTTCTCCAAATGTGTTTCACAGTTTGTCCTGTACACCTCGATGTTGATTGGTTCTTATTGACCTTAAATTTGTCATTGTTTACTTCTTTGTTTTGGTTGTCTCCCATTGATTTGATTTTTGTTCCTATATTTGTACATAATTTTCCTGATTGGTTGATAAATTGGATCGATTTCAATGTGCTTGTTGATTGCTAGTTGACCTGAGTGACAGGCTTCTAAACGTTCTCTAGTGTTTTTGGAATTTCCTTTGTCCACCTCTATCCACCTCTCCACTATCTCAAAGGTTCTAAGTGATTGAGAAGAATAATGAGTTAACTTTAAGGACGGGAAGGGAGAAAATAAGGAAATAGAAATGGGGGAAACTCGAACTACGTAAATAGTTTGATAAGCGTGCTTATATTTACAGAACAAGAACAAACGACTATGTATGTATCGCTAGATGAAAAACAAAAAGAAAAGAAGGATTGAAAATAAATAACTTAGAAAATAACTTATCATTGAAGTAATAAGTGTTTATGTAGTAATACTTTAGAGTGATGCTATGAAAGTCGCAACTAATTGCAGTGAATTATAAAATATCAATATGTATGGATCATACATAGATTCAGATTTGTGTAGTAAAGACAGAAGGCCTACGGCCGATGTTATTCCTCCTCTAGTATGCTTATGTGAGTGTCCAGTCTTCTCTTGCTTCATGCAGCAGGTTCCAAGTATTGGTGACTCAGTGTGAAAACCTGCATGCCACGGGTATTTTGTCCGTTCTTGGCTTTTATGCTCGCCTGCTATATCCTCTGAGATGTCCCGATCTAGTGAGAAGCAAAGTAGAGAATAGGTTAGGTTCAAAGTCATTTCTCTGTATTCTGAACATCAAAATTAGATCTCCCCTTAATTTGAGATAGGACAGAGTGAAGTGGTCCAGTTTTTTAAGCCGCTCTTTGTATGATAAGCCTCGGAGTTCCGGAATTGCACCGGTAGCTGCCCTCTGTTGTTTTCTAGGATATCTGAGTCACCTTCTAAACAGGGGTTTGCAGCCTGGACGCCGTTCTCAAGCTTAGTTCTCACTAAGGATGTGCATATTGTGGTGAACATGGTAGTATCTAACTTGGTGAATGTCCGTTTTAAATCCCAGAGGGTCCGAAACCTTTTAGCTGCGACCTCCCGGCAATGGGCCGTCGTCTTATGATCATGACTCACTGTCACCCCTAGATCCTTATGAGACCGGACCACGGGTAATGGCACTTCCCCTATGTTGTACCTATTAACCTTCGAATCCCCAAAGTGCATGTAGACACACTTTTCCGCGTTGATAGGCATCAGCCACTCTTTAGACCAGTTAATCATGTTATTTAAGTCTGCCTGAAGAGCACACGCGTCTGTGTCTCCAGTTATTACTCGCCAGATCTTTACATTCTCAGCGTATAATAACATTGGAGACTGTAATATACTTGGAAGATAATTAACATACATTATAAAAAGCAAAGGACCTAGAACGGAACCTTGAGGTACTCTGTAGTGGCATTGGACAATAGCCACACAATCCTCAAAGCTGTGAACACGAGACTACTCAGAAAATAGATATTCAATATTTAACTCGGGGAAATACCTAACAATGGAGAAGGCGCGGGGAAGGAATTAAATTGACTGGAGTTGATCGAGTGGCATGGCTCGACCATGCAGGCGTGGTCTCTGCTGAATGTTACCTTATATCTTCTATTCATATTAAATATATTGTTCTTTCTCTAACCTAACCTTGTTCTACATCATATATTGGTAATTGATACGATACAGTGAGTTGGTGTAGTCGATGGTGTGACTTCCACGTAAGATCTTATAGATTAGGCAGTTATATTATGACAAACCTACAAATTTAGGATTAGGTCTATTATAAGAGCAGTACTACTATCATAGTAGACCATAATTCTACATTGGTGAACCCAACTAAAGAAACGCAACCTACTATTGTCAATCCTTATTTCCACTTTAACTTTCTCGATCGATTTTATGTTTATGTTAACCCAGTATTCTAATAGTCCTCTGATTAATGCTCACATGCATTATCGTAATGTTATATTGAATAGTCCTCATGACATACTAGCTCAAACGATAATAAAAACTGGTCGTCAATATTAACTAATTAGCTTTGATGATTCGTTAACAAGCTTTGATAGCATTTACATGCTTCAGCGACATAGACTTGTTTAAACATCAAGCTCTAGCAAATATGGCCTGTAAATAGCGTAAATATACATTGACTAACAATGCAATCAAGGATTGAATAGTTATCCGGATCTAATTCTAAGTGTTCCTTCACTTAACACCTCATCCTGTTTTAAACTATGCACTATCCTGTAATATCTTTTCTTCCGACCACTGCCTGCCTAATTTCATATTCTCGAGTTCCATTGCCAAACAACAAGGATGACACTTCTAAAAAATTACGGTGAGTTCCAGCTATAAGTTTTCTGCAATCATAAGTTCATTTTAGATGGCTCATTCAATAGCACACACAATTATCTGGATTCATTCAGTTGTTCTGATCAGAGCGAGTCCCAAAAACCTTAACAGCATCAAGCACCCTGGAAGTGATTGCCATTCTGAATGTTTTATTCTGGATGCTTTTGGATCATTACTACTCCTCACGAATGGCGTTATATATGTCGTCCACTGAATAATCTAATTTTCAAAAATAATCCAGGCGAGTTCAACTATTTTACTTAATGATTTTTTGTACTTAACATGTATATATTTTCCAGTTGCTTTTGCCATATATTTGTAAGTGTCCCTAGGCTAAATGCAGTAACTTCTTATGGAATGTTTATAACGCGTCATATTCCTGCCTGAAGTTTCACAAGCAGTCTTAACTTTAAAATTATTTATCTGGTCATGTTCATTATTTTTAAATTTTTATATACGTCAACAACCTGCATGTTAACCTGGCCCGTACATACGTTTTACTATGTCTTCATATCTTTTGAATTTAGAAATCATCTGAATCGCCT